CATCTGGTCTTAAAAAAATCGATTTAATTCAATCAAAAGCTTTACGAATAATATCTGGTGCAATGAAATCCAGTCCCATTAATGCTCTTCAATTAGAATGTGGAGATCCGCCGCTCCACTTAAGAAGACAATATTTAGCTGATAGATTCCTGTTTCGTTGTTTACAAATTTTAAACCATCCTTTAATAACAAAACTACAAACCTTATGTCAAGTCATTAATTCATCTTCGTATTGGAAACTCAAGGAATTGCCATGTCTTGTTAAAAGTTACCAAAAATATCTTGCTATTGAAGCCCCCATGTATCGTTCCAAAACTCTTCCACTGTTTGAAACCGATTATAAAATCTTGACTCTTACACCCTCCATAAAACTCAATGTTGGAATAAAAAAAGATGAAATAGAAATTCATACAGCTTTTAAATTCATTATTGAAAATAACTGGGAGAATTGGCACTATATATATATAGTGATGCTTCTAAACATACCAATAATAGTTGTGTTGGGGTTGGAGTATTTCATTCTCAGTATAATATTGTACAAAAAATTAAATTACCTCCTGAATCATCAGTATTTACTGGGGAATGTTTTGGTCTATTTCGCGCAGTAGAATATATATTATTAACAAACTTATGTAAAGCTATAATTTTTACGGACTCTCTAAGTTCTTTACAAACATTAGCACATTTTCCGCTTAAATCAAAATGTCAATATCCTATAATTTTAGAAATAAGAAAATTGTTATACAAATGCCAAGTTAAAAACATTACAGTAGTTTTTGCATGGATTCCCGGGCATAGCGGCATTAAAGGAAATGAAAAGGCAGACGAGTTAGCAAATGAAGCCGTGTTAAGCGGTGATATATATCCTTACACTAATTATTGTCACGATCTTCTTTCCTTGTCGAAGCGATATTTGAAAGAGTCCTGGGAACATTACTGGACATCTCCTAGCCTAGTGAAAGGAAAATTCTACTCCTCAATTCAACCGACAATTCCAAATAAGCCTTGGTACACTCAAGTCAATTTAAATAAATATTGTACTAGTTCTTTAATTCGTTTGCGATTAGGTCACTGCTGTTCTCCGTCTTTTCTGTTTAAGATTCATGTTGTAGATACTTCTTTATGTGCTTGTGGAACGGAAGAAGGAAATTTGAACCATATTTTCCTTTCTTGCCCATTATATGACCGCTCCTCTCTTTTTACTGATCTTCTATTGCTCCGGATACCTTTTCCTATTAATATACCATTCCTTTTAGCATATAACGACCCTTGTGTATATAAAACATTAGCTTCATTTATTCAGAAAAATGCTATAAAACTATAGTATAATTTGGTTAATAGGTTTATATATATAAATGTATGCGTATGTATGTGTGTATATATGGGTATATATATATATATATATATATATACATATATATGTGTGTATATATGTATATATATTATGTGTATTTGTGTAAATACGATATTAATAAAACTAAATATTCTGTAATTAATAATACTTTATCACATTGAATATATGTATCGTAAATCTTCTTGATTATTTTCCTTTTTCCAAATTCCGCTTCCTAGTCCTGTTGAAATAAATTTATATTTCAACAAAACCACTGTTTCCTTCCTTTTACTTGTCATTGGCATAAAGGATAACAAAATGCCACAATAAAAAAAAAAAAAAAAAAAAAAAATAAATTAAAGGGTTTTTATCTATAAAGATACGCCAACCTCATCGTAACGTAAAAAGGTCACAAGAACTTACGGAATACGAATTCTTAAAGTTATAGATTTATATAAACCGGGAATTACTGTTTGAACAAGGTCGCAAATATGTTTTATTGATTCATTTTTCTTGGGATTCGCCCATATATTAAATATACGATCAACATCTAATAAAAACAAACACAAGCTTTTAACGCCAGTTACTAGACTCCATAGAGTAAGTAACTCGTTCATGGGGCGGTGTATACGCTTTTACAACAAAATCCTAGTAAATATTATAGTATATTTTATAAAATGGGTTATTATAATATAAATGAATACATTAATGACGATTGGGAATGTGTTGATCGCACGCAAACTATTTCTAAAAGGAAAAAATTAATCATATTTTAATTTTTTTAAGAAAAAAAAATGACAAAAAAGAGGATACCTATGGAATTTCTTTCGCCTGTTTCTTCTCCGTTAAAGGAACCTCATTACGAAACGGTGGTAGATTTTAAAAAAAATATGACTATCGATAGATGAATATGTAAGTTTCCAACGTTGCTGAATAAATGATTTAGATTTTATGAAGCACAGATACGGCCGCACATGGGTAATGTTCTCCCTTCTGGGCTGGGGCTCGTGAAATACCAGCCCCTTCTATTTGACCGCATTCAACGAAGAGCTGCTCGAATCGTTGACAACCAGGTCTTGTCCGATCGCCACGACTCTTTGGCCTTGCGAAGGGATGTTGCATACCTTTGCATTTTCTGTCGAACATATCTTGGGGAGTGCTCTGAGCAATTGTTCGGTTTGTTACCTGCTGGTGAATTTCACCATCGTTCAAACGGCCAAATACCATCGACACCATCGATGATTGGCGATTCACCACTGTGCGTTTTTCACGCAATTTTCTGCCTCGCACAGCTACTTTACCTTAAACCTTAAAGGCCGCCAATGCAATCGTGACTCAACCGATGTTGCAAATGTCTATGGGCGGCCGTGATCGCTTATCAGCAGCCGACCGGCTTGCTCATTAGCCTCCTCTTTCCATAAAAAAATAGTTTAAGCATTATAAATAAAGAACAACTACCTCCAGGACCAATATTAAGGCGTTGGGGAACTTGGTTGAAAGCTGTATTGTAAAGCAATGCAGCTTGAAAACCAAGTTCCCTAACTGTGCTGAGTATTTTACGAGTAATAAAGAAGTCATTTCCACAGTTTAGGAACCATTCCAATTGAATCAAATCAGCTGGCATTCGAAAATCTTTTAATTAAACGAATTATTCCTCTCAAACATTTCAGCAATATACCCGACGCCATAGAAGTCTTGAATAAATGCAGTAAGTTAACACATTAATTATCAACAACATCAGCCAAACTGCCTGGCGAGGTTTCTGCAGATTTTGATAGAGGTGTTAGATACACCAAAACGTGCACAATCAACTTTGACACAAAACAGTACTAACAAATAGAGAGCCCCGTTTTAGTTTGGTTATATTATACTGCAAAAACTACTGATAGTAATAATACTTATACCATAATTAGCAGTTTTGGAGGTTTTAGTATATTAAGATTTAGTGATTACTTATCTGGAACCTATATTTTTTTGACTTAAAAAAAGATATGACCCAGTGAAACGGGCGGGGGATTGCTTGTATTAAAAAAAAGAAATACGAAATATAAAACAATGTTTTAATTAAATGAAACACAGATCAGCCCATTTAAAACATACATATATTTCTTTACATATAGTTAGGTACATGCATTTTGTTTATAGCCACATATACAGTGATAGGATACATGCTTATCATTTTTTATACTTTCTATTACATTTGGCACATATAATTATCTAATATTGCCTATATATCCAAGTAGATAAACCTTTAGCATTTAAACTATGCTATAAATTTTTGCTAATGCAATAATTTATATAATTAGATAATTTTGCTAACAAAAGGGTAAAAAAGTTTATAGTATAGTTTAAATCAAACATTTTCGTTATACTATAGTATCAGAACTTACATTTTAATTCAAATAGGTAAGATATATAAAAATATTTATAGGCAAGAAATTTTAACCTTTTTTTTTAATAATATAAATTATGTATAAACATAATATGTATAATAAAATATGTTACCTTTATTTTCAATTACTTCATAAAATATATTTTATTTAGGAATGTAACTTTGAAGTGGCTGATATATCAGATCACTTTAGTTTGATAAGAATATTTTAACAAAAATAATATATGCCTATGATAGTGTGTAAAGCCTTAAAACATAAAAATAGCATCACATTGTTAAGTACAAATTTTATAAAAAAATCATTTCTAATTTCACAAGTATAAAGAGTAACAAAACATAAACTTAAATGATAGAATAAAGATAACATAATTAGATCATAACAACTATGGTATTTGGTATTAAGTATATAAGATAATAATAGTCTATAAGATAACTTATATAATAATATAGTGAGTGATCTTATAGACCGGATATCTGTAAATATATTAAATAATGTTTGCTGTAAATAAATTACATACAATTTCAAATTTTCATGTATCTAGACGTGATCTATCCCATTATTATTAATATTGGCTATACACCAAAGTTGCTATTATATTTTTATAACATAAATAGGTTTACATTATGATTTCATAACTTTACATTGATTTAATGCAGTTACACCTAATATCTCTCAATTGCAACAAAAATTCAGTTCTCTAAGAACTATCATAAAACTTATCTTCTAACCTTAACATATAATAATATTAAAGAAAAATAGCAGTACAATAATCACGTATCTTAACATAATATAATATTTTGTTGATTAATTAGCTTGGCGAAGGTCGTAAAGTTATCATGCAAGACTATCTTTAATGTTCAGTTCATATTCCCTAGACGCTCTTTTAAACGGAAATATATTTTAAGACTGGGCCGAAGTAAAGTGAATAACATCACCAAAAGGACTAAAATCATGCATGTATATCTTAAAATTTCACCAAAAGACCACCAGAGAGAAAAATTGCCGAGTAAAATGGTAATGGTCCCTAGAGTAAAGGTTAATAACCCTATGCTAGCATGAAGGAGCTTAGTAAAAATTGGAGCAATATAGTCTTTCAGTTTTAAACTATACAGAGCCCCTATTCCTCCTAAAGATGTTAAAAGCATAAAAATTAATGTGGCCAATCCAAACTTAGCATGTAATGTCACAAAATGTGATTTATTATTGATAATTTTATTAGAAAGTATAACCAAAAATCCAATTATAATAATTGTGCAACTTAATATCTGTAGAACCCAGTGCCGAGCACTGCGGAGGCGAATTGGCATCCATTCAGTAGCCAGGTCCCCAGGAGTTATGGCATTAATAGCAGATGTCATTATCATGAGCCACTGCAAAGATACAAACAAAACAATTTAATGTTACATCTAGGACATGAAATCTTATTATATAAACAAGTAAATTGAGTTTTAGAGAGTAAAAATTAAAGGTAAAATTTTCCAATAGCACTCAGTAAAGAAAAATCACTAATGAAATAATCGACAAGCAGAGTTCTCCTGTCACTTATTTCGAGAGGGAAAAAATATTTAAATCTTGTATTTTTCACTAAAGAAATGTGCCATATTAAAAAAAAAGAATTATTAAAAATACTAAAAGTACTGCTGTGAAACACTGACATTCTGGGTAGTTAAAAAAAATAACCACAAAGGCCAGAGAATTCTGGGTGTTGATTATTTCATTAATAATTTTTGTCTACCAAATAAAAAAAATTATTAGGTCGAAAAATACCCAGCGCTCTTGGAAAAAAATACCATATTTATTATTCAAGTTAGTATTGTATTAAAATTTACACTTACCCCAAGTGACATTAGGCTAGGATGAAATGAAAATAATGTAACACCATCTTTGAAACAGCAATAAATAATAATAGCAGTGAAGAGCAGTGCACATAAGTTGCTAACTAGATTTAAATAGCTTGGTGACGATGTTGGGTTTGGTGGTACTAAATGCGATGTTTCCGAATTCCTTTCTACGGGTGGCATGTCTGCTAAATTCGTGTTACTATTTATTTCGGACGCTTCCATTAACTGATCGATAAAAGTTCAACAGGCGTTGCCTATTTCTTAGCGATGTCTATTAATCAGTAACTTATATTTTACTTAAAAGCAACATGAATATATTTGTGATGAGCTACCGCCAATTCTTTCAATGTTGATATAAAGACTAATATATTTAAAAGCACAATCTAAGTAGTACCCAGTCTAGGGGGTAGAATGCTTGCATGAAGTTACGCGTATTTGACGTAAAAGTAAAAAAAAAATGATTTTCGCAATGCTTTTCTTGTGTCTAGTAGTTTATTATTGATTTATTGGTGCAAAGAATATATAATCACTACGTTTTATAGGTAAGACTTAAGACCATTAGTAAAAAAATTAAACCGTTCCTGCGGTGTAGTGCTATTTTATATTATTATTTATGAGTGGAATAGGTACAATCAAAATATTGATTGATTGATTTTGACAACCTAACAACCTAACCTAGGGATTTCCTTTAGGGATGCTCGATGATCATCGATGTTGAATGCAAAAACATCGATGTTTTTACATCAATGTTGCTATACGAAAAATATCGTAACATCGATGTTAACGGAATTGATCATCGATGAGGCCGTGAGCACGACCAATGCAACTTACGAAGTAAATTATGTCTTATGGGGCCCATTCACTATCCTGCCTAGCAGTCCGCCGTGCAGTCCGCCGCTCTATGCAGGAGCGTGAATGGTGTTGCAGGCATGCACAGTTTCTAGCAACACCGAGCAGGACGCGCCTTGCATCCTGCAAGGGACCTGCAAGCTGCACCCACCACTTGCAGTCCGCCGCGCAGGAACGTCAGTGATTTGGCCGTCCTGCATAGCTGTAGTGCTGCCATATGAAGAAAAAAAGATGCACTAAGCGTTTATCAACATTACACTATATTATACGAAAATACAGATGCTAACTTAGTTAGGATGGAGTTTTTTTTTTTTCGTAAATTTAGACAGTAAATATTTACAATAGAAATTATATAGGTTTTTTTTTTTTTTTCGAAATTAAATTTTATTCACATTAAAATCTACACAGGATTATGTACTTTATTTTAAACAAAAAGAAAACGCCCTACTGATATGATAAATTAAACTAAGCCAAAAAATTATTTGATATTGAAATTGTTTAACTTGAGAAAAGCTTAGGTTATTAATTAAATTTTATGTATATTAGTATGATAATGTGAGGAAAGGTTATTTATTAATAAAACCTTTTATCTAACAACAAGAAAAACTCGCCATTTTCTTTTTTTTTCGAAACGATACGTAAATCCATAATTATTACAACAACAACACTGACACTATTGAGAGACGATGGACGGCTTGCAGGATAGTGTGTGTGTGGGCTACATCCTGCTTTGCAGTCCTGCAGTCCTGCACGGCGGACTGCCAGGCAGGATAGTGAATGGGCCCCTTTAAACGTTCAACATGTCTGTGTAGATTGAATCTACACATATATTTAATATATATATATATATATATACATAATTGTTATACTAAATTAATTGTTATAATAAAATAAATATTATTGCCATACTGCACTAAATCACTAAGCAGCCGTACCAATGATAAGTGGCGTCTAGGTTGCAGAGGACTCGAACGGATGCATTATAAACGAAAATTCCTAAAATGCTAAAATTCCTAAATGATCAAGAAGAGTGGCAAGTGGGGAATACAACTATAGTGTCCAGATCAAGTGTACACTACAGCAACAACTTTGTTCCTTGTCGCAAATTTCCGTCAAGAAATATATGTAATTAAAAACAAAACATTAACTTCATTTTTAATTTAACAATCTGTTCCTCTGAAAGACAAAATCATATTTTTTGATGTCTATTTTCCATAACTTCATCTTGATGTTTCAATAAAGGAGAAATGGAATTTGGGAAATATTAAATTTTGTAGTTATAAAAATTTTTATTCAAAAACTCTTTGTAGTTAATATGTGCAAACTGCAAGTTATTCACGTAACTGTGGCGACTCATTTGCTACTGTGTAGCACCGCTCTTATCTTTTACACCCTTACTCTCATCGGTCTAGCATTACCCTATTATTGACAAATTGCTATAGCAACGAGTGACAATAAAAGATTATGTTTTTCTCAACACGGCTTGTTCTTTGTACTGCATCTTAATTATTCCCTCCTGCCGGCTCCCAAACTGGTGACCCCGACGTGATATGATAAATATGCGCAACATCGGAGCCCACGTCGCTACGCTCTGCAGTTTCGCTCGGAAACAACAATTTCCGCGATAATCGAGGTTTGTTCCATTCTGCGACGCCGCCTAGGTACGCTTCCTTCTTTTTGTTTTTCCCTCCGTGCAGAGAAGTCTGCTAGGGAGACTAGAAAAGCCACCTGCGAGTGAGACTATGGTATAGCCTGCGAGGGAGATTGTACAGAACAGCCATGAAGCTATAATCGCAACAACTGTAAACGCATCTACGATAATCTACATCGCTATTGGACTCGTATTTTGTCCATTCTATGTAGCGCTGAGCCGGCATTTTTCGCATCGAGGCCGGCCATTTTTCTTTCTCTACCGGAGCTACGTCATCTTTGACGAGGAGAAAGTTGAAAAGCGCGCCACGCGCGGCAATCACCCGCAACATTGTGTCAGGTGACTAACAGCTCTCCACTGATACTTCGCGACGGATGCTGCGTTTACACTCGTTCAAGTGAAAGTTTAGTGCTATTTTACACTTAAGATAGTATCATTTTATGTTGTATTTAGACTTACTTTACTTTTCTACCAATTTTATTATTACGTTTGCTGCGCAATACTGAAATTGTTTTCTTTAATTGGGCACGCGAGTGTCTCGCCTGCCAGAGCAGCAAGGTAACGCGCCATGTCGTTTCACCGCTTGGCAACATTAGCACACCTTCAGGCAGATTCCGTCATGTTCACCTGGACATTATTGGACCGATGCCTTCTTCAAACGGATTCACTTATTGCCTAACAGCAGTAGACCGTTTCTCACGCTGGCCCGAAGTTTGGCCCATGTCGTCGATAACCGCAGTAGAAGTCGCTGATCAATTCACCCATGGCTGGATCGCTCGCTTTGGTGTACCGATCACTGTCACAACGGACCAGGGACGTCAATTTGAGTCCCAACTTTTCAACAGACTGATGGATTTAGTAGCCACAAAACGCGTTCGTACTACGAGCTATCATCCCCAAGCTAATGGGATGATAGAGCGTTTCCACCGCCATTTAAAGGCCGCTTTAATGTGTCACAAGAGTTCTTGGTACCATGCCCTACCTTTCGTTCTTCTCGGAATCAGGGCGGCACTAAAAAATGACATCAAAACGTCAGCTGCAGAAGTTTTGTATGGGGAACCGCTACGCATACCAGGCGAGTTCCTGGTGGCTAGCAATTCCCCTCAGACCGTGGACGATGATTTTGTTGCACAGTTGCGAAAACGGATGGCAGAACTTCGCCCCGTTCCAGCATCACGTCACACGAATTCTAAAACTTTCGTTTTCAAGGACTTACCTGATGCTACTCACGTGTTCCTCCGCGAAGATTCCGTTCGACGCCCTCTACAGCCACCTTACACAGGCCCCTACAGTGTTGAAGAGATCTGAAAAGACACTTACCTTAGACATTTCTGGCCGAAGATCTGAGGTTAGCATCGACAGAACAAAACCTGCGTATATTGCACCTGACCCAGACGGCAATCCGTCCCCTAACAACTTGGCACCGGAGCCCCCAGTCCTTCCGACTCTTTCACCTCCTATTAGCCAAACGGCCGTGCCCATTAAAACGCCCGCACAGCCTGTAACAACCCGGTCAGGTCGCAAAGTTAAATTTAAAGATATTTTAGATTTATAAGTACTAGTTTTTAATACGTTATTTTTGTTAAAGCAGAGTTTTTTCAATTTTAAGTTTCCAATGTTTATTTTTTCGTTGTATAAATTAAAATTCCATTAGTTAAAAATTATCCTAAATAATGTTGCTTGTACTTTTATAATAACAGTGTATAATTATTTGATTGTTACATTTTATACTTGTTTTGCCTTCAATGTGTACTTATTTTTCTCCGTAAGGGGGTGATGTGGCGACTCATTTGCTACTGTGTAGCACCGCTCTTATCTTTTACACCCTTACTCTCATCGGTCTAGCATTACCCTATTATTGACAAATTGCTATAGCAACGAGTGACAATAAAAGATTGTTTTTCTCAACACGGCTTGTTCTTTGTACTGCATCTTAATTATTCCCTCCTGCCGGCTCCCAAACTGGTGACCCTGACGTGATATGATAAATATGCGCAACATCGGAGCCCACGTCGCTACACTCTGCAGTTTATAATTATTAGTATAATTATTTGATTGTTACATTTTATGCTTGTTTTGCCTTCAATGTGTACTTATTTTTCTCCGTAGGGGGGTGATGTGGCGACTCATTTGCTACTGTGTAGCACCGCTCTTATCTTTTACACCCTTACTCTCATCGGTCTAGCATTACCCTATTATTGACAAATTGCTATAGCAACGAGTGACAATAAAAGATTATGTTTTTCTCAACACGGCTTGTTCTTTGTACTGCATCTTAATTATTCATTAGAAGTTGGATATAAATGTCGTTGGATTTTTATTTTCTAATTTTTATGTACTTCTATTTATTTTGTTAAGAAAACATTTTTATTATAACATATAGTTTAACATAATTATGAGTAATGAAGACAATTTTAGTTACGTTATTAAAAATAACTGTTATTATAATAACCTTTTCATAGCAACAGCTTTAAGCTCCTTGGATTTTTTTTTCATTGTTTATTGTTTTACTTCTATCTCCCTTCAACATATAAACTGCGATAGGGAAAACAATACTTTCGTACATGTTACGACTTGTCTTCTGATGCCAGGCAACAGGTTGTGTATTTTCTTCAGTACATTAGCACTATTCACTATTCAGTTCATTGCTGTCGGCTGTCAGCAACCTGCGTTTTCAGACTTGCACTTAGTTTTTGGCATTAATTGTTTTGAATTGAGTGAGTTCGCATGTGAAGTTCAATATTATTATACTATATTACGTTACGAGTCTTACGAGTTGATAAACAATATTTATGTGACTGTGCCTAGTTATTACTGTATTAGTTAGCGTTTTGTTGACTGCTGTAAATATCAAGAATATGAGACGGTATGTATTTATTAATTAATATTTGTCATTGTATATACTAAAAACTTAATTTTATTATAATTGATGATATTTAAAAGACGTGATTTTAGTATTTTTTATTTTTATTTAACATAGTAGTATTTATAATAAAAAAGTATATAATGAAGTACTAACACATGTATATTTGTTGTATGTTGATATTAAAATTCTTTTTTTAACTACCTATATAAAATTACAGCAATGGGTTCCTCACTGTAAATACTATTTAATAAAAAAATATTGGAAATAAATTAAAAAAAAATATTCTGCAATAACACAATATAACTAAATTAAGCCCCATGAACATAAATTAGAATATTTATATGATATGACATATGTGGGGAGATCATCACAAATTTAAACTCAACCACCTTTTCACACATTTGTGGGTAGGTCAAAATTTAATGTATGTTTTAATAGAGGTATTTAATATTCCTATTAATTTCTACTACTTAAATTTGTTCCAACTATTACTATAACAATCAACCAGTTATGAAGTCCACTTTGGTATATACCACTTTTATATGGTATTACTTTACTTGATAAAATATTTGTTTTGTACTACATTATCTGTTTGTCACATACACAGCATATTAAAATTGACCAAGATTAATTGTTACTTTTGTATAACAATGTCCAAAGGATCCTTTCCACTATTTCATTCTCAGCATAGGAACTAAGTTTTCAACAATAAAATAGTTGGATAGTGATTATACTATCTATGTATTTGTAGAAATTATATACATACCACATATTGAACTAACAAATGTTAATAAAGTAGAACCAAAGAAATTAGAAAAGATTTTCTACCTCATATGAGGCATTTTTATTTAATAGGGGCTGTTAAATATGATTTGAAAAGTAAAGTAGTTTATTGAAACATAATGTTCGTTTCTTCTGTGCTCTCATTAGGTTTTCATACTTTCCCTGAGGGAGGTCAGTAACACTATAAATTCAAGAATTGTTTTTTATATGGCATGCTTTTTTAAATTGTGGGATGGAAGTTGTGGAGTGCACAAAAATAAAATAAATAAATATTTTAGGACATATTCTTTTTACACAACATTCTCTCATGTTAGTCCCAAACTAAGCAACGCTTGTACTATGGGGACTAGAAAACTGATAGACATACTTAAACATACTTTTTTTGTCAATAAATACACTAACGAAAAACACTATGCTCATCACACAATATTTTTCCAGTAGTGGGCATTGAACCCACACCCTCTGGCGCAGAAGCAGGTAGACTACCAACTACTCCATTCGGGTCATCAAAAGCTAGGGTTATGGGTTTAAACTGGCAAATTATTTTGCTTTCAAGATCAAAGTTAGGCTGGCTTAAAGGTGTTATATGTTATATGGCTGCATAGCAATTATGTACATGCAAGTATACCAGAAATAAATCTATTTGCCAGGTAGTCTTGTTAATAAGTCTTAAAAACTGACATTCACAAACTTATTAAAAAAAAAAAAATTATATATGAATTTAATATTTTTTAAATGCTGATGATTTATACGTCATGTCATTAGAAATTTGCCAATAAAGGAAAACTATTAAGCTAACAACTGTTTTTAAAACTTTTAAATAAAAACATGAAATGCGTTTTTAAAAAAACCGATTAAAAGTGGCAAAATTCGAAATATTGTGTTAACAGATTGTGGGTGCCGGTATTAGAATTTAATACTCAATAGAGATCAGCCTAAAAGCAACACAAAAGGAAATCTGGCTATGTATTTTTAAAGACTACTTTACGCGCAAATAACTGTTAACTTACACAATCAGACTTAATTCGTCTATATTGTATTATCATACCATATAGTTTTTAGCATGATTGGAAATAGATTACAAGTGTTGCGTCATATTATTGTGGACCAATAGCATCTCCCTCTCCCATGTTGCGCGCCCGGGCCATAAAATAACGCTCGCCTTCGCCCTGTCGGCCATTTTCGTGACAAGCCGTGCTAGGCACTTGTGTTCTCATGAACCGGGCCATAGTATGACTCACCGCGTATTCCCTAGCCGAGAAAAAAACGAAGGCATCGAGATTGAATGCGAAAACCGGATTAGAGTATTTTCGCCCGATCTCTTAACAGTTTGCGATGCCTTGCTGTTTTTATTAAGCGACTTGAAAAAAGGAGGAAGTCCATTGAATGCTTTGCTTTTCATTATTTCATAACTAAATTAAAAGCGTTTGCTAGTGACGAGCTTTCAAGAGATTGGATGCAGTGCAAACATGATGAACCTATTATGTCAGTTTTAAAACTTTTCTAATCTAATCTCAAAGTAGGTAAGAGTTTTATTAGGAGCAAGAATCCATACATTGAACCTCCCACGTTGAAATTAAATTTGTTGAAGTGATAATACTTATTCATAGCTTCAAGGTTGTTGACAATACGAGATGTCATTGAGATTTCGAGAAGCTATCATGCTTTGCCCCAATTACAGTATTTAAAAAGAATATTCTTTTAGTCAATTATTTACATAATAACGTGGTTATATCCATGTAGCACACGTTAAGTCTTAATGTAATGTCGTTTTATTATAGTAAGTTTAAATAGTTTTTTTTACTAACGGCCGTGAGTCATCGGTCAACAACCGCTATGCTGAGACTAGAGAGATCTACCTCGAAAACTTGTTTCGTCAGGGATAGTTTTTTTATTTGTTCACTTTTTGATGTAACATTTTTATTATTATGTATACGGATTGAAATCTTGTTAAGAGAAATGTACATGATGATAGTTTATATGCTTATGTTATGCATATAAACTCTTAAGATTATCTTAAAAGCAATTAATTGAGTAACGCTAAAGGCCCATTTACATGGTGCCAGTTTATTGCCTGTTGTATACAATTAAATTGAAGCAATAAATGAGTTGCATGGTCTAAACAACAAATGGTCTAAACAATTATTGCGCGCAATTTATTGCATTCAATAATACAAATGCTCTTGTATGTTCAAGAAAATGGCATCGTGTAAATGGGCCTAAGCCATAGGAAATAATAATCGAATTTAAGCTTATGAAATAATCGTAAATTCTCTCTTTAAACTAAAGCATTGTTGCATCATCGATAGGATCAAACTCAAGGCAGATTTTATGACTACTAACAAAAAATGAAAAAAAAAATCTAAGTAATTGTTAAAAATGGTTTAGAATGTTATTTATCACTACATAGTCTATAACAAAGGCGTCCCGCTGTCTGTCTGTCCCTATGTATGCTTATATCTTTAAAACTAGGCAATCGGATCGACGGATTTTGATGCAGTTTTTTTACTAGATAGTGATTCAAGAGGAAGTTTTATAATATATGTATAATACATTGCATTGCATTGACCGTGCGATGTCGAGTCGCCATTATTTTTGTGTCCTGTCTTCCCCATTAGGGATATAAAAACCCATGTACATACAATCCTATGTGTTTTTAATCATCTAAACCTTTAAAAGGTTTTAACCGTTAAATACCTACAAAAAAAAAACGAAACATGATGTACGTGTACATGAATTTCGTTTTTTTTCTTCAACTGTACGAGACTGCGCAGGGCGATACATGAAAATGCTTGCACGATTACTTTGGCCCGCGCCAGTCGTCACAAAAACTATCCGATGCCACCCTTGATCGCAGGTAAATAGGGAACGGGAACTCATTAAAACATGTCCTAACTTGTAGGAAGTATTCAAGACGCCTCCGTTCACCTGTTCCTTTTGTTATAAGATATTGTAGTGTAGAGAAAATATTAGTTCTAAATTAGAAATGTTGAAGTGCGCTTCATCGTCTCGGTGAGTCTTTTTAAATTATCATTAGAATAGAATTTAAATCGAGGAACGATAAGTTATGCTTTAAAATACTGAGTGTTAAAATAATGATTTAAGCTTTATTAATTCGATTGTCTGAATGAATAACATTAAGATTTTAGTCTTTGTTAAAGTTTTGACAAAATAATAACAAGTTTAATATTAACTAAGGATGTTTTCTTACAAAAATAATTAATTTTGCTTATTTCTAAATACCACTGTAATTTTTGTTATTATAGATAAATAACATTTTAAATAGACAGACGATCGATTCCATGTCAAGGATTGCTGTTTTACGAGAATTTATGTTTCAGGATATAAATTATTAAGTACATCTTTGATTGTTGTTGGCACAATTGAAAACCATGATCGCAGACATTTTCGATCTTGCGCGTCTCACGACAGCTATATTGAGATCCTTTACTTGGATTTTTATTTACAAAACCGATATTAATGACCATCGTGATTTTAGACTGGATCTTGTAGAGTAGAGGTGTTGTTGTTACACTTGATTTCTCAGTGATTCGTTGTTACAGTACAATTTTACAAATTTTTCTCAGCGGAAATATTATGAAAACATTGCTTTTTTTTTTCTTAAATGATTACTTCATACAAACGTAGTCTTCAGTCAGTACTTCGTATAAAACGTAGCCAATTTTGTCGTCTCTCCACATAGCGTTCGAGTGTTTATGTTAAAATTCTATTGTACATGTTTTATGCGTGCAGGTTTAATAAATGTTTCGATGGAAAAAGTGGTGACCGAGCAACCGATTAATCCGATGGTGGGATATCGCGGGGATCTTGAACTTGCAAAAGTTTCCAGTCTGTAGGGCTCTTCTATATGCAATTTCTTGTGGGTCACTTAGTAGTATAATTTATAGACCGCAACGAGACTTATTGTTGCTAGTATTGAGTTGAATTCGGTTATCATACAATACACATTGATAAATCATCGATCGTTTTACGTAATACAAATGTCTTTACGGTATGTCAGTTTGTCTTTATATATTCTATGAATGGAAAGTCTTAAGTGTCCTCCATCTGAGTTAAAAATTAAAGTAACTACAAAGCTAAGCTGGTGTATGATAGATGAACTTCAATTGTTTAAAAATTTTCATGACTAGAATATTAATCGCATAATAATATATCGAGTGAGTGTGTTACCAACCATTTATTTTGTTCGAAAACTGTGCCAAAACCAAGCGGAAATTTTCCGGTTATGATTATTTCTCTATCTTATTCTAATTACTTCTAGCGCTTTCCTAAAGATTTATCCTACGCTCCCGCAGCGCAATTCTTATTGAACGCGATTTTACAGACACTAATACATAGAGACCGTTCTTCTTTAGATAAAGGAAGAGAAGAGGTCTCTACATTATATTAGCTCTGTGTGTCTTGAAAAATTAAGCACATCACTTTAAAATTTATACTATTTGAACAATTTTATTAAGGTTCATTCACCCGTAGCATTCATTGCCAATTTACTTACTATACTTTATGGTTTTGCATAAATGTAAAATAAGAGAAAGCTCTTTATTTTTCATCACTGAACTACCTATATTATAATGTAATGTAAATAACATATTATAATATAATATAACATAGTTCAGTAATGAAAAATAAAGCGTTTTCTTATTACCTAAATTTCTTGTTTTCTAAAAAAAATTGTATTTGCAGTATACTGTATTTCCACCCCCTCGGATTTCAATGAGAATATTTTCAGTAATCACCACCAATAACCGAGTCATTTCATTATTTATTTTAGTCAAAACTTTAGCGTGTTCGAAACGCACTCAAAATCTCCATAAAGGCAATAAAAATATAATTTAAAATACACTTTGTATTTGGGGAATATGATTGATTATTTTTCTTAAAAAAGTTTAAATTGCATTGGTTCAAATAAACTCCTTATACTTGAAGTTGTAATAGGTTTGAAGGACACTTGGTATTCTTTTAAAATTTAGCAAATGGCTCTGTGCATAATGGTGATATGTATGATTTAATCGTTTGTTTACACCGGAGTAAAAGAAAAAAGGCCCGAATAAACCTTATCTGACATTTAATTGGTTTTCTCAGAAATTAATACCGGCGCAAGCATAAAGGGCATAACGCTCGAGCAGGATTTCGCTTCGTCATCTTTTATGCGCATTAAGTTGAATCCTTAACGTGACGCGTCATAACGTTATAATTGTCGTAATTTAGGCGCCCGTTTAGGTGTAGTTTCGCTACTGTAATTATTGAGCTTTCGCCGGCGGCGATTGCATCACCGGCTGCTTTAGCCAGAGGCCTCGCGTAAAGGAGGAACGTGTGGATTTAGTATAAATTAAAATAGTGCAGTGAATAAGCAGATCGACGACTCGCGGGGCCCGCTCCCTCCCGCCCATACACACATCCCGCCTACTAAGGTTGCCAACTGTACTAAATATTTATAAACACTGTATTTCGTATCTGCATACTATATAGTCTTCATGAAAGATAAATAGTATGCTACTAATGATCGTTATGACTTTGTAATAATATTATTTTATAAATAACGAATATAACTTTGTGTATTTATATATATATCCATAAAATACTATATTTTTAAAGCTTTGAAAATATTATAATTAGCTCAAGAAATGTCGGCAACCCTACCACCTCCAGTGCCAACTCGTGTCTCTCTCTCTTTCCTAGATTTGTTTTCGTCCTTTTGCGCGACTCTGTGTTTGTGCTGAATTATTTGTGTTTGCCTTTTATCGAATTCGCCTCTCCCCGCTATTCTCTATTTAGTGCGCACACTACTCTGTGCGCGGTAAATTTAGTTGCGATAAATCTTCAGCACGCATGTTTTTTTTTTGTTTTTTTTGCATCTTCCTCTAAAACATCGCGGCTAACAAATCGGAATACGAAATATAAATCATTGCCTCTGGCGGGATAGGATCTATTGAGATCTATTGTCAGAACTGATCGCGTTATTTACATATTTTTAGTTGTTAATTTGTACCAGCGACACTTGAAAATCATATATCCATTCAAATATTTATTTTCGTGTCTTCTTACCCTTGCAAGATATTGATGAAATGTAACGTACTCGAACATTTGATTTAAAATTCTTGTTTTAATACGACGTATAATTTTCTATTGAATGCTTTCAGAGCCTATTCGGGAGACAGACAAACAAAAAATTTTAAATACTAAATATAAATACTAAAATACATTTGTAACACTGTTCCAGTTAGTAATTTTATTTAAATTCAAGGCTTTATCTTTGTTTTATCAATAAATAAATATTTTAGTGACATCTATAAAACTTTTTTTTTTATTATGTAGAGTATTAGAAATTCTTTTTGATTAGAATAGAATAATAATTAAGGTCACTGGGAAAGCCCATTGTCGGTTAGGGGTCAAGCTAATGAGGTCAATACCTATATGTAAATTTTTTTTTATGTATTCCATATTGAAGTAGTGCGGGGTGAGATGAATACGCCGACCTTGTGGCAATGCGAAGACTCATGAGTACAGCGTCATTAGTATTGTACTCGAGTGACGCAAACGTCGAATTATCGGCTGCGGTTCTTGTGGTCACTCTCGCTGAATTTGTTTGAAATTTCTCATAATTTAGTTTTTGTTCTAACCTTATTCATTGATGCCGACTGATAATATCTGGGAAATTTCAATAAAAATGTTCAGGTGTGCGTACACCGCTAAATACATCGCACATTCATGATCCCGTTGCATTGATGTGTAAGCATAAGAATTTTTTTTATGCACTCTGTTGCTACTAATGCTCTATAATATTCGTAATCATACGTAGTTATTGCGCTAGTAGGTCTTTCCTCGTTCAATCTCCGCGCATAGCTATTGCAATAACAAATAATTATCAATTTATTCCGGTAGGTCACAATAATGGTTAGATAAAGCATTGCGCGCTAAAGGTCATGCCATTTTTATTACAATATTATTAAATGTGTAAACATGTTTTTTTATGTTCGCGCCCTACTTATTTATGAGTGTTTTGGTTTAATTGCATTGTCTACAACATTTGATAAAACGTTTATTTTAATTACTACAAAGAAACGGATGCAATTTTCCACATTTGTATAACCTTAACACGAGCGTTAGTCATGTATTGCGTTCTTTATTTATCGTATGTGCATATGACACAACATTCTAGTCGTCACCATGCTGGTTTGTTACTCTTTATCTATCTATCATTTACAAAGTGTCAGGTTTTGTTTTAAATATATTGTATTAGAATCGTTTTTGAAAACGATGAAAATCAAAAATTTAAGAAAACTGAGATATATGCGAAAATATTAATATCTTATTAGAATTAGTGGTCTAGAAGTAGTATCTAAGAGTTTATTATTTACTTTTTTAATTATATACTATTATTTCGTTGAAGTTTTTAAATAATAAAGTAAAGTAGTAGCCTATAATATATTATTTAAGAGTATTAGGGCACACTCCACTATGCAACCCCACTGCGCTTTGGGAGACTTTGCATATCTTCGAAATATTTTTACTATTATAATTACGAAAATTACTACGGTTACATTTTCCTTCACCGCCGAGTTCATTATAAGCCAGCACTTAAAATTGCAATTAGTTAACCATTAGTCCCGGCACTGGAATTGGAACTGTGGTTAATCCAGTATACTTATTTATTTACTTATTGGATTACCAACACAATTTACAATCGCTATAGTTTAAATTATACAGGCTTTAGATATATATATATATCTAAAAGTTCTTATAACTATAGGTAACCACATCATGTATAATAATTTGATGTTATACTTTTAATGTTTTTTAGTTCCCCCATATACACGTTTAGTTTCCTTTTTCTATGAATACTCAGCAATTAGTCAGAGCATCTAACAATCGATTCATCGAGATATCATAGTCAACGAGGTCATAATATCGAAATTTTTGTACTACCTCCCAGTTACATACTGGTGTTAATAAACGCTCAAGTACAAACGTTACACCATGTAGAGCATTATGTTTTATGTCGTAGGTTTTTTTTAAAGAGTACGCACACATAAATATTTAATGAGTTAAATATAGTTTATAGTTAAAACGCTATTTCTAAATATTAATATGTAAATGCACAGGTTTCAACTTTTAATCAATTAATCATCTACACGACTCTACATTTTGTTTAGTTCAATTCGCACGATGTGTTGAACTGTAAGTTGTTACGTACTTGAAAATTTTTCTTACCCTGTACATCTGAATAATTGTTGTCGCGGTTTGTGGTGCCTCATTACTCATCACCTCATTTGAAAATGATAACACTCCAGATGCTTTATTGGTACAAATTTTCTAATAAAACTAGTTTACGGGTTTCATCGCATTCATGATCTAAAACGTAAAATACCTAATATTTATGCAAAGTGGAGAAATTATTAACCTCACAAATAAACATACACACTAGTTGTATGTAAAAGTCTTTGGTACTTGCATCTTGATGTAGCATGTACTATACTATATATTTCTTTGGTATAATCGAGGTGAGGTCATGTAAAGCCTTGGGGACGATGAGTAACATGTCTGCAAAAATGAAACGGATTCGTTGTTGTTCTACAGAGCGATAAAATTAATAATAATGCGTCAAATTAAACTATTTAAATCCTGCTCGCGCGATTCAAATTTAATACTTTTTGACGCAAAAGTAATAATTTTGAAGGGGGATATTTTGTGTTCTTGGCTTAATTTACCTTTTAATTCCACAGTCCTGATACGCTAGCTTCAGTTCTCCGTACTTTAAAATAGCATCCGGATACATAACTTAGAACTACCTAAAGTTAGATTTTTGTATCGAAAAAAGAAATATACAGTTTGAAGGAATGGATATAAATTACCCACGCCTCCATGTCAAAAATTGCCCCTCTTTAACGACTTTAAAAAAATATTTAATAGAAAGTTTACTCATATCTCTTTTAAAATTGTATGTTATATATATATTATGTAATTTAAAATTCCCTCATAGTGTTTTCTTGATTTTGCGCGAATATTATACATATTAAATGAAACAAGTTTACGGATTTTATCCCGTTTTTAATTTGATTTGGACTCCCGACGTTTCCCGAAATAACAAGAGTGCGAAGGCGGTGTGAGAAATGAGGTTTCATATCGTCCAGGGCGCGGACGGCACTGGCGGCCGCCGTGTGCCTAGCCCTGCTCAGGGCGGCGGAGTCGCAGCCGACCGTGTGCAAGCTGAACCTGCACTGCCCGCCGGGGTTCTACTGCGACGCGGACTCCCTGGTCTGCCGCGAGTGCCTCCGCTGTGAAGACCTCAAGCGGGCGCCCCCGCAGTCTGCCACGCCGTGCGTCAAGTCAGTAGTGGAGTGCGGGCCCTGCGATAAAGGGTGAGTCCGACTCTGTGCAAGAGAGGGTGTGGATTCGATATCGACAGCTAAGGATGTCGTGTCATTTACAGTCTTTCTTGTCTGTGTTTATACAGGGAGATTTTTTGAGAAGTGCCCAAATTTACACAGGAGGTTCAGACTCGGTAGTATGATCGTTTATTGAAATAAAAAACAAAGTTTTTTCCCAAAAAAAATGCCATTCTCTTCCCTAAAAACCAGAACGTGTTGACAATGCGATAGTCATTCATAAATACCTACATTTTACTGTGAACGAACTTGTGTGCGTGTTAGTTATGAATGAACGAGCGTAAAATAAATGAGTTACTTATCACGCACTTTTTGGGATAAGTTCTAATGAATGTAATTAATTATTTTCGAGTGATTTTAAATATTTATCATTTTTTATATAACATTATTTGTGTCTAGAATTTAATAAAAAAAGGGATACACTTAGAAAATCCACCCCTGTATATCTATAATTTGTATTTTATGATGTCTTCATAAAATCATCTCGAAAAAAAGAAAGATCATTCTGCTCATTCTGATCATTTCAGAGTGTTTAACCATTCTTTTGGCAACTAAAATTACATTTGAAAAGCCATTTGATAGCTGATTAGTTAACTTCTGCGATGATCAGTGTTTTATATACCGGGCGTCAGATTATCAGTTGTCAACGTATTGTTTTATTAGTTTGCCATATTTATGAAAGTATTGTTGAACGTTTGTCGTCAGGTTGGTGGAGGATCACAGGGGCGATGTGAACGCTCAATGCGTCCCCAGGAGGGCGGGAGACGAATATGATGGATTTCCAATGTACGGTTGGGTGCTGGTGGCTTTGCTGTGCATCGTTGTGCTGACACTCTTCTCTGTAATCGTGTGGTACGTGCTCAAGCATCCAGACACCTTGAAGGTCCTCGCGTGTGAGTACATCGCACAATTTTTTTCTTATTTCAATAACTTTTATGTGAAACTAGCGACCCGCCCCTGCTTCGTACGGGTGCAATGTATTTTACATATAAACCTCCCTTTTGAATCACTCAATCTAGTTAAAAAAACCGCATAAAGATCCGTTGCGTAGTTTTAAAGATCTAAGCATACTTAGGGACAGACGGACAGCGGGACGACTTTGTTTTATACTATGTAGTGATCTTCGCAAGAATAATATAAAGATAAAATATAATAAAATAAAAGAATAAAAAGATAGAGAAAATATCACAATCTCCGTATGATTACGATTAATTTACGCCCTGCGTGCCAAGCAAAACTATTCGTGTTTGTAGCACAAACCGAGGTTCGTCTTTATTGTAAATTGTACAATCGAGATAACTTAGCTTCATCTAGAAAAAAAATTTAAAAAATAATTAATCAAATAAAGAATTTTGATTTTATTTGATTTGATTCATCGGAGAACAATATCCTATCCTAGTTTTGCGTCCACGAAACACAATTGCGAGCGAAGATAAACTTGCTAACTCTATGACTAATTTAGACCGGGTGATGAATGCATATATCATGGCAGTGATAAGATTACTCTTGACATTCCATAGACCTATTTGTACATTTCCACAGTTTTACCACAGTTTACTTGCCGTGGTGTGGCCATGTCAGTGTTTGCTGTAGGCCTGCCACTGCCACTCAACAGCAATATGACTCTCGGTAACACGTACAGCACCAGGACGGAATGGTACAAACTACCCGCATCCGTCCTGCTGTTACTGTGGTTCTGCTTATTATGGAGTTTTAAGAAACAACGATTTTTATACGCACCACGCGTTCAGTGATTCGGTTTTCTTGCGGAGAGTGTGCCAAAGCGGGGAAGTTAATACAATAAGCAACGCAGACGGAGCCGCGCTATCGGCCAGTAGACTAGACTAGACTAGACTAGACATTAAGATAATACGTAAAATTTTCAGCAACCAGCACTTCAATGCAGTCTCGATGCGATAGGAGCGTGGTGCCGCCTACCGCTCCTGACCAGCCGCCTCCGTACAGGGCGCTGTACTCCACGGAGCAGCCCGCCCCTCCCTCCCCGCCCCCCGCAGCATCCCCCTACCACCCCTCGCCACCTTTCAACAACGACCCTGACCTCCAGCCCAACGACGAAGGTAAGCACTCGTTGTGCTGATGGCATTTGGGTTTCACAAATTTATAACCTTTACGGAGCAGAAAATTTGCGTAAAAGCGGGTCTGATTTCGATCAGCAGTATTGCAACATATTATTTTAACATATTGTTTTAATATACAAACCACGTACTGTGTCCTGACCATTGTGATGTCAATTTTAGTCTAGCTTCGATGCACACTTCCGATTGTAGTTGCATAAATTAGTAATAATAATAATAATAATAAAATATCTTTATTCACATAGACGCTTGCGCGTTCTTATGAAACGTCAAAATTTTACAAGAAATGAACACGTTCGTAAGTTACCACCGGTTCGGAAAGCAGTTTCTGTTGAGAAGAAACCGGCAAGAAACTCAACAGTTGCTCTTTTTTAAAAAAAATCAGTTTACAATATAATAGTACATGTACAATAGTCTTGTTTTAGCCTACGTGAGTATCAACAGTATTAACCCCACACATTGGCGTCGTCAAGATATTCAGCAATAGAATAATAGGCTTTAGCCATAAGTTTACTTTTAATTTTTCGTTTAAATTCATCAGTGGTCAACTTGTAATGTAGTCTACATTACAAGTTGACCACTAATTTATGAGCCTATGCTATTTTTGAACATACTATATATTTATAAATTGATCGAATTGCCATGACATGGGCTATATATACCGACTTCCAAAATTAAAAATAATAATAAGCTCGACCGGTAAATAACCACGGCATCGCGGAAGACGGACAAAGAACCACCGGTACCAATATGAGGGGGTTCGGGAGACTTGGCGCCGCGAGCGATGACATCGCAGGGCAGCAGGAACGTGATGCGCTTGTTTGTCCGACAGAGTCGTCGCTGTTCATAAAGCGGCCGGTGGCGGGGGGCGGGTGGGCGGCGCGCGAGTCCGCCGGCAGCCAGGCGGCGCGCGTCTACAACAATCCGGCGTACGTGCGCGGCGCCCAACCCCCACACGGGTAACTCCATATCCCACGCATCCCCACCACATATCTACTTCCTCCACCCTCATATCTACTTCCTCCTCCTCATCTGCACTCTCCCCATCGTCATCTACTATTCTCCCCTCTCACCCTCCTCATCTGAACTCCACCAACATCTGTACTCCTCCCCCTCTCATCTGCACTCCCCCAACCCTCATCTGCACTCCCTACATGCCATCTGCACTCCTCCCCGGCTCAGTTGTACTTCGAAAACTCCTCCCGCACACCAAAACTCCGCCCATCACTTCATATTATAGGATAAATATTTATTTGAATTTATCGAGGTGAAATTAGAAACGCGATCTTTTTGTAGATAAATGAACAAAAACTTTTAATCTTAAACATTTAAAACATTTTAAAAAGTGACATCCCTCGGTACCAACGTTACTCGTTGAAAGTTCTATGAAAAGTGTTTTATACTGTGGAGTATGCACGCTAGATGGCGCCGAGCAATTCTAAAAAAGCAATAAAGAACGTAGATGGATGTCCATATTTTCGCGTGATTTGGTCACCGCTTAGCTTAATTGGTATAGCGTCCGGGTGCGTTATTAAGAAGGCGCAGGTTCGATTCCCGCAGTGCCGGAGGCTTTTGTTCGTTTATCTACAAAAATTCAAATTTTAACCTTCACCTCTAAATCCCCCAGTTATACTAGCAAAATATATAACATAACTCCCGAATTAAAGCCCCCGTTGAATTGCAACGTGCGTGTGTTGAAAAGCTACAAAGTCTGTACAAACAATCAACATCCCCTGTAGCTCATCCAATGCAAACACATTTTTCACCTTTGTCATTAGAGCGAGAGGGAAAAAGAGATTACTCGACGTTCACGCCCGATGATGTTATGACAATGTGTTTATGTATATCGATTGGGAATAAGCTTACTTTGTTTATCACCTCTATTTGCATCATCGTTTTTGTGTAAACGAGACAATGGGCCACTCCCTAGCCAATCGTTATAAAGAAAATCACGCAGGGATTGCCCCAGTCGAACTGTCCGACTGTATGTCGAACTATCACCACTACTATCCGGCCAGCGGCGAGCGTAATTAACGTCCGTGTATTTTTCCATGATCAGGTGATTTTATTGTTTAGTTACGAATCGGCTTCGTCCCAAAGCGCGAAGGGACCGAAGGTGACGGAAGAGGAAGAGGACACTATGGAGAGCACGTGGACGCCGACCGAGAGCGCCGACCAAAACGACAACACGCCAAAGTGAGTGTACATTTGAAAAAGCCTCTGTTGGAAACGGCTTTTGATGATAGATAGACCTTTGATGATAGATAGAGCCGAGGAGCGTTAAAAAAAGCCATAATTAAAAAAGATATTTTAATAAATAAAAATGAACTAATTAAATAAAAAAGAAACAAAATTTGTAATACCTATACAACTACAAGTGACTGATTCATACATTCAGAGACTTTTTCATTCATTGCCACAACATCGCATTACAAGTCTCTCCTTCTAACAGTATTTTTTATCTCTTAAATTCATTCAACAAATTCATATGCATTATGACCTTTACAAATTAACTTTACGTTACAGTTTTACACGTAAGGTTGTTCTAAAACTATTTTTTTTTTTCAAAAATTAAATAACTTTAAATATGGATGTATAAAGAGAGTAAATGTTAAGTACAATTTAAAAAAAAAGTAATCATCTATATGTGTTAATATATGGTCGCCTTAGTAGTACCGCGCCAATCCGCAGTGCAGTCGCGTGGTGGTTTATGCCCTGATACCCACTTTAGAGAGGAGGCCTTTGCTCAGAAGTGGGACATTTAAAGGCTGTTACTTCACTTTATTAGTAGCGCCACGTGGTATATGAGTGATTGTTGCAGCGGCTCGTCCGGCTCCTCGTCGGGCGACGGTGGCGCCACCAGCTCGCAGCTGCCCGCTTTACTGGCGGTCGCGCGCTCCACCACGCTGGTGCGGGCGCCGCCCCCCGACAACGCGCTGCTGCCCTACGTGCGCCAGGTGAATTTTTAATTTTCTCTCATTTGCGAACCATCGACCCGCCCCGGCCTCGCCCGCACGAGTGCTTTGTATTATACATATAAACCTACCTCTTAAATCAATCTATCTAGGAAAAAAAAGCCAAGCCAAAAGTTGCGTACTTTTAAAGATCTAAGCATACATAGGGACAGACAGCGAGACGATTTTGTTTTATACTATGTAGTGATGTGGCAAGCGCGCTGGCCGTTTCCGATGTTAGGTCATAACCGCTGCCCAATGGACATTGTTAACACCCGTCGTAGATGCGTTGCCACCATTTTCTTTTAATGTTAGAAAGTGGAAAGCGTTCACCTGATGTTAAGTGATAACTAACACCCCATAGACATTTGCAACACCGGTTGTACATTCGTTGCCACCTTTGAACATAGTAAAGGATTTAGTCAGGCAAGATGTTTAGAGCTACAGAAGGAATTCGCTCGACCCTCCCAACAGTCTACCACCAATGCGCGCTAGCCTTGCTTTTTGTTATCTTGATGCAAAACATCAATTGGTGCATGGTATTAAAATCGGCTGGTTATCTGGTGGACATCTTTTATATTAAGTTTTTTGAAAGATGAATCATTAAAATTTGTTGAAAAAATCTCATCACTATGAAGAATTAATATAATTATATTCTCGGTTTGTTTGTGTAGGACCCGAACAACAACGCTAGCCGTGGCAGCGGTGAGGCCTCTTCCGTGTGCGGGGAGGGCGATAGCAGTTCGAATCCCGGCCACGGTGGATCCTCCTTCATCATCAACGTCATCCAAAACATCAATACACTGCCCCAGCGGAGTGACGTTGGCCACTGATGCCATCTGCGCTCTGATAGCGCTATCGCCTCAGCAATACAACTTGCTCAATTTATGAATGAGATTTTGTAACAACTTAATGGTACTGCTAATTATGAAATCTTGTTATTGTATAGATTTTATCGTCTCGATTAAGTGTGGCGCATTTGTTAAAGTTTCGAGGCGGTAAGTAGGTAGATTTATTAGCTCTTTACGTGTAGGAAATTATCGCTCAAAACAATATGTTTTATGTTCATATCAAGGATAACTCCTTTTTTTTTTCATAGAATATGATGTTTTATTTACTATTTTGGCTATTGTAAAGTAGTTACTTGCATCAACCTATTTAAAACAATTCTTTAGTTGAAAACTTTGCAATGGAATTCACAAGTTCAGACATAAAGTTGTCTAGTATGTCTGTAGTTGTCTGTAAATATTTTTTTTCCAAAGGATTAGATCTGATATTAAAATACCGTTGTCCGTATTACCAAAACACCGGCTGTGCAGGACAATATTTTTTTATCATTATGGTAATAAATTATTGGAGGTTTTCTTCAAGAAATAATATTTGCGTGAAATAATTTGTCCTACCACTAATAATTTTCTTTAATTAAAACATATTATAATTTTGGATAAAGTTCATATCAAATATGTTTGCATGGTTGTGTAAATTATTAGGATGTGATTTACATATTATGTTCAATGGAAATCATAATTTTTATTACAAACATGCAACTTGCTTTATGGTTTTGTATCCATTGCAAAAATGTAGGGATTTATCTATTGCTTAAGAGGAGATGAGATGCATGATGCAGATACTATTTTATTTTCGCTGTTTTCGTAGGTCATAACATAGATTTAAAATACTCTTTTTCTGTGCATTTTTTATATCTTTTTCAAATACTTCATGGTAGGTTATTTTATTTTCGATTACAAAATTGATATTTAAACTCTTGGTTCCTTTGGTTCTTGCAAACATAAAGTTTTACATTATTATTTTGGGTATAACTTTTATATCTGTGCATAGAGTAATTAGTCAGGTGTAAATATATTTTGTTGATGTTCAATATTACATTTTCTTAAAAAATACAAAAAATATAAAAAAATACATTTATAATAGTTCTAATCTCACTTTTATATTAATTAGAATACCATTACCAATATATTTTGCAATCCCTCTTACCCAATTTTATATATTTATTAGAAATATTTTTACAATGTTTAGCCCCAAATTCTGATTTTAATATTTAGATACTTATTTTAAATCACGTTATAGCGCTCCCTATAACTTTTATTTGTATATGTTACAATGAAAATTAAATTGAAATCATAGGACTTGGTAGCTCAAATCTTAGGTACTTATCTAATTTACTAAAGTTATAGAAGAAGAATTTAATGAATACTTTCAAAGCAACTTCAATAAAATTGTTATTATGTTATTACTGCCATTGTTTCAACATTTATTACTTGTTCAAGTTACAGTAATACTGCATTCATAAATATATATATGTATATATAAAATAATGATATTGATATCTCATAGAATTGCACTAGATTTGGCGTTTAACCTATTTCAAAAGTAGCGAATGTGCAACGTCCAAATTCCGAATTTATATTACATAAGAAAATATCTGTATATTTTTACCTCCCGTCTTGTTCATGTACTTATTACATATTATATATTTAGGTGTCTATATTCTCTTAAGCTTACGATAAAATTAACATGAATTATAATAATATATGTGATACTGTACTATTAACTTTAATATTCTAAAAATTGTCTTCCCGTGTCACTGAACGTTGTTCAAGTTTTAATAACAATGAACATAAAATAGTTAATGTTGCCATTTTATTAGTCTTAAGTATTTTAAATATATTTCTTCCAAGTACTAGTTATAACATAAAAAATTTAAGGCTAGTCTGTGCATTTTAAGAATGTTTTAATTTTTATTTGGAAGTGATATTATAATATGCCATGTTTAGTTTTAATAATAAACGAATTGTATCGTTATCGTAGTTAAAGATTCGTGTAATTCTGGGTATCGAGTATTTAAGCAGGATAACGATAAAATTAATTTGATCTTTGGGTGTATTTTTTTTTGGTGTTAGCTAATTCTTCAAATATTACGAAAACGAATAAATAGGGTTTTAAAAGCCAGATTATAAGATTTTGTTTTAAGTGTGATCTTTTAAAATTAATACCAGTAACAAATTTATCTTATTTTCGTGCTTTTTCTCCAAGGATTTGAGTTCCCGTTTTTAAAAACATATCAGTACTATATGAATTCAATTCCAAGCCTCCTGCCTGCTCGTTTACCCCTTTTCTCCATAAAAAACAAAATATTTGAGCTTGTTTTAAAATGAGTTGTTGTAGAGGCGGAAATCGTAGTGTTATTTTTGCAGTGTCTTGAGGGCTCAATTATAAACGTGGACCTTGAAATATAGTGATAATTTATTTTTATACTTTCCAGAGGGTTTTCCCAAACTTTCTAGGTCTATTGTACCGTGCTTGAAAAAAAAATTATTTACCCGCCCAGAGGGTGGTGGCCCCTTGGGAACCTTTGGTACAGACCAAGTGCCTTATACTATTGAGAAAGATAAGCGATACGATAAGATTAGGAAACATATCGTTCGAAATCCAGGATTACCGAATGAGCAGGTGCTCAACTATTATGTTGTATAACACCTGGTTTTACGAATATTTATTGATATATTGTTACTAGTTCTTATTGGAATAACGTGGTTTAAATGCCTTTTAAAAAATTGGGAAAATTGACTTCTAGTCACAAGTCCCTAGAGATGTCACACTGTTTGTGAGATTTTTAAGTATTAAATAATTATTAGTATTAAATTTTTTTTTTTTTCATTACTATTATCTTGTTACCTTATACCGATACCCATTCCCCCATAGTGTTCACATATTTAATAAAATATAAAGAAATGATGTAAAATCACATACAGCTTTTTATTAAATGTACATTCATATCATAGTATTTTGTGTACGAGTAAATTAACATTCAATAATCTTTTTCAGGTTTATTCAGTTTATTTTGCATCTTACAAGTGAAATAAAATAATGTTTTACCATTTTTTTAAACAAAAGACATTCGCAATGTGCACATAACGACTGTATACATGTAGAAACTTCATCTGTTGTGAACAACTGCAAATGTACGAATTCGTATAACGTAACACCATTTCAATACATAGTAAAACAAAACAATGGTAAAACAATAAAAAACAATGTCGTCCCGCTGTCTGTCTGTCCTTATGTATGTTTAGATCTTTGAAACTACGCAACGAATCTTGATGCGTTTTCTTTTTACTATACAGAGCGATTCAAGAGGGAAGGTTCTTTATATGTATGTAGTTTTTTTAATAAATCTAGTAATTTCTATGGTAGGGCCGTACAACAGCTTCTGCTATTGAACGAATGAGTAGTGGCGCCCGGGGAGGTAACACGGTCTCACAGAATACCGGCGTGAAGTGGAAGTATTAAGATTTAAGCTTTCGCGTTTCGTCTGGTGAATGAGGTAACCGTTGCCCACTCTTTGAAAGTTTGTCTATGCATTTGTAAACCATCGGATGCCGTAGATATCTATGGGACCTGATGTCAATTAACATCGGGTGAAACGCCTGGTCGCTTGACAACTTTGTTTGACTATGCTGTTTTTACTCAGCTTGTAAACTCCGATTGAGGCTATTTAGTTTTTCTGTAATATCAGAGAAATGCTGAGACACCACCACCCATCACCACCATCTTGTATACCCATTCAGGGTACACAAGGAGCTAGATTTAGGAGGAAAGTTTAAGCTAGGACATACAAGGATTTACAATTTTGCTCTAAAATAATATTATTTAATGGCATAAAGAAATAAGCCATCACAGAGAAATATGTAAAATAACGTTGACACAGGTACTACCTAACTCACTTCGGTTGTTTCAAAAAGTTTTTAAATTTTTAGCAAATAATTAGTGAGGATTTTATCTACTGTCCCCACTCTTTTAAAAAAATATATTGATTTATTTGAATGCTATTTTTATTGCCGCTATTATATTTACTTGTAATTCTCTTATGGAAAGATTATGGTTCAAATTAAAGTTTTTTTTTATGTGAGAAAGTGGCAAACGAGCTGGCGGTTCACCTGATATTAAGTGATAACCGCCTGCCCATGGACATTTGCAACACCCGTAGAGAGGCCTGAGGCGACTGTCACGCCGGGGTTCGCGGAAGATTGCGTTTTCGTGTTCCCGTGTCGCCGACAAAAGCGGCAGTGCAGGTGCAATGTGGGTTTTACCCCGTAACTCCCCCTTAACCCTGCTGCATACCCACAATGCGACCACAACCCCTGCGGCGGGGGATCCATAAAGGATTTTTCCCACGTAAAAAAAAGACCTACACGAATCACGGACATTATAACAACTGTGGCCGTTTACCTCACCGGACAAAAGGCAAAAGTATAACAATTCCATATCCGTGGCCCTGGCCCTTCTGTACTATCATTTATTTAGTATTAACTGAAATATAAATTTACAAAGTTTTCGAGGCATTTTTAAAACGCATAATTTGGTTAAAACGGTAAAGGTATTGAATACTTGCAAAATAACCTATGATGTATGAATTTCGCAAATATGAATAATACATTAGTTAAATGAGTACTGAAGTTGTAGTGCTATAAATACTTTATTCAAATCAATTGCATAACACGTGAAATCTTAATAAGCTACCAAACTGAACGGCAATGATTAATGCTCGATAAAATCGTCAACTGCTAGTCCACCGGAGCGATGAACAGTGCGAGGGCGTTGAGAGTTGCGGTGTCCTTATCGTAGTCGGTTGCGAGAGGCGCATTCACGTGGAAGAGGAGCTCGTCGCGATCTTCGTTGCCGTAGACCGGCAGCTCCAGGGATCTGGACGACGGGATCGGGTCTTCGGTGCTCTGAAACGGGAATGCACTTTCTCTGATAACGTACGAACCAGCTGACCAGTGCGAATTTGAATTAATGGTGGTAGGGCCACGTAGCAACCTCGGCTGTTGCACGAATGGGCAAGCCCGTCCGGGTAAGTACTGCGACCTCACAGAAGACCAGCGTAAAGTGGAATTATGACAAATACTTTCGCGTTTCGTATGGTGAGTGAGGTAGCCGAAGCCCAATTTTCAAAAGGTTGTCAACGCATCTGTAACCCTCGGGTGTAGCTGATGTTCTTTCCGGCGGTATTCACTTAAAATTAGGTGAACCGTCTGCTTGTTTGGCAACTAAAAAAAAAATTCGAATTGAGAAATTTGGTTCGAAATTCTCAATAGCGGTATAGAATCTTATTGAAATACGCCATTATTAGATTCGTTATAATTTTAAACAAAGTTTTTAATGAAAACGTAAGCTTTATATGATGTGGTTAATCATTAAATAAATAAACACGTTTGAGAAATAACATACATACAACATACAAATTATAATCATTAGTGATCAGTATTCATCAGAATAAGAATTAAAAGTCCCAATATTCGCAGAGCATACAATTCATAATTATGCAGTAAAATACACGTTACAATTACAGTTACAATTTTCACGGAATAATCGCAGAGGTTCGTGTTCCGCTTTTAGCGGGTCGTGGGTCTAGTCAAGTTCACCAAATATGTAGTCTATTTTGAGGATTAGATTCGGTTACAAGAAAAAAATACTAATCGTTACAATAAACTTTTTTCCATACAATAAGTATATACCGAAACAAACTTTTTTGAATTTATGTAGGTACACTACGACGATGCCTTATGGCATGTACCTACCATTGTTGTGTCATAGTGTACCGACCATTGTTGATTTAGATACTTATGTATTTATTTTTATTTATTTATTTAAACTTTTTGCACAAACATTTGTGTACAAAGGCGGACTTAATGCCATCAGCATTATCTCCCAGTCAACCTTGGGGTGGTCCAGAAAAGTTAGGGTAGGTGCATTAATAACAAATTTACAACAACAGAAAAAAAAAAAAAAATAAACCAATCAAAAGATTTTCCAATAAGTATCATCAGTAAATCAGCAATGATTCAGATACACAAACAACATCGAGCCGATGTGCAACATTGACGAATTGTTAAATCATTACACTCACTTTAAGATAAGTTATCGCTGTTTGTAAAGATGTTTTGCAAATACAAACTGTGGGCTGGGTATAAAAACACGCAGTCGAACTTATGAAAGTTACGAAGCTATGTAACTAACGGCCGTTCGTTGATAATAGGAACCGGCCATAAGTTGTCTACGCAAGCCTAGAAGTCGGCCAGGTGCAGGTTCGGGTTGCGGGGAATCGAACCCCATGAGCGGGGCGTTGGCTTCCAGTAAATTATGGCGAGTGTGACCGACCGGCACGTAGCGCAGCAGGAGGGGGGGCGCGGCGCAGTGGGGGGGCGCGGAGGGGGCGGCGGCACGCAGGGCGCCATCCCACGCCGCTCCGCTCAGCCGCAGCCCCCGCACCACCAGCCCTGCATCGCCCTCCACTTCGCTACCGCCCTCTGCAAGCGAGGGAGGCGCGAACTTGTGATTTTGTTTTTGTTTAGAAGACGCTTTTGAAAAATTCTTCATATTTTATGTACAATTTCAAGACATTTTTTTTTTTCAATATTTAATACATTTATATAAATGTGTGTGTGCGACTTTATCCGATTCGAAACTTTTTGCCATCACTACCTACGGATGTTGTTTTGACTGCCCTCTCTTGATGTTAACTTAGGACAAATTTGAAGAAATTTGAGGAAATCTGAGGTTCCATTGTTAGGACTATATAATGTTGGAAGCATTTAAACTTCCCAACCGCACTATCACTAGAAATCAAATCTATCTGTATACGATGGCTTAGCACAGGCTTTACGAAACGATGTTGACTTAGAAAGAGGTGTACGAATGATGGTGTACGATGTCGGCCCAAAAGCTACCTCGGGGCTGCCAGTGGGCGGCGAGCGCGAGCTGGTGCGGCGGGCGCTGTAGGCGGCGGGCGGAGTGCGCGCGCAGCGCCCACACCACGCGCTGCGGACGCGCGAACGAGCGCAGATCCACCTCTGCGGACGCGACCACGCCGTTCTTACAGTGCCTTCTAAACTCACTAATTAGCCGGACGCTCTTAACTTCATGTTCTTATACTACCACACACACACACACACCCAAACTCAGACACACACACACACACACACAAGCACACACCGCTTTATAATTTTCCAGAGAGCACACTTGACCGTGGAAAATATAATCTATAGATAGATTGTCATCACTTGGCCTTGGCCTGATTAAATATACTATTTCTATAACATTAAATACATGACCTGATTTAAACATTTTTTTACCTTTAAATACAATTTAACCATTTACGCGAACAGGCTGGGTCGTGTCAATATTTCGTGTACGACCTCTACGTCACGTTTTGTGTCAAATTCGGCAATGTCCACCTTACGGGACGTGACGTTAGGGGCACGTGCTCCGTGTGCCCACATTGTAAAGACGGTGCTGGGTGCTTTAATCGTATCAGTCTAGAAACACCGCCGGTGAAATTTGATCCGACAAAGCCAACGTGCTGTGTCGGAAGAAGTTGTTGAATTAAAAAGTTGACTTTTCGCTTAACGCAAATTCCCCGTGTTCATTTAAAAGCAGTCGGGTTTTTTGATTTCTGAATTTTATCTACTTTTTTTTTTTAATTGAGAAGGTGGCAATCGTGCTGGCGTTTCACCCTGACGTTAAATGATAACCACCACCCAATGATATTTGCAACACCCGTAGGGTTGTAGATGCTTTGCTACCTTTTAATAAAGCGGGCCACGGCTATCTCACTCGCCAGATGAAACGTGGAGTTATAAAACTTCCACTTCACGCCGTTCCTACCGGAGGGACCTGCTCATTTGTGCAACGGAGAAGACTGCTGCGTGGCCCTACCACAGCTTTTTGTTGTATTGTCTAAGAATATATTAAATTAGTTCCGTAGTCACCGGGCGGCATGTAGTCATCGGGATGGGTCTTCAGTCTCTCGATGGCGGCCCACGCGCGCACGCTCAGCTCCTTCAGATAGGCGTCGGGCGTTACCGGACCCGCCCACTGCAGCTGCCAATCCTCTGGCACCTGGCGATGGTAACGATGGATATGTGAGAGATGTGCCAAAATAATTTGTTATTTCATACAAGTGGCATGTCAAGTCATAACCACCACCCATGGACATATCCAACACCCGTAGGGTTGCAGATGCGTTGCCACCTTTTAATAAAGCGGACCCCAGCTACCTCACTCACCAAAATAAACGCAGAAGTATAACCTCACGCCGTTCTTCTTTGCGATCGTGGTACTTACCCAGACGTACCTGCCCGTTCGTGCAACGGCCGAAACTGTTGCGTGGCCCTACCACAGTTGGGTTAGTTAATTGACGGTGTGCTAAAGAATCGGCGTCGTTATCGCAACAGTCTAGTTATAGGGTGACCCTAATTTAGGGTGTGTCGTACACGTACCGTAGTCAGTGCGTGCGCGTGCGCGTTCGTTTGCGTTGCGGACGCGAATGCCGCGAGGGCGGAGTGGACGCGCCTCGCGGCCGCCGCGCACTCGCGCGCCTCCCCCTCACAAACGCACCCCCACCACCCCGCACACGTCTAGAACACACGAGACCCCACTAGCTACTGAGCTATAGGGATGCCGAAAAAATATAGATATATCGATATTTTCTCCTCGATATATCGAGGCCGATATTGATATTTTTATAAATATCGATATATTTCTCGCATCCCTACTGAGCTAAACTAGGAAAATCGAGTAGCTGTTACCCCTGTTTCAGTAACTCAAACAGTTACAAATACCCGTTACACAAGTCCATTTTTTATTAATGAAAAACAAAACCGACTTGAATTACCTCACTCTGTATTCATTTCATAATTGATTTTCAGGAGTTCCCTAAGTATCTCCGGAGCCCGAGATCCAATACCAATGAAATTATACAATAATTAAAATATGGCACTACATGGGAAACACCTGCTTTCAAATAAAAAAATAATCATCCTCCTCAATTTCTCGGTTGTAATAAGAGAAGCATTTAATACGCGGAAAGTTGACATTCGCATTAAAAGATAGGCAAAAAATTTAAGAGACTTCGTGGAACAACTACTACGAAATATGATGCCCCTTAGAAAGTTTACAAAAGTTAAAAAAAAATGTTCTAAAAATAAATTTCCAGTGTGTAAGTAAAATCTAAAAGGAAGCAACTTAATTAATCTTAATTATGCTGAATATTCAAACTGAGTAAAAGTTTTAATTTTCTACCTTTTCCATTTTATAATCAGCCTTGATAAGCGGGTTTCCAGACATCAGTTTTTTCCACAGGGCCAGTAAAGTCTTCATCGGCGTAACGCTGTCGTTTTTCTTAACGTTAATGGTTGAATTGAATTCTGCAAAAAGATATCAGTTCAAATAAAATATTATACGTGTGAAGCAACTGTCAATGGGTGGTCAATGCGTGAGGTTGCGATTCACCTGATGTAAAGTGATAACCGCCGCTCGCCGGCATTTACGCCGGTCTTCTGTGAGATTGTGATATTTACCCGGACTGCCCATTCCTGCAACAGCAGCGACTGTTGCGTGGCCGTACAGTCATCTTTCAAGTATCCAGGTCTTTTGTCATTAAATGAAGGGATAGGGTCAGGTGAATGGAATACGCCGCGGCAGTGTTCTTACCTCTCAGGCCAGCGATGATGCCACTGGCGGCGTTGTTCTCCCAGGCGACGCGGCAGTTGGCCGGCAGGCCCAGCAGCCGCGGCGGCTCCAGCTCCGGCCAAGATTCGAACTCGTGGATGTACGCCTGCGAACGTCCATCGCGTGGAATTTGAGCACTTAAGCATCCTCGGGGTAAAGTATAATAATAATTCGCTGTAATGATAGGGCGTGTTACTTATTACCAGATGGGCGAATATAATATTTTATCTAGTTTTTTTACTGTGTTTTTATTTTGCGTACTAAGCGATGGTATGGTTTGGGATTTTAGCGACCACAGGTGCCTGGTGAATCTTCGTTAGATCAAGTACATTAGAATTGCCGGATAAGAGAGATGTAAGAGGCTAGTAAAATTAAAATTTATTTATGATGCTAAGGGAATAGTCGCTGTAGCGACTTTGCTTTTGAACGAATGGGCAGGCGCGGATAAAAAAGTAATACGGAATCAATCAAAATCGGCATTGAGAAAAAAACATTTTAACTTTTCGTCCGTGACGCGTTTGCAGTTACGCTGTTGTTGTGGATATCTACAAACAGCATGCCACCATTTCCGTGCTCAAAAAATAAGTTCGGATTCGCCTAGAAGCGTGGCGAAATCGACACGAAAACGAATGCGTTTGTATAGTCTATTCTGTATATTGTTATATTGTAGTTTCTTATCAAGGGGGGGGGAAAGCTTCAGAAGATATCCAGTCACCTCTTACATGACAGGGTTATGTGGGGTTAGTACCCACTAAAATCCCCTCGATGGCCATCTTCTGTACGTTTCGCGTGACTCCGGGATCTGGTACGGAACGCACCGGTGTTCCTCGCTACTGCGCGTGAGCACGCACGTTGAGGGGATCGCAGAATGCCCTCACCATCTTGTAACAGCTCGAGACCACTTCGAACTACTGGCAGTCCGTGTCCTATTCTATGAGTCCGAGACTACAGGGCTGACGGGGCAGCAGAAGCGGACTCGACTTCTTCGTCTTCGTGCGCCTCCTCCAGCCACCGATTAGGACAGTCAACGACCATCAGGGTGAGGGGTCGTACTTAACCTGTACGTACCTGTACGAGCAATGTCCAGTTACGCGGTCAATTGGAAAGTAAGGCCAAATTGGCCTCAAAGAAACTTGGTATGCTCAGCAAGGCGAGGCAGTACTTCACGTCGGCTCAACGCCTAAACTTTTAAAAGGCGCAAATTCGACCACATGGAGTAATGTTTTCACCCCAGGGATGGAGGCCAACGTAGGGCAGCTAGAGTTATAGACGATTTAAGTCTTTCCGATCGGCGTGATCCTTTTTCTCTGCGTAGAGATGTTGGATCACTCTGCATCTTCTACTGCATCTATCACGGGGAGTGTCCCGAGGAATGTTTGATACCTGCAGTCGCGTGTGGTGGGGCAGGGGGCGGGGCGCGGCGGGGGGCGCCCAGTCGTGCGCGAGCGCCCGCTGCGGCAGGCAGTTGCGCACCAGCGCCCTCAATATACGCGCGTCCGCCTCCTGCGCCACGCGCGCCCCGTACAGCGCGCCGCACAGCGCGCGCGCAGTGGCCAAAGCGCGCGCGCCGCCCCCGCCGCTCACGGAGCGCGCGCCCCTCGCGCACGCCTGCACCTCGCCCCAGCCCCACGCGTACCAGCGGCTCCAGCCTGTGCGCAGTGTACGTTCGCCGCTGCAGGTGTCGATCGCCTCGACACGTTTCGGGACGCGTTGAATAATCTAACACGTTATTTGAGCCTTTTCTTCAGTGATGACCAACGGAACCTAGACGTGGTCCTTCACTGCTGGCCGTATGAGGAAGCTCAATGTCGCTCGGCGAGCTATTGAGCGGGCTATGCTTGGTATTTCTTTGATATGTGATAAAGTCGTAACGAAAATATCCGCAGTAGAACCAAGGTAACCATCGTAGCTCATAGGATTAGCAAGCTGAAGTGGCGATGGGCCGGCCATATAGCTCACAGAACCGATAACCGTTGAGGAAGAAAGGTTCCCGAGTGGCTGCCTCGTACTGGTCAACGCAGTGTAGGACGACCCCCCCTACAAGATGGAGTGACGACCTGTGCAAATGTGCGGGAAGTCGGTTGGATGCAATTGGCTCAGGATCGTACTTCGTGACAGTCTATAGGGGAGGCCATTGTTCAGCCGTGGACTCTAAACAGACTGAAACGATGATGAATCAAAAGGCTCAGATTTATCATGCTTATGTTTACATACAGCAGAATTATATTTTGGTAAGAGCTTATATACACACCGGCACAATTAGCGGAACACAAAAAAAAGCAGGATTTTAAAATCTTTTACTTGAGGAACTGGCCAGTTATGATATTTTTTTAATTTATTGTCAAATTTGAAAATAGAAAATTAGATGACATACACTTTTTTCATTCATTTGTTTTATTTTCCCGAACAATACGTTTTGTCAACTTGTTCGAGTAATAACTACGTAATTGTATTTTTTTTGAAAAATTGCACTTAATGGTTTTTTATAAATTTGTTATTCTATAGGCAATTTTGTTTATTAAAAGCTCTTTATTATGCCTGACTTAATATCACTGGAAATCATTAGGGCTGATAAAATGAGGAGAAATGGCCATACCTACAGATCGATTGCCTCAAGGCTTCGTCGACCAGTATCAACGATTCATCGCAGCATCCAGCGGTACAGATCGTCTAATTCTCTTGTGAGGAGGAGGGGTCAAGGTAGAAAAAGATGTACATCGAGGCGAGATGGCAGTTTTTTACAACTTGGAGTTCGTAGGAATACGCGATTAACGGCTGTACAAGCTCGAAATGAACTGGAAGACGTTCGAGGAGTACGAGTAAGTGAGCGTACAGTTCGCAGGAGATTTGAAGAAGTTGGTTTAGGGTCGTATATACCTGCCAAAGGCCCAAAACTTGAGAGACGTCACCGCGTAAACCGATTAAGCTATGCGCGAGAACATCGTCATTGGGATTTGAACGAATGGCAGCAGGTTCTCTTTACTGATGAGTGCAGAGTTCTTTTAAAACAGATCGATGGGAGACAGCGAATATGGAGACGCAAAGGAGAACGCCACATACAGTCTAATTTTGAACACACAGTGGCTTATGGTGGCGGCTCGATTACGGTTTGGGGAGGGATATGTTTGGGAGCTCGCACGGAGTTAGTGATAGTCACAGGAGGGACCATGACAGCAGATCGATACATCAGAGACATTTTAGAAGAACATGTTGTACCATTTGCCCCATTTATTGATGACGACTTTATTCTAATGCGAGATAATGCTCGTGCTCATAGTGCACAATCGGTACAGGCATATCTGAGCCACGTAGCTATACCGGTGATGCAGTGGCCAGCAAATTCCCCCGATATGAATCCGATAGAGCATGTCTGGGACTTGCTAAAAAGAAGGGTTAAATCCAGAATGCCACCCCCCAACAATCTGAATGAACTTGAAAACGCATTACTTGAGGAGTGGGGGCGGTTGCCTCAAGAAATCATCGATAACATAATCTGTAGCATGCCCAGACGAATGGAAACCGTAATCAGAGCAAGAGGGGGAAACACTCGTTATTAATTTTGTTTTAATTTTATTGTTAAATCATTTAATGCTTACTTTTTTTTATTTTTTGTGATGGTTCATAGTCATCTAAAAATTTCACTTATTTCAAATTTCTTTATTTTTCAATAAAAAATAACGAAGACTTTTCAAAGTCGTTGTTAAAAGATGTTAATCAATTTGTTATTTTGTGTCTAATTACATTTTCGTCAAATATATGCGTTATAATCTCATAGTCTCACTTTTTTTTCTGTTCCGCTAATTGTGCCGGTGTGTATATATTACCTTTACTTGAATCGTGACTTTAATAGTTAAACGGTCCTCGATATGGTCACGGAAACGATTGTTACCCTAAATATTTAAAAAGTTGATCTAATCGCAGACTCGATCAATTTTGAGACACATGAGACGTGGCCTCCTGTGAGGCGGCCCACAGTAAGTCCGCTCGTGTACCGTGCGGAATGTAGGCGCGTCGCTCCTGCGCGAGCGCGTGCACGAGCGCGAGGCACGCGTGCACCCGCACCAGCGGCGCCTCCGCCTCGTAGCGGCCCCACGCGCTCAGCGTGCCCACCACCTTGTGCCTCACGCCCTCCGGCGGCTGCCGGCGGGTGAACATGGGTAATGGCAAAGTTAACATTTTGTCAAAGCTACACTAATGGCAAGGGCCTAATATAATGTCGAATGATACATTGAGAGCTAGTACGTGTGGAATTGACCGCAGGCATGACCGCAGAGCTTCTATGCCGGTTCTTCAATGCCCAGGTCTACTTTAGTGAACCGGTGGTAGTTTATTGACGTTCAATAAGAGCTTAAAATAAGCCTTATTGAACGTCAATAAACTAAGAATAAAGAAATTTTTAATTTGACTTTAAAGTAAAAAAACTTATTGAGTATTGGTTGTGGCACACGCGGCTTTATAACTTCCTCCTGAAAACAGGCTGCAGGTAACCAGGTACCATGCATAAGTAAAGGGACACCTGTCCAAAATGCCGGGATTGCCTGATTTTTTCAGATTAAATGCCTGTCTAAAATTAAAAAAAAGCTGTGATACGTAACAAAATCACATTATTATTCGAAATGCGAAACAAGGACGCATATACAGCGTGTCTTTACAATCGCGACAATAATTGAACACACATATATAAACATGAAATTGCTTGTCAAATACGGCAAGTGCCTGTCAGATTCTATTTTGCTTTTTTCATTTGTTTGTTTGAAAAATATAGATTTTGTTTAACATTTAATAAGATTATTGTATCCGTGTGTTCTCGCTCGCACCGGCATCTAAGTACTTTTTACCAGCAGTCAGTTGGCAATCTTGTGCAAAAACCAGTCAGTCAACTAAAAAATCAGTCAACTAAAAAATATTTAAAAAAATGTATTTACAACGGTTAGATATATTGAACATTCAATATAACGAAAATAAAATAGATGAGTATAATAGTGAATGCTTACAGTAATCAGTAAAGTTATCTTCTTTCTGTATTCAGATATCATGTAGTTTTACTATGCATTACCAGATTTTAATATTAGACAGGTGGACAGGTGCTTGGTTAGAAGTTGTAATATTAACTTCACATAGGCGCGTTAAGTTTACTTTCGCGTTTTGTGAGGTATTCGGGACCAACTTTTCATATAAAAAAACTTGACTAAAAACTAACCTCAAGAATGACAGTGATGCAAATATTCGCTATGTGCGATGGTATCTCTCTGTCTTCAGCTACCACCCACAGGCGAATATCGTCTTTAGAATCCTCCGCCTGTTGATAAAAAATATCTTAACTTACGAGGAGCGTTCAATGTAGTGATCCGTATCGGGATGATATACTAATGATGAAGGTAATTTAATTATCTCACTAAAAAGAAAATAAAAATAAAATTTAATTATCACTATTAGTATTCAGGAAATCATTACGAAAAGGCAATTACGACGAATGATACGATACTGTTGAAAAAAATCGAGCATCAAGCTAGATATTGAACACGATCCCCGTGCCAACTTCAAATCGTTGAGAAACTTGGACTCTAAGATTGCCATTGTAAGAGTGAAAACATTCACAGAAAGGACTTATTATTATTTTTATTTACTATTAACACATTACTATTAATTATACATTACGTTTCTGCAAGTGATAACTCTTTAAGACACCGTTATACAAAAATATAGAAGAGAATTTACATTGCAACATTTCAGCTGGTTACGAAATAAATTTCTTTTGGAGTTTTTTTTTTCATATTTAATTTTTATTTTTAGCTAGCACCGAAGATGAAAACTAAAACGTGTATATAAATTGTCTAAAAATAAATTCCGAGTGCCAAACCTCGGTATCTCGGAAAGTAAGGCTTTTCTGATAGCTCACCGTCTGCCGGTCGAAGTCCAATAAGAACTGGTGCAGTTCGCGGGTGAAGGGCGAAGCGCCCACCACTATCGCCACCCAACAGCCGCCACCAGCCTGCAACGCCGCAGACCACGCAGTTTCTCCTTCTTCAATTCCGACCTAAGCACAAATCGTATTTGTACGACGTACGTATTATTATTACGTAAGTTATTTTTTTTTTGTATTTGTAATTTGTATAACTGATGTTACGCTTTCAGTCCTTAGACTATTAAAGATGTTCGGCTCTGTCGAAGAACCGTTTGGTGAGATCTTTGAAATGTTCGCGAATCGTCGGGAGTCTGCAGTCACTGTACAGGTCAACGTTGCTTAATTTATTAGTACGTATGGCCACCACTTTATTAAAAGGTTGCAACGCTTCTGCAACCCTGGGTGTTGCAAATATCCATTGGCGGCGGTCATCACTTAACATCAGTTTAACCACATGCAAGCTTGTCACCTTCTCATACAAAAAATATACTCTTCATAAGGGAGATACAAACGAGTGTTGCCACTCATGGACGTATAAGGCTATTGTGCTTTCCGAGTACAACTGGCGTATAAAACATCATCAGAAGCACTTGCAGATTGTCTTATTAAATGGGTAGTTCTTTGCGTGCGATAAATGGATGATATAATGGTAATCATTCATTTCATATGGGTTATCCCACGCATAACCTACCCTATGCCGACATTTGGCAAATTTTAATACATGCTACATGCACAAAGTGGCGCGCATTCGTACCAGTTTTAGTGCGGGCGCGTGCGCTGCGAGCATATCGACGGCGTGCGGAGCTAAGAGCAGCACCGCCGCCCGCGCGCCTCCCTCGCGGCGGCGACCAGCTCGCCCCCCGCCTCCCCGCCCGACATCGCGCCCGCTCCTGTCCACGAACGAACCAACAAACAAATTGACAATTGAACCAACAGACAAACCGAAGGTTGATTGTCAATTTGTTTGTTGATTTTAGTTTGTTAATTTGTTCTTTACTTGCGACCCGCTCTGGTTTCGCACAGATCATCAAGAACATCTGTTAATCTGGTCCAGCCGTTTTGTTCATAACGAACATGTTTTTGCATAAATAGACTAGTGACAGGTCCCGGCTTGACACGGGTGGCTTTGATTGTCCAAATCTGTTGATCTGATAACTACCAAACTTAACTTTTTTTATTTGGGTATTTTCTTAGTTTGATCAAATTCGATTACTGAACATCCTACATGCATTACTTATATTTTTTTTATCTGAGAAGGTGGCAGGCGCGCATTTTATCTGATGTTAAGTGATAACCGCTTCCCATGGACATTTGCAACACCCTCAGAGTTGCAGATGCCGTCTTTTAATAAAGCGAGGCCCGGCTACCTCACTCACCAGACGAAGAAGTGTAACACTTCCAATTCACGTAGGTCTTCTGCGTGGTCGTATTACTTCCCCGGGTGGACCTGCCCGTTCGAGAATCAGCAAAAACTGTTGTGTGGCCCTACAGTAGGTAGTACAAATATCAGCCCTGTAGTCCCGGGATTATAGAAAAGGGCTAAGGTATCCCCTTGCTGTCGTAAAAGGCGGCTAAAAGGGGAAACGGATGGGCAGCAGCACGAAGTGGTCTTGTGCTGCTGCAAGAGGCTGAGGGAATCGGAGAAGGTTTATCCTTCTTCGAGGCGTGCTCAGGCGTAGTACCGAGGGACACCGGTGCGTTCCATGGCAGATCCCGGAGTTCCTCCAAATGTACAGAAGGTGGCCACCGAGGGGGTTTAGTAGGTAAGAACCCACATAACCCTGTCATGTAAGGTGACAGGGTGTCTTTCGAAGATTTCCCCCTAATACTAAAAAAAAAGGTAGTACAAATATAACTGAACAGTCATAGACCAACCTAAAAGCCCGTCGACGAACGCGACGATCGCCCTGTACAGAGAATCCGTTCTCATGACGCTAACCGCGACAACGGTCTCGAAAGCAGTCAGCCCCAACCGCTCTAGAGCACGGAGGTCTCCCACGCGCTGGAATTCCGTCCACAGCGCCTCGTTGCCCAGCGACATCTTGTCAAAGAGCTCTTCGCTGTTAACCTGGAAATTACTAACCGTTGAGTCTGTGCCGTTGATAAATGAAACTGACTTAACGTTAGTCCAGCCAACTGTGGACATTAGCACGTGAGAATTGTGTTCGAAACATCGTAAATTAAACCCTAACTGATTGGCAAAAAAAGCTTATGTAAGTTTTATTTAACAACAAGAAGTATTTGCGTGAACAGAAGAAATCATTGATCTGTGCCGATTAATTCCGCGTGTTCTGACTTGTTTCCGTGAGCTATGATGAGCTATATATACATATCCAGTGTCCGAGGTCCGTGATACAAATTAAATTAATATGGGGTCAATGGATGCTCACACAAAACTAAACCCAATACAAAAAAAACCGGTTCTCAAACTCCGGAGTTCTGAGTTAACAAACATAAAAAACATTTTGAACTCGGTTGCAAAATGTTCGTTTACAAAACTCGATAAAATGCTATTCACAACTGTACACCACAAGTTTAGTGGATCAAGACAAACTATTTAGATTGCGGTGAGTGGGCACTCCCTGATTGCTATGAAGCATGATGTCTAAAACGTTCATATAAAAAAGTAGAGTCCAAAAGGAGAATGAAGGAGAGTGAAACTATCTCTTGCGTTAGAGATGGGTGTGGAACATAGTGTTTTTATAGTTTTTGGGTGTTTATATATCTATAATACGTATTTATTTAGAAAGGAAAAGTATGTTTATAAATTACCAAGTTTCCCTAAAATTTTACTGAAAGCCAAACAAACAGGTTTGTTTAGTTTTGTACTAGAAAGCGTCTTGTAAAAATATTTCCTAAAATATTTATTTATCTTATTATTTAGTTTTTTTTTATATATAACTGTATCACATATATTTTTGTCGTGATAGGACCAAACAGCAGCTTTTGCACTAATAGACAGGCTCGTCCCTGTGAAATACGCTAGAGAGGACCGGCGTAAAGTGGCAGTATTATACTTTCGCCTTTAATTTGGTGAATGAAGTAACCTGGGCCCACTTTCTTCAGGGTTGTCATATTTTCTTTAAAAAAAATATAGGCTTGTTTTAAGCTCTTATTGAATATCAAAAAACCAGTACTGCGACCGGTTCACTAAACTAGGCCTATTCATCAAAGCGGCAAGATATTCTGCGGTGTTGTTTTCTAAATGCTATATTATACAAAATTTGTTAGGTATAAATTCATCAACAGCCATCAGCCAACAGGGACCTGCAAGTGCAGAGCGAGAGAATTCCACAAAAATTAGTCCTCAATGTATTTTGACATTATTATAGGCTTTTTCCATCGGGCTTCGCATCTGCATGTACTACATGTATTGTACATGTCCATTGTCAGCTTAACAAATAAAACTTAATAAGGGGAACCTAAGTTTTCCACGTTCAAAATTTATAATAGATAAATATATAATATATAAATAATGTAAGCATTCTTGTGTATATTTAGGAGCAAAATTCAGACACCTCTTCAAGACACCGGCGTTTAAATAAGTATTGACAGACCGTTATGGCTAGATGCCTTTAGGTATATAGTTATCTACTACTGTCACGGTCAAAGACGCTTGGACTTGTATGATATAATGTATGATATGGAGCTCGTCAATTATTCGATGCGCAATGATGTTACATTTGAAAAAAAAAAAACAGCTGACCTTCAGTTGAGCCAATCTCTTGATACGATCTTCTAACACCCACGGGTAGCGCGTTTTGATTTCATTTATCGTATTCTGATCTTCTAATTTGTTCAAGATTCCAATGAATATATTCCATAGCTGAAACATAAGCAAAGTACGTATAATAGTATTGAATTAACTATTTTTTGCTAAAACGTTACAGCTTAATGGGAGTCTGTATACGATAGAATATTTCATTCTTTTAAAAATTAATAATTTCCTTCCTTTCTACTTTGAAGTAATTTTATCAGATTGGGCTGATAACAGTTTTAGCCGTGCGAAAATATTACTTGAAGTGACATTCACAGAAACAAATTGGATATATAAAGCAAAATCTTAAGGAACCATTATAAAGATAATTTTAAAAACAACTTACTCCTTCTGGTATAAGGTCTTCGTAGATCTGCTTCAATAAATGCAACACCACTATATACTTATCTCTTTTGTGCAAGCTCAAGAGAATCCTTTCCACGACCCGTCTTGTCAAGTATTTCATAATATCTTCGTGATTGTTCAGGTCCTGGAAAACATTTGAATTTTAAATTGAATTTTGAATTTTACAAATATGTGGCTGGCTATCGATCAGCTTATAACAATAACATATCAACCACTTCTAAATGTTGATGTAAACAATTCATCGCGGTTGTTACGATTTTACGCCTTTACGCAGGCGCGCACACATACAAATACACATACCAACACAGGTACAACGTTCGGACCCCGTGAGAAACACTCTATAATGTTTTCTCGTTCTGTCACACGTTCAAACCCATAGATACTTCTATCTCATTCTCTCGCCCATCATATCCAATAGGTGATGTCGTTCTTTTTTTCTGATGCTAAAGAAGTTAAAGTTAGCTAAGTTTTCACTGCAAAAGCCGTGACTCACCGTCGCCTTCCGCAGCGCGTCGCCGAAGAGACGGCGCACATCGTCCGCGGGCAGGGCTGCCAACGGGCGGCGAGCGGCCAGCGCGCCGACAGCCAGAGCGAGCCTGGTGGTAGAGGCTCATTGAAAACACATCAATAAATCGACATATCGATATATCGTTTTGATTATTTCGCCGTCGCCACCCCTACCTGGCGGCGCGCTCGGCCGCCGGCTGGTGCTTGGCGGCGGCGTGGCGCGCGCTCGCCTCCACCGCCCGCGCGGCGTCGAGCGCGCGCCGCGTCGTGTCCGCCGCCTCGCGGGTGCCGTTCAGCGACGCGAGCAGCGCCGCGTCGTGCAACACGTCGCCGCTCTGAGACAGCTGTCTCAGCAGGTTCTCCTGGATGCACATGAAAGACAATGACGCATTTTGTGTTTTCGAAGTATTACCCTACGGTGGTAGGGCCATGTAGCGGCCTCGGCTGTTTCACGAATGGGCAGGCTCGTCCGGGTAAGTACCACAACCTCACAGAATACCAGCGTAAAGTGGAAGTATAATACTTTCGCGTTTCGTCTGGTGAGTGAGGTGGCCGGAGCCCAATTTTCAAAAGGTTGTCAACGCACCTGCAACCCTCGTGTGTAGCAGATGTCCATGGGCGGCGGTATTCACTTAACATCAGGTGAACCGTCTGCTCGCTTGGCAATTGTTCACATAAAAAATAGTGAAACTTGTAATGCGTCTTCCAACATGTTTACGTTTAACGTTTAACGTATGAAATCACTGTTGCGTTAAACGTTCAACGCTCCTGGGGAGGGGGAATAGAAAGAGACGGAGCGAGAGTGAATGCGTGGCACTCGAAGTTTCACTTCTTCCGCGCGGAGGGACTCCACGCACTTTTTTTGTTAGCCTGGCGGTTCACCTGATGTTTAGCGATTGCCGCCCCCAATGGACATCTACAACACCTGAAGGATGAAAGCATTTTCGATGTAATGCTTTTTTATGTGAGTAGATGGCAAGCGAGCATGGCAGCACCTGATGTTCAGCGATTGCCACCACCCAAGGACATATACAGCGTGTCGTTACGACCGCGACAATAAATGAACACACATATAGAGGATAACTTTTTATAATTGTATTAAACATTTATATTCTTTAAACATCAATATTTACCGAGTTATTAAATTTTCCCAAACAAACAGTTTTAGAACATCCTTTCGTATAAAAGTCCATTTGTAAAGGTCACAAAGCATATGAATATTGAATGAATTTGAAGGAGATAAAACTAAATACTGTCAGAAGGAGAGATTTGTAGTGCGACGCTGCGGTAACGAATGAAAAAGTGTCTGATTGTATAAATCAGTCAGTTGTAGTTGTATAGGATGTTACAAAGTTTGTTCTTTTTTAATTTAATTGGTTTGTTTGAAAAATATATTTTTTAAATTATGGATTTTTTTTACTTTTTTTTTATGGTTATTGGCAAGTAGCGTTAGACGTGTGTTAATTTATTGTCGCGGTTGTAACGACACGCTGTATAATCTACAACATCTAAAATATTGGATGCATTGTCAACCGTTAAAAATTGTGCCCCTGCCACCCTCACCAAACTAAACACGAAAGTGTAATAATTCTTTTTCACGCCACTCTTCTGTCATACTTTGGTACTTCCCCTGACGAGACTGCCAATTCGTGCCACAATTAAAGCTACTGCGTAGCTCTACCACAGAGTGGAAGGGGTTGAGTAATAAGTCCCAACGACCACTGCGAACTGCGATCTACAAGATCTACCTATTGTATTCTTTCATTTAAACAGCCCATACCATCCCAATAATTGAGAACAACATTAATATTCCATTTCAGGAACACTATCGACCCATTAGGCATCAAAGTAACTTAATATTTATAAGACCAAAATTATGGTAACAAAATATTAAAAGCATATAAGACGTGACAAATTTAAAGTAGTTTGCGTATATTCAATATGTTCATAAGCAAATATAACTTGTAGAAGTAATTGATACTACAATGCATGCTCGTATAGGAATTTTGCATGCAGTGCAAATTAAACTGTTTTAAGTACGTAAGTGGATTTTAGAATTTATTTCACAGTAAAGTATTATGTGATTTTATCATGAAAATTTAAATAATAAATGTTACCTGCAGTTCGTATTGTTGCTTTTGTAATGCAGCTTTCTTTATTTTGATCTCTTTGAGATTTTCGTTCACTTCTGGGTTCTGTTGCTGTAAAGCGTAGCGAACAAATTGGTCTGAAAAGAATATAAGTGGTAATTAGACTATGAATGAAGGATTGACATCAAATAGACTAGTGGTATATTCGTAGATTCCATATTAATGAAAACATTAAATTTGGGATAAAATATTAACACTAATCAGATTTGATAAAGTTACGGCTAAGAAGGAGTTATTATTATTTATAATCAATAAGGTTTAGAAATACAATGTTTTTGTTTTCTAGTCAAGCCGTAAAGGCAGACATGAATATAACTAGTCAAGTCTAACTAGCTTTTTTATGTGAAAAATTGGCCAGTGAGCACGCGGTTTACATGATGTTGAGTGATTACCGCCACCCATGGTCGCATCCAATGCCCGAGGTGTTGCCTATTAAAAGTGGCCACAGGTTACCTCACTCACCAGACGAAACGCGAAAGTATAACTAATTCTACTTCTGCTGGTCTGCTTGGAGACCGTGGTAGTTCTTCGGACGAGCCTGCCTAATCTTGCTCCTGCGAGATCCAACCTTAGTTAAGCTTTCAGCTCGATTATACATACTCATTATCTCGTAGATAGCAAATATCTCATGCTGTAGGGAATCAGACGGGCGTAGTCAAGGCAAAAGCAGGTTGGTAGAAAGAAAGTTTAAATAAACCCTCAACGGGACTCTATATCCTATTGCTGTTAATATTCCACGCGCTTGAGCAAAAAGGTTCATCTCCTCTTTCGTAATGTGTACAGCAAGAGTGCAGCGATTTGCTAGAGTCCGTTTCCATATCGAGATGTAATGCGAGTGTATTCAAAGTCACCGCTGTCACACAGTCATCACTGCTTGCCATCAGATGCAATGATCAGCACTGGGTAGTTTGTGATGTGAAAAAAGACTACAGTGTGTTTGATTTGCATAGAGAGTTGTAGAGAATATTCCCTACTTTTAAAACTACAGAATCTGGTGAAACTGGTGATTCAGCAGACAACATACCCGTGAGGCTGTGCAGACTGGGCGTGAAGCGTAGCGGCGATAGTGCAGCAGTCGGGGCCTTGGCCACCACCACCTCCTGGTCACCAGCACCCAGCGGCAGCCGGAGGGGCAGCGGGGCAGCTGTTCCGTCTCCACCTCGGTCACCACCAGGATGCGGCTGAGCCTAAATCGACGGTAGTCAATTCTCTCACCTTCTAAAGCACGATAGTGCAGTCCGTCTGCTCACAAAGCTGGCTAAGCAGGCGACGCAAGACGGGATGCGTAAGAATTTTAATAACAAATCGAAACATAAACATATCGCGGGCGCGCGCGTGTGCGTGTGCGTGTGTGTGCATGTGCATGTGCGTGTGCGTGTGTGTGTGTGTGTGTGCGTAAACAGATACGACACACGGTATTATGAGACATACATAACATAAATTGTGAAAGTATTAATTAAGTTGTAAGCAACATTATAAAATAAATACTTTATAATACGAGAACCTTTATAATGTTAATGTTTATTCCAACTACTTTTTATCTTTCTATAGCTCTTATTAAACACTGGTCTCAAATGGCCTTTCACATTGCGCGGGGTTATAACCGAGCTGAAATTACTCACCGAATAGCAAACTGCGCGGCGGTCGCAAACTTTTCGCTTTGGTGGGAAACGAACTCGCACTGGGTGTCCGCCAAAGTGTTCCTGAGCCACGCCTCGGCCTCACCGTCGGGGTCAATGACTAAGGGTGTGAAGCCGCATTTATTCGTCTCCAGGGCCTGAAATAGATATTAAATATTAACGCAACGTACACAAGTAGTATGGGTATTATGTGACATACTGAAACATACTTTTCTTTTATAAATAAAAACATATAAACGTTCAGACTCTATATAAATAGTCTAGTCATCACCCAATGTATTTCTAGTCCACTAGACCACCCACACCCTCCAGTGCAAGCAACAATTTCACGGTCCATGACGCTCATTGTTTTATCTTTACTAATTAATACCTCCACTTACTGGTACTTTTCCAGAGGAGGTCACCAATATGTTGAACAGTATAAGCTGCTGTGTACAATTGTCCTACCACAACAAAAAAAATTCTAGAATTTTGTGTTTTGTGTTTCAAATTGCTTAATCATATCAGCGATGATTTACGGAATTCTCAAGGACAAATGTTACCTGTTCGATGAGCACAGCGTTTTTAACAGCAGTCTGATCCATTGGCAAACCTTCCGCTTCCCATTTCAGCTGTTTTTCGGGTGTGGCCAGGAAGTTTATAACAGAGAACGACTCGTCTTCGAATCCTATTAAAGTGCTCCATTCTTTTAGCGTTTTCCTTAAAAAATAACAATACTTATACACCACAAATTTCCTTTAATAAATATCATATATCATAATAATTTAACAATTAATAAAACTGCATATTTTCGAAATAATAACAAAAAATATTTAGAAGATATGTGAAGTCTGCCAATTATCTGTGGTTCTCGCTGGGACTCTTTGTAAAGAACACTTCTGCCCAGTAGTGGGACATGTTAGGCTGTTACTTTTTTTGAATGACGGAGTTAACATTAAAAAAATACAATCGAATTGAGAACCTCCTCCTCCGCATTTGAGGTCGGTTGAAAAATCGCAATGAATTGTCTAAAAACATTTACATCTTCTAACCTGGCCTGCGGTTCGGTTAAGTCCGGAAGATATACTACGTAGGCTGCGGCAAGGAGTGATCGTACATTCAGTTCTAATATCTCCTTCGATATGTTTTGAAGCTGTTGAAAGGATAAAATATTATAGACAAACAGTCGTAGCTTAGTGAAAACTCAAGAATGTATAAACTATGGAGTTAAGGTTTGGCTTGGACATCTTGGTGCAATTGGTTTGATTTATCCTAAATACAATAATAAAGTTGCAATATTCGTATATATTATATAATTATTATCACTCCAAATTGCACCCAGTACTGGCACAGGGGATAACATTTGTAATTTTTTTTCTTTTGCCACGCAAAATAATAATAATAATAAAATAATCTTCATTTGAGACAATACACAAAATTAGGTAAATTATCCATAGCTTGTTAGTATTTGTAAGTAACAGTGTGGCTAGGTTTAATAAGTGAAAATTAATAAATTGGTAATAATGCACGCACGCACGCACGCACGCACGCCGCCCGCACGCACGCACGCACGCACACACACACACACACACACACACACACACACACACACACACACACACACACACACACACACACACATTTTTGTTGATTGCACTCACGTCCAGCCGCCAGGCGTCGTGCTCGTCCGCCAGCCGTTCTAGAAGGTTCTGCGCGGCGTGCAGGGTTCGCTTCGCTTCCCCGAGGCGGTGCTCGATGGCGGCCGCGTCGCGGCTGTGCCGGCCCAGCTGCCCCTTGAGCTCGGCCACGCGCTCCTCCACCGTGTTCAGACCGCTCGAGAGCGCGGCCAGCTCCGCCTCGGCCTGCTGCAGATTCCTATGAGCGGGGAGACAGGTGCTTACGATTTATTCACTTTCGACATCCTCATTTGTGTGTCGCCCAGACGGGGTCGTACTCTATCATCGTCGTCGATTCAGCGACCGCCAAGCCACGTGCATACATTGACGACATACTAATATAATAACTAATATATATACTAATATAAATAATTTTTGTGAAATAAAAAGTAATTAACTGCTTCCGATTATTCACAAAAATACAAATAGGTTTTAACTAAAACTTAGGTCAGGGACAACATTGCGAATAAATTGAACTCGTCACACAGACTACCGGTCCACCGCATATAGACTATATGTTAATGATGCAAGTTAACGTTTTGATTATTAAGCTGAACCTCGATATTAGGAATCAAGAAGCTACCTCTGACGGCGTTCATTCTTTCACGTTAACAAGCACACATAAATCCCTCTCCCTCCCCCCATTTCCTCCCGTCAAATATTTTGCTAACTCAATTGTATCCCGAGCGCCTCCTATAGATTGAAGTAGCTCCTCTAAGATATACCTTTATTGTAAGCTTACCTGAAAAGACGCTATGCATAAGATAAAATGGAACTGAAATATCATGTAAAAGCTAACCTGGTTGGCCTAGTGAGTAGTGAACCTCTTGCGCCAGAGGGTGTGAGTTCGTTAAAATTATATTAAATCGTTTAATATTAAGAACATACTGTTTTACCACTATCTGCGTGTGTATATACTGTTGGAAGATAGGATGGTAGTAACACACTGTAACGGTCAATAACAGGAACAGCGCTTCGGGGGATTTTCTCGTCAGCCGTTGTAGCGTGTTATAGCTCTACCCGAATTAATATCGATCATGTAGGTTACTTAGAACCGTAATTAAACTCTACGTAGTTTGGCTTACTGGCCACTAAGTTCTTTTTAAAATTCGATTATCGTTTCTATTCCTAATAATTCCTATATGTATTTATTTACAAAAGAAAAGTATGTTTATCATTAAAAATACGAAATTTCCAATACCAAAAGTTATCAGTTAACTATTGGTATTGGAAAACGTTGTGTAAAAAATAGTCGTGAAATATCCATCTTATAACCAGAGCGGCGTCGGTCGCGTTGGGTGTCGCTTACCTGTGCAGCTCGCGCTGTTGCATTTGCAGCGGCTGCACCCGGCGCAGGGCGTTCGCGTAGTCGAGGTTCGCCTTGACCCAGGCGGCCAGCGGTGCGCACGCGGCGCTCGCCCGCCTCGCCGCTGCCTGCTCGAAGGAGGCGCCGCGCCGCTCCAGCAGCCGCTGCACGGACGCCGCCGCTTCGCCGCTGATCTGGCTCGCGTCCAGGCACCTGCGATGCTCGTTTCGCATTATTTTATGTGAACAGTTGCTACGCGAGTCAGGTTCACCTGACGTCGGGTGATTAGCGCCGCCCGTGGACATCTGCAACATCTTTCATGTGAGAAGGTGGTAATCGAGTGGCCCATCGACACCTGAGGGATTGTTGATGTCATGGCGACCTTTTATTAAAGTAGATCCCGGCTACCTCACTACCATCTGTTGCTTCAACAACAACATGGAGCCTTGTTGTTATCATTTCTTATTTCACTCCTGTTTTTATTTTATTGTTATTTTGAAAGGGAAGCTTGGTAAAATACCTGAAAAACTAGAACATGGACTGAACATTGAACCGACCGTATGTCCTCTTTGACCCCCCTCTTGGAAAGGAAGCTCTTCATGGAGTGCCACGAGGTGTCCGCTATGCCCATCAGCCGCAACACGCCCTCGAGCACGTCGCGGACCACGTCCGGCGGCGCCCTCAACGACCGCACCTGAACACGCGCGATTAAAGCTTTATTGCCGTGCGCGAAAGTCTCTTTTCGCTTGCCCCTGTTTCGGAACTGTTAAAAAAATACAGCTTAAGATTTTAGCGCACATATTTAGCGAATTTCTGCTCGAATTGATTATTCATGTCGGTAATAATGGTATTTTAGAGGTAAGCTTGCTTTGTTTGTTGAGACATCCGCATTACTAGTGAACTTGTCGCAACAAATAAATTTAGTATTAAGACATAGGAACCTATTTCGTGGTTCGTGGATTAATCTAAATATGTGTCACGTTTAAATTTTGCCGATGAAGTATACGACCGTTAAATCGCATAATTACGATACACGAGAGTTTATTCACAAAAAAAACCATTATACCATGTCTACTTGCCAAATGACATTGGCTAAAATTTTTCATTGGCAGTTTATCAATAAAATTCAATAAATACCTCACTGAGCGACTCCGGCTTTATATCGCCAACGGCCGCCCGCGCCGCCTTTATCACGGGCTCCACAGACGCCAACTCCTCTTCAATCTCCTTTTTCCTGTAACGAGATAATAATTATATTAATACTGGAGTTGAGCCGAATATCAGAATATGAATAAACGAATACGAATATTCGGCCCAACATCCAGTTTTTTTTTAATGTGAAAAGTTGCCAAACGAGCAGACGGTTCACCTGATGGTAAGTGAATACCGCCGCCCATGGACATCTGCTACACCCGAGGGTTACAGATGCGTTGACAACCTTTTGAAAATTGGGCGTCGGCTACCTCACTCACCAGACGAAACACGAATGTATTTGTCATACTTCTACTTCACGCTGGTCTTCTGTGAGGTCGTGGTACTTACCCGGACGGGCCTGCCCATTTGTGCAACAGCCGAGGCTGCCGCGTGGCCCTACCACCGTAAAGTCAAACCTAACGGATCATTCAGCCGAATAATTCGGTCCAACAAGTTCATACTGGAGACGAGGCACTATGTAGTAGAGATTATTTATTTATTTTGTCTATAAAAGCTTCTTTGCACACTTTAAATAAAATGGTAACAAAGAGCGCACTTAATGCGCAAAGGATTCCAGTCTATCCAGGCTGTGGTGATATTGCTCTGGTTATCTTCTTAGAACAATCATTCAGAGTAAATCGTAGAACGATTTTACCGTTTGTACACAAATGCGAGAGGGAATAGCAGCGTTTTTCGCGACTGTACTTAAACGCGTGGCGCGAAAAAGACGAGGAATAGGCACGAAAGCGAACAGCGGCGTTTTGCACGACAATACTTCAACGGGTAGTGGGAAAGAGACGAGAGATAGGCGTCACCTTATCTGCAGCTTCTCGTTCTCGAGCTCGATGCTCCTCTTGAGGGCGTGCATTTCGTCCTTCTTGTCGGTGGTGGCGCGCACGGTGGCGCCTATCTGGTCGAGGGCGCTGTTCGCCGCGGCCTGTTTCTCGGATAGCGCCAACTCCTGCTCGGCCGCTTCGGCTTGCAGGGTTGCCACCTCACTCCTCGCACGGTGCAGCGCCTCCAAGCCGGACTTTGGAGAAGAAAAAAGTAAGTAGCAGCGTACATGTACAGAGCACTTAAGTAATAGAAAGATGCATGTCGGTAATATTACTATTCAGGGTGATTTTTTAGACGAAGTACATACATACTTTGACATAATGTTAATTGAGCATTCCATAATTCAAAAAAAAAAAATATTTTTTGGACAAGAAGTAACCAGAAAAATATCAATTCAAACATTGTTTGTTTATCCCGTTAAGAACGGTCACTCTATTGATAATCGGTTAAGTAATTATATGTTCAGCGAAAAGTTTTAGTGCTTGTCAATAGATTATTGTATTGAGATGTTAAGGCAGGAATTTCTTAAGGTGTCCATAATGTTTGAAAAAAATAAAAATAATTTTTGATAAAAAAATGAGGTCACAGGTACGTACCAGATTCAGATTTAGAATCAAATTCTGCTTATGCTCATGTCCGTCGTCATAAAAGCACCCTGTATATAAAAATCGATGTGTGTATGTATTTTCCCTATAGATTCCAAAACGGTGGCACCGATGTTGATTAAATTTTCAGGCAATCTTCAGATTAGCCATCAGAGCGATCTTGTTAAGTTTCATAGTAATCGGATCCACAGAATTTAGATTTTTTTACAATAAAGGTCGCATTATGACAAAGTCTTTCTAATAGCATCTTTTTGAATTTCTGATTGCTTAAGTTGTAAGTTAATACCTTTAAGTTATAAACAAATGACCCTTTTAATTAAATTCCCAAAATCAAAGTGTTTCTTAGACACTAAACGGTTAGTATATAGTATTCTTCAATACAGCGTGTCTATAAAATTCAGGACATTTGCCGGATCAGATTCTTTGTGAATTTGTAAAGATATGTGAACGACTCTTCTACACTATCGATTAGACTTTGGATAAACGTAGAAAACAGTAGCTGGCTCCAACTCGCTAGTAAATTAAGGTTGCCTGGAAGGAATTGCTACCTTAGCAATATGATCGCCTATATGTACACTATGTTTCCTGTATTTTCCTTATGCGTATTTCCTTGTGTGCAATAAAGTAAATTCTATTCTATTCAATTCATCAGTGTTAAAACACGTGCTCGTCCATCAAACTCACCGACAGCATATTTTTCCTCTGAACAAGCTCCGTCTTCTTTCTGCTCAGTATGTGGTAGTAGGATGTGACGAAGCGAACGTATCGGCATGGAGCACGCAACCACTCCTCTCCTACGCTCTTGTAAATGCCCACAAAGCCTTCCACTGGCACAGTGTCCAAGTCCTCCTTCGACACGTCGGACACGTCCTCTTTCACCAGTCTGAAATCGACGAGTAAAAATTTAAACATCTTTTTCAAATAGAGGTGTTTTAGTCGAGTTCAATTAATTGTTAACATATAGATTTTGTATCTACTACATAAATATTAATATTAGTCATCGAGAGGATAGTACATACATAAGGGTAAGCAACTTTTATCGTTTCGAATACCTGTTCGGTGTATCATATACAGTACCCGGTGATAAGTATTGCATATCGTCCTTTGGAAAGGGATAATCGGCTATTTTCAGCCTCCTAGGGCATTATCTATGTTGCACACTTGTACAACAACTGACAAATGGTGTGGCAGACTATTGGCTCTACGAAAACGAAATTAATCGCTTGTTTATTTCAAATATATACGTAGAGCATTCTATCATAAATATGTCTGTATATATTGTATAATTTAAATAAATACTTTGTATATAAAAGCTTGATGTTGTGACCGTGATAAACGTGCTCCATTTGTCTACTTGTGCGTATAAGAAAGCTTTACGATCGATACAGTGATTGTATTGATAAGCACATAACTGTGACAGATTACCAGCGACCTGCTTCATCATATTTTTACTTTTACTTTAACTGATATTTTTGAATTCAGTCATATTAAAGCTTTATGCATGATAGTTACATATATAATCAAATTATACATATACAGTAAGATGTTTTTCGTATTAACGTTTCTAACTTGTGCAGTGCAAAATACCGCAAAGTGCCGTACGAAGATTGAAATACCTCTGTATTATAAGTGGGGGCAATTGACGTAAGGTCTCCTCAGACCATCGCTCCAGCCATACAATATTACTATCGTTATGTAGCACCGGATATTTCTCTATTAGCTCTGACAGGTTATTCTGATCTTTGTCCAGTAGAAGGACGATGCCTAAATTCTGTTTTATATCTGAAATTATTTATAAAAGTTAATACGTTGTTAAGTAGTCTTAAACCTCACCACGTATCACCCAGGGGGGAGGCGAAAAACATCACGTGATTAATGGACGGCCTCTTGCCTAAATGCTTCTGTAGAAAGTAGTCACTTCTGAATGAGCAAATATCACTATCAAAAAAAAACATACGTGTATTTATTAACCTAATCCAACGTTTTCTCCTTTCTCGATGTTCTCGATACTATACCGCTAGTACGTGCACATGATTATGCATAGTATTATTTAAGGCTCTACCTTCTGCGAGATTTTTTCCCTTCTCAGAAAAATACTTACTTTGCAGCAGATGCTGGGTCGGCTGCGCGTTAGAAAGAGACGGCATGATGTTGGCCGGTACGGCGTGTATTGTGTTGGCGTGCATAAACGCCTCTATACAAGCCAAAGTCTCGTCATTTATCGCCGACTCTTCGACGACGATCAGAGTGCGCGTGTTTTCACTGGCCGAAGTCAGGGCCTGGGAAAGACATTTACGACATGTCGTTTAGACCATTAGTAACATTATTGGAAAAATCGTCTTTTTTTACCAAAATCCACTTATTAATTATAAAAATATGTATATCATATCAAACAAAATACCTAGATGGTAAGCAATTACAAATTGAATACTCCATTTCGTTAATAAATATATTCGACAAAGATTAATATTATCGCATATTTAAGTAATTTCGACGTAAAAGTAAACACATACAAAATAATTTTAGAAGATAAATAAACCTCAATTGAATAATAAATCACATACGTACAATACAATAAGTTCTTAATAGGTTTTGTGCATAAAAATCCCAAAAACCTATCACAGGGATCCGAAAGCACAACCCCACAATACAATAGACTGCATCTTACATAATATATTCTTTACGGTAAATATGGCAAACGAGCAGAGGTTTCAACCAATGTTAAATGATTAACCACCACCAATTGACGTATCTGTACAACTAGTAGTTGTACTTATGTAACTTTATTTATCAACTAGCTGTGCCCGCGACTTCGTCCGCGTGGAATTTAAAATAAAAAAAAAACAAAATAAAAGTAGTCCAAGTTACTCCTTATTACGTCTGCCAGTGAAAGTCCCGTCCAAATCGGTCCAGTCGTTTCAGAGATTAGCCGGAACAAACAGACAGACAGACAGACAAAAGTTGTAAAATATATTATTTTGGTATATGTACCGTGTACCATATGGATGTAAAAGTAAAGTAAAGTAACAGCCTATACATGTCCCACTGCAGGGCAATGGCCTCCTCTTTACAGAGGGTATCAGGGCATAGTCCACCACGCTGCCCCACTGCGGATTGGCGGACTTCACATATCTTCGAAATATATTTTTTTTGTTATTATTTCGAAACTATGCAGGTTTCCTCACGATGTTTTCCTTCACCGCGGAGCACGTGATAAGTCAGCACTTAAAGTAAAAAACTTCATTGGTGCCGGCACCGGGGATCGAACTCGGGTTGCTCGAGTATATTGAATTAAAGGCGAGCGCCCGGACACTGAGCTATCACGGCTCTGGCTATCACGGCATGGATGTATAAAAATAATTTTATTTGAATATTACAAAGGTTATTTTAATATTACAAACAGACACTCCAATTTTATTTATCTGTATAGATAAGAGAGTAAAATTAGTTTCATTTATGATGGATCTGTCCATCATAAATGAAACTAATTTTACGGATTTATCGCGTTTATTTTTAATTTTAGTTCCCGACGTTTCGAACCCTTTACAGCGTTCATGGTCACGGGACAGACTGAGGTGTTAGACGTCTGATTGTCAAAGTTAACCCGGGCTACCGTCAGTTTTTGTATTATTGATTTTGTGTCCGATCTATGCAGAGGGAGCTAATTGTATCTTGTCTTGCAGTAGTGGTTCTTTTGGGCTTAGATTTAATTTTATTGATGATAGGATCCCAAGCTGATGGTAGTACCCAACCCTCTTCTCTATTGAAATTAGGGTGTTTTTTAATTTCAATAGCCTCGCGAATCATCCTCGGGAGGAATCGGTGTTCTTTTGCAAGGATCTGTGGTCTATCAAACCTGATGTAGTGGTTGGGCCGATTTAGAGTGTGCTCACAAACTGCAGACTTGTTTAATCTACTATGTTTTATGTCAGCTATATGTTCTTTCACGCGGGTTTTTATAGCTCTTTTCGTTTGTCCTATGTAAGAGAGCCCACATTCACAGTCAAGTTTGTACACTCCTGGATCTTGCAGAGGGATATTACACTTGACAGATGGCAAAAACTGACTAATCTTCTTCAGCGGGATGGATCATCGACTGGGATGGATGGTGGTGAGAGTCACCGTTTAGGTATCTATTTGTATGGGTTCGAAACGTCGGGAACTAAAATTAAAAATAAACGCGATAAATCCGTAAAATTAGTTTCATTTATAATGTGTAATCGCGTAAATACAAGAAATTATTAGACAGATCCATCTTCAGACAAAAGACAAAATCATTTTGCTTTACATATGTGTCGAACCGGTAATACCCTGATGGGGCCCGGCCGTTCTAGGAGCTTCTGTAGGTGCATGGCTTTATCACCGACAACAATTGGTGGTAGATACGCACATTCTTGAAGAGCGTGGCGAAATGTTTGGGGTTGTGCAGCGAGTGCAAAGTTGCGGGCAGTGCCGCCGCCAATAGTGCGCACGCATCCCTCCGCCCCGCTCCCGCACTCCCCACGCAAAGAGCCGCTCCCCCATTCGCCTGCGATAGACGAAATGATCTTCAAAATGATATGACTAAAATTTTTCTTGACTTAAATCTTTCGAAATTTAACGCCTCCTTTTGGGACCTCTGGAAGTCCGTATGGACGAATCTAGAAAGCTTGGATCAATACTAATGTTATCAAGTATAATTTCTTGAAGAGTTGGAAAGTAGCCACGTGAAAAGCTAGTTGGCGAGCGAGCAGGCGGTTCACTTGATTATCACAGCCCATGGACCATTTACAACTCCTGAGGGGTTACAGATGCGATGCCAGCTTAATTGCCAAGAAATTGGGCTCCTGCGACCTTACGCATCAGACGAAACGCCAAAATATAGCACTTTTACTTCACTCCGTCTTTTACTTGTGTGAGGCCGCAGTACTCCCCCCAGACGAGCTTGTCCATTGTTGCAACAGTGGATGCTGCCCTACCACAGACCTAAGTATAGACCTCTAGAAATCCGTATGTACAATTCTGGAAAACTTGGATCTATACTGTTGTTATGATGGGTAACCTTTAAAACTAGACATTAATTGTCGACATGAAAATTTTTAGGTAGCAACTTACACTTATCAATGTCGTATGTCGTATAATGTAGATTATAAAATATTTTATAGTATTTAATAAAAGCGAATGTAACTGAATTTAAAGTTTTGGTGTATTACCGGGAGATTTGAGTTGATATAATCGACAAACAATGACAAACTGAAATGGATCAATGAAATAAATCGCTCATAAATGTATGAAGAAGTTGTAAAAAAATAATATGATCATCTAAAACCATACAAATTTCCGATACAAGGAATTAGTAATAACTCAGATGATGGGAATATAACGAATAATTACTTACCGCTCGCGCAATAGTAGGGCATAGAATAGCTAATTCAGTGCAAGCTTCGATTCCTGTCTCCCTAAATATATTATTGTCGCTTTCTGTTACTGAAAAATAAATAACAGTAATATTATTAAAAGTTGAAATCGTTTAGTAACTCACACAGCGAATTGATTACAGTTTGAGAGTTTCTATCGGGGGTTTATTTAGATCAAAAATCCTTTATGTTATCGTCAATACCCATGATTTGTTGATTTAAATTTTGAAATTTTGACCGTATGGCGAAATTGGGCTTTAGGGTGTGGGTGGTCAACGGGTGGCATACTTACAGCACTGATTTATCAATTTCTGCGTATCTTGGTACCAAACGTTATAATCGACTGACTCCATAAAAACACCATCATTGCGTAGTTTCGTTTTGAAAAATAATAACGCGTCATCGCATTGCTTCAAATATCGCCTCGATATCGAAATATATTCTTCCCTCTCCTCCTCTGTCACCAGCCTATTTTTGAAAATTATGTCTGCCTCAGCCCTTATAGCCTGTAACATTGGACACACCTGTTATAAGTTTACATGTTAGTGCATTCCTATTTGGATTGTTTCCTTTTTGTAAGTTGTTTAAATATGTATACTGTTGGTGTGTCTATAACAATAAAATAAAAATTAAATAAAATAGCGAATACTAACCAAAAAAGTGGGACATGTGTACGATTTAATTTCATTGCTTTTAAGTTAATTTATTTTATTTTATTTTATTTTACTTATTTATTTTATTTTATTCTGTTACCGTATCTAATTGAGCGCGGGTAGAGAGAGCATGCCATTTGATGCCTTCGCACCATTTCCTCAGGTGGGATGCATTCCATGTGTAATGTGAACGGGAAGTGAAGGTTTCAGATACCTGGGAAAATCACGTGCTATAAGATATTTATCCATATATGTTATATAACATCTCCCTTTCTGTCACTCGGTTTGGTCTACCTCTTAATAGAGGCACTCATGCAAGATATTTTCACAAAACCTTTGATAAAATAAACCAAGCCTTAAAAACTATTATAAGCATTTATGACCATGTTAGTGGTAAGATAGTATGGTGGTGATATAATCATCACCTTCATTATCATGGTCAGTATACTGTGTGGAAGTTTTTGAAAAAAACTACAATGTTAGTTGTTCCTTGTATCTCAAACATAAGAAGCAATTTTAGTTGCATTTGTATGTATGTAGGCCTTAATTAATAAAATTGTGATAATATTTACAAAAAATATTGATTTTAGAAATATTTCCAGGAAATTTATATGCAATTGGTCATGAAAGCAAGCACGAAGTCCACACAAGTATCTACAGGGATGGCTTGTTTTAACACGTTAACAAATGTTTTATTAGACGATTACCTCTTTGTACATTGACAGCATGTTCTGTACAAGCTGAGACACGTCATTCTCCGATATGGCTGTTGAAATGTTCTGTAATAAAGTCTTCTTCGCAATTTCTGTCAGTTCCTCATCATCCGGCTCCCTAAGAAAATAATATGAAAACTTCTTGCATTTTTACTTCTATTAGTTAATTTATAGTAACACTATTTTTTATTAGATAGATTGATTATTACTAAAGTACGTTAGGTATTGAAATTTTAAATACTGTAACGACCTTTTTATTCTTATTCTATGAGACCAATTTGAAAACAATTATGAGACACAAGGGTCACACAAATAGTTGACCCGTATGGGAATCGATCCCACGACCCCCGGTACCAGGCAATGGCTTCGCTCCGTTAGCGAGTTAATACTAAATGAAGTTAATTAAAATGTGGTAAAACCAACATAGATGGGTATTTGTTTAACTGTGGTAGGACCATGTAACAGTTTTCACTGTTGCACGAATGGACTTGCCCGTCCGGGTTAGTACCACGACCTCACAGAAGACGGCGTAAAGTAGAACTGTTACACTTCTGCGCTTCATCTGGTGAGTGAGGTAGCCGGGGCCCACTTTATTTATAGGTGGCGACGCATTGCAACCCTACGGGCGTTGCAAATGTCCATGGACGACGGTTATCACTCAATATCAGGTGAACCGCCAGCTCGTTTGCCACTTTCTCACATAAAAAAAAAACATTTCGTCTATTATATCTAACGAAAATATATGATTTCTCTTTACGTGAGAAGCAGGGGTGGCAGTAGGACCGCGAGGCGCGTGGGCAACTGTGCCACGGAGAGGGAGTCCGCCGTGGCTACTATTCGGGCCCTCGCCGCCGCCCCCCACTGCACCCCGCCCTCCTCCGCCGACCAGAACCCGCCCTGCTGCACCAGCTGCAAACCCTCATCATCATTAAACGGCTCGAAATAGACCCTAAGACGGAAAGCATTCGATAGACATTCAAATATTTTGTAAAGGCTTCCGTAATAGAAAGGGCCTATCATTAAGTCGAAGAATACATAGAGTACTGCCTAGTTCTTACAACACCAGGAACCCTAAGAATAATAATAATAATAATAATCGGAAATACATCCTAAGGGATGGCACCGTCGACATCTGTCGAGCTTGTCGCCATCCCGGGGAGTCGCTTCGGCATGTTATTTCCGGTTGTTCCATGCTTTCTAACTCTGAGTATCTGCATAGACACAACCTAGTAGCCAGAATCCTACACCAGGAGCTCGCTCTGAAATACGGCCTCGTGGATCGGAAACTGCCGTACTATAAGTACTCTCCGGAGGCCGTGCTCGAAAATGACCGCGCCAGGCTCTATTGGGACCGGCCCATCATCACGGACAGGACGATTGTCGCGAACAAACCTGACATCGTGGTGATGGACCGGGCACAGTCGCGGGTATTTTTGGTCGACATTACCATTCCATATGACGAGAACCTCGTGAAAGCCGAAACAGATAAGAAGACAAAGTATCTGGACCTGGCTCACGAGGTGACCGACATGTGGGGTGGTGTGCCGACCGAAATTATCCCGATAGTCGTGTCTGCGAATGGGTTAATCCCAGTCAGCCTCTCCAGACATATGAGGCGACTGGGACTCCGGGACGGATCGCTCCAAGCTCAAATGCAGAAGGCGGTGCTCCTCGATACCGCCCGCATCGTCCGCCGGTTTCTCTCCCTATCGCCCTAACCCTCGGCCGTTTGGTCTCCCCTGCCGAGGGCTTCCGTCTGGTTGGGTCCTATTTATATATGTATTATATACAACATTATATGTATATGTTTATTTTTATTCATAATATTTATTTTATACATATATGCAATATGTATCTATATTTTTATTTTTATTTATAAACCCAACCAGACGAGAAAACAAATGAATATCACCCCACAATAATAATAATAAAATGGTTTATTTAATACCACAACTAAAATATTTAAATTTAAAGATAAACAATTTTTGAAAAAGATTTTAAAACATGCTTAGTTGTGGATTCCTGGTGGCTGCAGTAGGTATTGAAAACCCGTAAGGCACAGTCCACCAGGTCACCACCCTTTGGAATCTGTTATAAAATCAGGTATTAAAAATACACAATTAAATAGCTTGTACACATTAATGGGAAACAAAGTAATTAAAAGAAATTATACAAAAAGAAATACAACAATTAAACTAGAACACCAAAATTTAATAAGAAAAAACTATCCTATATGATTGGAATATAATAATTCCTATTGGGAGCCTTCATGCGTTGTGATGACAATTTGTGTATGCGAGTGTGAACGTGTCATGTGTAGTGTAGAGTTGTGTAGTTAGATTTGTAAAAGCACTATATCCTAACCTCCAACAGTTGTTCCGTATCATCATACGTTTGCTTAAGAAGATATTGCTGAAGAACATGTCTGATACGGTAATTATTTAAGGGGTATAAAGAAATTTTTTTATTTAATTTGTTGTACAGATATGGACCCAAAAAGATAAAAAAACCTATGACTAAAACAGGTTTTGAAAGGTAAGGATTCAACAACGAGGTGGTTTCGTGGCGTTAGCTCTTGTGAATAATATGTTAGTGAGTGTTGTTTAAGGGTTATAGACATTATGACGAGCTGCCTTACCGTTAAAAGTTGACATTGTTAAAAAAACATACCTTAAGTATCGCTCTTTGTGCACGTTCAATTTGAATTAGATGGGTCTTAGCAGTGCCACCCCATGATGAGATGCAATAATTAAGTATCGATTGGCAGAAAGCAAGGTACACCATTCTTATAATGTCTTTGTCTGCAGATTGACGAAGTTGTTTAAAAATATATATTAATTTGCGTACTTTGTGTGACAAACTGAGAACATGCTCTTTAAAAGTGAGTTTAGCATCAATAACTATTCCTAAATAAACAGTAGAGGAGACCTTTTCTATAGGTATTTTTGAAGTAGAATTGTAACTATCGCATCCGGTAACCAATGGTTGCACAACTACTTGTTGATAATTGTCTGTTTGTGATTTTGAATTTGGTATAGAAAAGTTTATAATCTTGCTTTTTGCAATGTTTAAGGTCAGCAAATTTCTATGCAACCAAAGATTAACTTTATCAAAACCAGATTGTGCAAATCTATAAGTTTCTGACCATGTATTAGAGCTAAAGACAATTACCGTATCGTCTGCGTACGAGAAAATAGCACCGTTTTCAAGATTAAGATTACACAGGTCATTCATGTATACTAGAAAGAGACTGGGGCCCAATATGTATTCGATAAATTCTGAAAAAACTAATCTAATGACAAGGGGCCTATTATAATGTCGAAGAACACATTGAGGACAAGAATGTGTGGAAACGACTCTTGCTCTGTACTTCCAAGTCCCCTGACTGCTGCAGATTTTATACTTACCTACATAATTTTGTATAGTTACTTATGTCTACGCCATTTTATTTAAAAATAATAATTTATAAAATTATATAAATATTTGTTTCACAATTATGTTTAATTTCATTATAACGCACACATCACTCATTACTGGCAATAATATTCACATCCACCCATATCCCTCCCCTTCCGCTTCCTATAAAAGCACGAAGAAATGAAGATTGACCTCTTTCTCAACGCTCGCACCGCACGAATAAAAACTTCAGTCACCACAGCGCTGTGGTGAACACGCTACTTTATTAAACTCCAATTTAATAGCAGTGTTGTGGGAAAAGACCAGTGACCGCCATTCAAATTGAGATATCGAAGGACAACGACATCTCCAGCTTCCAGGTACCTAACTTTTCCTACAACTTATATAATTAAAAGAAAAAAAATACAAAGACTGGTCTAGTTTAGTGAACCGGTGGCAGTTTTTAAACGTTCAAAAAAAGCTTAAAATAAGCCTATATTGAAAAAAGAAATTTTGACTTTGATGTTGAATGGAAGCTTAAAAGGGTGCCTTGTGATTATTATACTGAGAAAAATAATTTAATAATAATTTTGAAATAAGCCCGCAAAAGCGTCCCCCTATTTCTCAGTGATTGGAGTTACAGGCTGTTGGGTCTATCACGTAACAAAGTTAGGGCTGACCCTATAACTCTGGCGACTTCTCAGGCTGGTCAAAGGCCACTTGGCAGAGGCCTTGAGATTAATTCCGACCTGGTCTTATGTGGGCAAACCGCAGATCTATGAACTGACGCTTTTTAAAGTCGTTACGATAAAAAGCGTTAACATCATCAATCGTAAAGCAGAAACATCGTCAATACATCAATATTTTGAAATAGCCGGGTTATTAAATATTACTAGATCACGATACCCTCCAGCGAAAACCGTCTGTTGGTAAATGTCGAAAAAGTTGTAATGGTTGCCATGGTAACACCATAAGTTGGTGTCGCGCATCCGTATAATCACACTATATCAAGACTCGATCACTATAACTCACCATTTTTCACAAACGCGCCAAAAGAAGTACAACTTCAAAAATATGTTTATGTTTTTACTGATGTTAGCCCTTTCAGTTCGTAGACTATTAAAGCTTCATTGAACGCAGAACCCGTGAGTTAGGCATAACATACTGGTTTGAAGGCTTCAGGCGAACTTCAAAAATTTATATTATATTTAAATATATTATAAAAATTTATATATTCAGAACGCATATAATTACGACTATTACGTGAATAATGACCTGCAGGAGGAAGGCGTAGAGAGGGCACGAGCCCCAAGCGTCGCGGCGAGCGCGGTGCAGGCTGCGCACTAGTAGGGTCACGCGGCCACGCTCGCCGAAACGACCGTCGCCGCCCGAACGCACAGCGTTGCTCTACGGCATCATCGTCATCATGAATGAATGAAGGAATGAATATATTTTATTGTACAACAAAAAAAGAACAAAAATCAAAAACTGAATGTAGTAGTGATCCATCACATGGGCTGCGTTATTCCTAAAAGTGATTTCTTCCAGACAACCTTTGGATGGACAAAAAAGAAATTAATCTAGGAGTAAAGGTGTGGGTTGAAATAAATGGATGAAATAAATAAATTGTTCTCTCATCAAGACTAATAAGATAAAATAAAAGAAATAAATATTTTCGAACACATTTTTTACACAACGTTCTCTAGTGCCCAACTAAGTTCGTTCTAGAAAACGTTCTCTAGAACGTTTTCTAGTAGCCATAGTACAATGCTTGTACTATGGCTACTAGAAAACAGATAAGCATACTTTTCTTTTGTAAATAAATACATACTATACACATATAAACATCCAAACAATGGAAAAACACGATGTTCATCACACAATATTTTTCCGATAGTGGGGATCGAACCCACGCCCTCTGGCGCAAGAGGCAGCGTCACTACTCCCGACGCCAATCGGGACGTCAAATGGACACTCGCAACACCAGAGGAGGAAAAATGCGTTGCCAGCCTTTAAGGAAAGTGTATGCTCCTTTCTTGGAGGTCCCTGAAGTCGTATCGGCCAGAAATACCTGGCGGCAACTAGGCTGTGCGTGGTATAAAGACAAAAGCATCATGTGTAAACGAAATTAGCAATGCCCTTCAGTTCGGAGCTCTTTTTGAGGTTTTTCATTAAAAAAATAATCACAAACAGCATCATCATCCTCCTGACCTTCGTCGTCCTGACGTCCGGGTAAACGGCTATTCTATTACGTACAGTATTAAGATTATAAAAAGTTAGTAATAAAATTTATATCTCCATAATCATATTTTTAATACTAGAAGAACCATGAAGTTATAAAATAAAAGCTATAAAATAAAATGAAATAATAATAAAATACAAATAAAAATAAAGTTTTTGAAAATTCACTCACCCTTTTCAATTCAGCGATGATATCCTCAGGTTCCATGATTGGCGTGCAGTCTATTGTTATGACCGTCGCATTAGACTCCTTTAGGACGTGCTCCGCTATGATACTGGCGATAGAGGGAGGAAACGTATAAAATAACTAAATATGGAACTGAACTGCCAGACTGGTTCGAATATTTTGTAAAAGAGCACTGCATCTTAAATTATTTCTTTCACAGCACCTATATAAAAGCCCCTATATAACTACGATGAATCATGTTCAAACTTACACGCTAAGAAAAGAAATACGAGTACATCTATAAAAAGTGCTTTTACATTTTATTGTCCACACGGCCTTATTAAATAATTAATAATCAACACCGCTTTATTAATTATAGAAGCAATTTCTTTCGGGAACTGCTCACTTTGTTCGCTAGTTTAAAAATTCATTTCTTATAATTTTTGATTAAAGGCAATTAAAATTTATAAAAACTAATGCGTTCGATAGTGCGTAATGTATAGGAGTGGCAAATATTTACATTATTTCTTTAAAAGCTGTTTGCAAGTCTATTGTTATCTTTCAACCCCATCCAGTACTATTTAGAATTTTGGATACATTTTTATTTATAATTCGAAGCAGTTTTAATTACGAAATTGAAGGGCAGACACATTTTAATTGGTTATCTTTGCTTGATTGGCGGGATAATGATGATGATAACATCATTATCCCGCCGCCAGCGCGCTTGCCGCCTTCTCACATAAAAAAATATTTCGGTTTAATTGAGCGCAATATAAATTTTCTTTATAGAGGACAAGAAGGTAGAAATGCATCCATCGTAAAGTTACTTCTTGGCGCAGGCGTGTGGCCCGACGAGGAGGAGGTGCGAGTCGTCCGTCATTACGGCAGCGCGCACAGTGGGCTCGCACTCCGCCAGCCGCGTGGACACGTACAGCGAGTCCGAGGCCCACTCGCCCAGGGTTGGGCTCGCGCTGGGCGGCGGGCCCAGCAAGGCCGAATCTGTTGGGCGAAAATAAAAATTCCTAAATATGCCTCTGAAACTCGTTGAAGTCATTAGTTTGGGTGTCGATTTGGGGAGGGGTGGGGGTTTTTTTTTATCGTGTTAGCACCGTGTTACTACTTACGTTGCTCTCCAGCTGGTTGAAATCATTACTTTGGAATCGGTTTGCGGAGGGGGAGACGAGGTGATATGACTCCAATCCGATAGCTGAGCAACTGCTAAACTATTGGATTCGACGCCGGGGTCGTGGTTGTGACCCATAGACATTTGTTTATTATTTATAATGAGATCTTTTAACACTTACTTAACATCGCTATCACAATCGATCACAGTTTTTAACGCTTTTAATTACTTGGTTGGATTAACAAATTGGATTTTATCTATTTTGTATCTCTTAATATTACTAACAATTAATTATTTTATTACGAAAAACACCCCGTCAGAATGTGCCAGTACAACAAAATTTAAATTTTTGAGTATTATAAATTAAATATAAATGGCCGCATGATAAGTTTAATTTTTATTGAGTTATAGCGAGAAATAAAACAAGTAGCAAATAGATAATTACCTCGGAATGGAAGCTATCAAGACCGCTGTCCTTAATAACGCTCAATATGCTCCTCTGAACGGCCAAATAAACTAACTCTTCAGGAGTCATGTGAGCAGCGCTTACGACGGAGTTATCGATTAAGTATTCGAATTGGGTTAGAATTTGTTTGACCTGTAATAGAATATAAATCTATGTTAATAAAACTTTTACACTAATTACTATGCTTAGTAAAATTAAGTTAGAGCCGAGAGACTTTCTAATCTCCGCCGAAGCACATACCGCTGTGACGGCATACAACTTTATCGCCAGGTCGGACCTGTGCTTGGCCAACCAGCTGACACACTTCCCGACTGCCGTGCGTAGTAAAGGCAAAGCCATCTTGCCCAACTCCCGCTCAGGGTCAGCCTTCCGCATCCAAGACTCCAGCACCTCGTCCGCACAATTCTGCTCCTCGCTGCCCAACAATTATCAAATTTTGAGGTTAATAGATAAATTGTAGAAAAATTTGCAGCCAGGATTCGAATCTGCATCTTCTATGTAAAGTGCCCAGACATGTTAAGCGCCCGAAATTCTCTTTGCGCGAACATCTCATCATCTGTATACTTTCTTTTAACCAATAAAAAACCGCCACATCAAACTATTTAAAATGAATGAATGAACGAATATTACAAATAGCTTGTGTTAACAATTAAGAAAGAAAATATAATAACGAAAGACATATAACAAACCTCTTGTTACTTCGTGAATAGTTTTTTACTGTGCGCCTACCATCACCGGCTGCATCGCCGATTGCCAGTCAAGCGCTGGCCATAACCGAATAAAAAAAAATAAAAAAAAAAGTCAGCGAACCCACCCGAGCAGTATGACCGCCAGGCGCGAGACGGTGGCGGGCGAGGCGTGGCCCAGGGCGTGCGTCTCGAAGAGGAAGTTGACCCCGGGGCCGAAGTGCACGCGCCCGCCCGACGGCAACGTGAGCAGCCGGTTGTCGTCCAGAACGGAGTTCAGCGCCTCCACCCATCCCGGCTCAATGTCGCCGTCGAACACCACCCACGAGAGCACGCCTGCGGGAGGAGTATTCTTATACTTGTCTTTTAATCTTTTTCACATCATTTTACTGTGATCCCGTGCTCAGTGGTGAAGGAAATCATTGTGAGGGAACCTGCCATCCTGCATTCAGAATAATAAGAAAAAGAAGATATATGTAAAGTCCGCCAATACGCAGTAGGGTCGTGTGGAGGCCTTTTCCCAGCAGTGGGACACGTATAGGCTTCTGTAGCACGAATGAGCGGGCGCGTCCGGGGAGGCACAGCGTCACAGAAATAGACGTATAAAACTTTCGCATTTCGTCTTGTGGGTAAGGTAACCGGGGCCTACTTTTTTAAAGGTTGTCAACATAAAAAATTATGGAATGGAACCCACGTCTTCTGGATTCGCGCCCATACGCCACTAAGCTAAACGACTGATTGCCACACCGACGAAAATCTCAACGTATTTTATGTACATTGTTTCATCTATTTTTATGTCCTCTACAGCACGCAAAAACATTCAAATACCGTATTACAACGATAATTCGAACGAGAGATGTCGCCATTGCTATTTGAAATTGAAATAAAAAAAAATAAACTGGATGAGCATACCTACCACACCATAACTATGTTAAGCTTTGTATTTTTAAGCCTTCTTTCGTCTGGTTATAAGTATATTAAAGAACACACAAAGGAGGAAATAAGCTCACCGGCTGGCTGATTGGAGACTTCCAGGGCGACGGTGGATACGACACCGTCGGTCCATTGTCGAGTGTCGGGCTCTATGTGGCCCAGCAGGCAGTTCCTGCTCATCGCCTTGGGGTAGATCACGTACTCAACCACGCTCTTACCTTGATGCGTCAGCGCCTATAAGCCGCCAAATAAATTGGATTTCAGTGTACGGGTTTTTTTTATTTGAAATAAATATTCTTCTTTCCCTTAGACGGATAAGCATCTAAAGGGGGTTTAGCATAACATGTCAATCGTATTAATGATATTGGCAACCAGTGGCGGATTTATAATCTTGCCCGCCCTAGGCCCCAGCTCTTGTATATCTTGTTATCATCGGTGAATTTGTTGTCACGATTTGCCGCCGATTTTCTACGACCAGCCCTTCCTGACGTCATCTTTTCTTGGGAATAAACACCTAGATCCGAAAATATTATCTATGGTACCCAAGAACTTGTCGGGTCTTGGAATCGAACCCTCCAATCCATAACCACATAATTATAATTTCCAAGCAATGTAATAAAGATACTTACAGATTTCAACAAACGCCTAATAGTTGATTTCCCAGAACCCGGTGGGCCAACGATGACGACGCCCATTCGTTGCTGAAGCTGTTCATAAAGCTCCATACATTTCTGAACCTGAAAATGTTTTTTTAAAACGTACTACAAACGCATAAAAAGCATTCACGTTTATAACCCAGAAAGGGTGGAGCAAAAGCTCTTCATGTTTAAGAGATTACTATGGTAGAACACACTCTTGTGGTTGCAAGAACGGCAGTTCTGGGAAATACCATGGTCCCACCGAATATTAATGTGAAGTGGAAAAATTATTGTCGTGGGTTCCATTACAGGTAAAAACACCTCACGAACCAGAGTCCATTATTTAAAAGTTGCGAACGCATGGAGCCGATCGCTCAGTGCCTGGCTTTTAATTTAGTGTACTCGAACTACCCGACTTCAAATCCCAGTGCCGGCACTAATGAAAATGTTAATTGTAATTTTAAATGCAGACTTATCAAGGAAAATTTCGTGCATATTCTAGTGATAACTCGGTTTTTGCACTCGACTGTACATGCGTGTCGCGAAGTCAACTTCACTCGCATTAACTTTTGGCGGCCCATACTTGCCTATATGTACTGTTGATGCTATTATTATAGAAGAGTACCTGATCCTTATTATGCACTAATCCCAGGTCTTTAATGGAAGCCTCCAGAGCACTAGAAATGGTGTCAACCGTCGACTGCTCTTCGGGCACACCGGCGAACACCATCGACAAAATATTTTCAAATCTAAAATACAAAATCGATGTAACATCACGTAAGTTTTATTAAAATTTTATTAATAAATTTTTAAAATCGATCTTTATAGATTATTTCATAATAAGTAGATTAAGTGGAGTGAGGACCTGTGCAAATGTGCGGGAAGTCGATTGATGCAGGTGGCTCAGGATCGTACTTCATGGCAGTCTGTGGGGGAGGCCTATGTTCAGTAGTGGACTCAAACAGGCTGAAATTATGATGATGATGATGATGATGATGAAGTAGTTTAAACTGTGTTATGCGTTTTATTTCATTTTAAACTCCCGGCGTTTGGAACTGGATAAAATAGTTTTATTTAAGCATGTACATATTATATTATTGGAAATTGCAACAGTGCATGGTCAACTAGTAATTTGCCAAAAAAAAACCTTTCCAATTTGCTTTTGGTGAGGGAGCCCAATTTTTTAAAGGTTGTCAAGGTATCTGCCCACAGGCGCTCGCTTGAAAAATTTTAAGCGAGCCCCTGTGGAAATAAAAACCCGTAGCGCAGTTGCCAAAGTATTGGCTTCGGCGCGAGACAACTATATTTAGTATGATACACATATAATTGTTTCGGATCTGTATGTATGTCCACGTGAAATTTATGTATGTAAAACGTCCTTACAACACGGCACAATGTCATGCGTAATAGGGTAATTCTTAAAAAAAAAAATCATTTGTATAGTTAAGTGCGTGCGTTTAGGGCATCTTAAACAACTCATTTGAGACATATAAGTGCGTATAGGGGATCGGGGCTCGCCTGTGGGCGTCGTGCTCGGTGAGTTTCGAGCGGTTGTTGAGGCGCAGGAGGCGGCGCAGAGCGGCCCTCTGGCTCTGCTCGGGTTGCCCTCGCATGGGGGCGAGGGCCGCGCCGCAGCTGCCGATTGCCGCCTTCAGCGCTCGCAGGCCCCAGTCGTAGTGGCGCTGGCCACTCAGCAGCATGCTGTGTTGCGTTTCCTTACGTTTCAATTGGATCGGGTAGGCAGTACAAGTATTCTGGTAAGTAGTAAGTACAAGTATTCTCCAAGGAGGTAAGATGTAAGATGTACATTGCAATTGAGAAGGTTGGGGCTCTGGATTCGTCGCTCATACGAAACCCAAAATTTTACGGCCAACTTCTTTGATACCGGAAAAACCCTCGTTCGCGCCGGTAAAAAAATGCAACGGTGTGGCTGACAAATGACATTGAAGGAATAAAACGGTCTACCACCGCAGCAAAGCAGTTTTGAATTTCTTTCAATGTATTAGTATCGATGAAGGCGGAATTAAAACTAGCAGGCAATAAAGTGTTGTGGAAAGACGAAGACGTTCTCAAGAATTAACTGTGATAGAGCCACGCAAAAGTCTACGCTGTTGTGTGTTGTACGAATGTGCAGGTCCGTCCGGGGAAGTATCACGGTCTCACAGAAGGCCAGCGTGAAGAAGAATTGTTATACTTCTGCGTTTGGTCTGGTGAGTGAGCGGCTAGCCGGGCTCATTTTGTTGCTAAGGTGACAACGCATCTGCAACCCTACGGGTGATGCAAATGTCAATGGGCGGCGGTTATCACTCAACATCAGGTGCACCGCCAGCTCGCTTGCTACCTTCTAACATAAAAAAAAACATTTCTGGATAATTATGTACGCACATAATTTTTTTTTAATGGAGAAAAGGGGCAAACGAGCAGGTGGCTCACCTGATGGTAAGTGATTACCGTCGCCCATGAACACCTGCAACACCCGAGGGCTTACAGAGTAGTTATAATTCTTGAGCGTAACAAAAGCAAAATTACTTTTTGCACACTCGCTTGGACACGGAATAATTTTTTTTATTCCGTGTGAAAGTTCTCTTCCTTTGCGAGAAAAATGGCATTAAATGCAATTGATAACGGTTTAGATAAATAACTTGGAACACCAACAAGGTAAATTTCAAAAAGTTATCGGTCGCCATGGTAGCACGATGAAGTTGGTGTCACTTTTGGATGTTGCGCATCGTGAAATTTCACTCCCATCACATTTCCTAAACGCGGCAAATGAAGTATAACAAAAAAAAACCGGCCAAGTGCGAGACGGACTCGCGCACGAATGGTTCCGTACCATTATTTATAAAAACGGCCCAAAAATCATGTCTTTTGTGCGAGTGCTCTACTTAAATATTTTTTACCGTTTTTTAGTATTTGTTGTTATAGCGGCAACAGAAAAACATCATCTGTGATAGTTTCGACTACCTAACTACCACGGCTCATGAAATACAGCCTGGTGACAGACAGACAGCGGAGTCTTAGTAATAGGGTGCCGTTTCACCGTATGGGCACGGAGCCCTTAAAGCTGTGATCTCGCTCGCCTGGCCATGGCGAACACGTTGTGCAGGTCATCGGCGCGCGCTCGGGGCTCGGCGAGGCAGTGCGCGGCGAGCAGGTGGCGCGCCAGCGGGCCGCCGCGCGGCTGCGCCATGCACACGGGCCGCAGCAGGCGCGAGAGGGCCGCGGGCAGGGCGCGCCTGCCCCCGTAGCCGCGCCCAATGGGGTTCATGGTGGCCGCCACGCCGCACCACTCCGACACGTGCACCTGCTCGAGCGCAACCGAAAGTGAACCAACCGACGGGGAACATAGGTTCTCGAGTGCTTAGAACGATATTTCTGCATTTCTTCTGGTGAGTGAGTTAACCGGAGCCCACTTCATAAAAAGATGGCAGCACATCTGCAACCCTACGGTTATTGCAAATGTCTACTTAATATCCGATGGACCGCCAACTCGCTTGCTCTTCACCTGCTTACAAAAAAAATACGTTGTATACTAGGAAGATACTAGGTTAATACTGCAGTTCTCAACGGGGCTAATACAGAGATCGGTTTGAGCTTTATTCTTTTCTCTGGAAATTCACATCGACTTTTTCTTGTGATGTACAGTAGACCGATACCGGATGATGTTGTCAGTGGAAGTACTATACTTTCGCATTTCGTCTGGTGAGGGAGGTAGCCGGGGCCCACTTTTTAATCTTAGTAACGGATTTGCATGAGGTGTTTTAGATAAACCACCATCTCGATGACCAACTAATAACTTAGAAAAAAAAAAACATGATTAACTACAAAATAAAATAAGAACACATTCGATAGAAGATATAGCGTCAGTCAGTTGCAATTCAGTACGCAGCGGGCTCTCACATGTTTTCCATTTAGCAGCGCGTCAGCTTCCGTGCCGGGCGTGCGTCCGATTGCGGCGAGGAGCGAAGTGAGCTGGTGCGACACGGCGGCGAGCGTGTCACTCGAGAGACGGTTGAACTCGTCGAAGCAGCCCCACGCGCCAGAGAGGGCGAGACCGGTCAGAAGGCGGCCCATGCATTCAGCGTCCATCGCCTGGATTAAAATATTCGCGATTCACATTGTGATCATCATCATCAATTCTGCCTCTTACGAGTTCACTGCTGAACACAGGTCCAACCCATAGACCGTCACAAAGCGCGATTCTGAGCCACCTGCATCCATCGACTTCGTGCACATTTGCACATGTTGTCACCATCTAGTGGGGGGTACTGAAGAGTAAAAATGGAAACGCGGTAAAGCATATAATGTACACTGTAGTCTCAAAGGACGAGAATTACAGTGCAAAAACATCTCGTAACGTGTTTTGGTCACTACTGGGTTGGGCATGCACGCTTTCGCGTTTGCACGAATGTGTAGACTCGTCCGGGTAATTACTACGGCTTAAAAACGACCCCCGTGAATTCATTATATTAAATACTAAGAGATCCGACTGCGTGATTTCTGCGTCCATTCATATTTAATCAAAATGCATTTTTATTGATAATTACCAATAAATAATTCATCTTGAAAACAAATGAACAAAATTGTTTAAAAAAAATTATAAAATGTTAATTAAAAGTACTTTATTCATTACCCATGAATTTCTTCTTTTTTATCTCCTTGGGAATAAACACCTAGATCCGGAGCAAATGTAAGTGGGTCATACAAATACTTGTCTCGTGTGGGAATAGAACCCACAACCCCCGGCGGCGAAGCTAAAAGCTTACTGACTGCGTCTCCGAGTCAGACGTATTCCTCTATTAGTATTTACATTATTATCTACATAAATTTTAATGTTGATTATATTACCGATATCTAGGCTTATATAAATAAATACGTACCTCGTCACAATTGAAAACCAGTACAAGACGGCCCACCAAGCCGCCTAGTGCTTTTACCGACTCGGTCTTTCCAGTGCCGGCGGGGCCAAATGGGTTACCCATTGAACCTAGATGCAAAGCCTGAAACACATCACACAAGTAATAATTGTTATACAGACAGACAGCGGAGTCTTAGTAATAGCCCTTTAAACCTTTGGGTACGATACCCCAAAAAGGGCTCTTATTTACCAATGGAAACGCTAAAGTTTAATTAATAAACTACTAATAGTAGAATAAATAAATTTTATGCTGATCATCTGCGGGGACTTGGTACTTCCCGGTAATATTTTGAAGTGTTCATAAACAAGCTAATGGTCGTCGCCTCAAATACCTGGGTCAGGATTAAAAAACACTCGTCAGCGAGTTCCGTGCGCACAAACTGTCCCGTGTCGACGCCTAGATATTCGTAAGAGTACGAAATTCGAGCCAGGCCCATTTCCGCGACTATTTCTTTCGCCTCGAGTAAGTAGAATCTGAAAGTAAGGCGTCATTGTTTTATGTTGATATAGGTAAAAACATACGATTATTTATTAATACGTAACGCGTCATTCTTGTGCACATTTTATTACATGCAAACAAAAATGAAGATTTGAACAATACAAAAAAGTAAAGTAAGGGCACTGTTCGTTTATACAGTTCGTATGTTATATTACATATTTCATAACATGAAAGTTTTAACTGCGTATAACAATTACATAAACACATTTATATACAAGATTTTCTTTATAAGTTCATACATACAACTGTCAATACGTTCCAATTCTTGAAACACTTTGATTAGATACAGTTTCAACTAATATGCCAATTAAATTCTACGACTTACAAGCAGTTTATGATTGGTTATAAACGTTTTTATTATAGACTGACATCATGCTCGAATTTCAAATAATAATACTACACGGATGTTTCAATGACTCAGCATTTCACCTTGCCAACTGCCATGCGCTGTGTTCTGGGTTCGATCCTCACACCCGAAGCATGGGTGCACTTTGTATCCAGTGTTGCAGAAGGTTAGTAACCTTAGATCAGATGGCGGTATAAAAATAATGCATAAACTTGAATATGTATGTAAGTGTATCTAGGGTTGTCAACTGTTTTTGAGAAAAATAAACTAATAATTTATTTTTTATAGATGAGAAAAAATAAAGTATAAATCCGAAAAATAAAGTATTTTTGAAAGTTTTATTTAGTTCTTGAAGATATATTTTTTTTGCTTCTAGCACACTAAGTTCGCACTATACTGAAATTTTTGGAAGCTATCTTTACATTGCCAATTTAAATAAAAGGTATTTTTTTATTAAAATACATAGTAGTACAAATGTATCAAATGACAAATTGACAAGTGATAAAAATAAATGATGAAAATAAAAATCGTATAATATAATTAACAACAAAAGCCTCTAAGTTGAAAGTGTTCTGTTTCAACTTGGAAGTATCGAAAAAAAATTTGTAATTATCCATATATGTAGATATTACATTGGAAGTGTTTTATTTTATGCCTCACAGTAAAGATTGAAAATAGAGTATTTTCAGATACTTTATTTTTATGCTATTTACCAAAAATAAAGTAGGATACGTTATTATAAAGTACCCTAAGTGTACCAATTACCTGAGTTGCTTCTGCCAGAGCCAGTCGTCGGTCGACGTAACATTGTTGTCTATCAGCGTCTGCACGACGGAAGTGTAATGTGAGCACTGCAATATAAGAGCTTGCCGCTTTTGTCTCTCCCCCTCGTTATCGGCCTCCGCGGATGAATACTCCACGTTTTCTCTTTCCACGTTCGCCATCAGTTTGTGCAGCTCTTTAGACGCTATAGCCCTTTCCGCTTGCTTGGTGAAGCGGATGTTTTGCGCCAAACATAGAATTTGCGTCGGCAGCGAAAACGGATCCTGGCTGTACAAGTCTCTGTTCAGTATGCACTTCAGCGCCAGACTCTTTAAGGACGAACGTATCTCCGCCTCGAGGTTCTTCAACCACAGCTGTTTTAGATAATATAAAAATCGTAGAGCAGTTTTCGAAATCCGTATATTTCAATTTTAATGACAAATAATTGTAACGATAAAGCTACTGTAGTAGGACCATGCAATAGTCTTCGCTATTGCACGAATTGGTAGGTCCGTCCGGTGAAGACCGACGAGAAATAGAAATGTTATAGTTCTGCGTTTCGTCCTGTGAGGTTATCGGAGCTCAATTTATTAAACGATGGCATCTACAACCCTACGGGTGTTGCATACTTCCATGAGCGGCGGTTATCACTTTACATCATGTAAGTTCTCACATTAAAAAAATTAAAAAAGATAGTTGCTTACTAGTGTTAGCAAACATCCTTACGATTAGAAGACGATAACATAAATTTGCAAAGCTAGATCCCCAAGGCATTGCTACCACCGTCTTAGAGAAAGCAATTTATATTCGAAACATTAAGAATCAAAACAACTTACTTCTACGGAGCAGTCTACGTCAACCGGATGTTCAAGTTGGAAAGTTTCCTCGTGGCGGCTGCAAAGAGCTGTTATAGATAATCCCGAGGGCCCAAGCCGCACGCCGGTTATACCCGGAAAGAGTTTTTTAAGATGCGATTGCATGACCGCCTCCCTGCCTCCAGCGCCAGCAGTGGCCTGTCCAAGCAATTCTAGCAGGTCATCGTCACTCAGGAAATAGAGCCGCGGGAAAACTAAACGCTTTTTCTGTGGAAAACGAAAATATTGCTTGTTTCATAATGGTGTGCAAATTTATGATTAACTTTATGAAAATTAAAATGCATTTTTTTTGTAGTTTTATCAGATTTCATCTGCCGTTTAGCTTAAGTTGGCAAAGCGTCTGGGCGCGTTACCCGGAAGGGCGTTGTAAGTTCATCTATGAAACCAGAAATTTATGCTGTGCGAAGTTTATTTTGTCCATTTAACTACAAAAATACACATTTCTGCTGTGCGAAGTTTGATCAAAACAAGATATTTATATTAAGTTTAATATTTTATTAATTTTTTTAAAAGTCTACCAAAACTAGTGAATGTTGCTTTGAGTATGAACTTACATCTATATATTGGTTTAGAGCTGATTGACAGGCGTTAAGTTGTTCCGATATAGAATCTAGGGTTGACGAGAGCCTCGCAGATTGCAGCAGTGCCGATACGCGCGGATCTGATTCCAATATACGGGCGACTTGTCTGAAGCCCTGGTCCACCTTACGAAACTTAACACCGAGCTCACCGTCATCATTGCACAGAATTGGCTCCAAGTACAGCCACCTGTAATTTTATCATGTTTTCTTTTACATTTTACAATCTCTATCTGTGCTATTTTATTGCAAAATTTCTATTAGTATTTCTTATTTATTGTAGCTGTTTCAGATAGCAAACATACGGTTTACAACACATTTAAATATGAACTGATTTGAGAGATAAATAATTTTCTTTACACTTTGATTCGGACACACTCCACCATACGTAACAGCACACTCCTCACAATTTGCAGAATTGGTCTTACCCATAAAGTATTGGAAAACTTTCACTGGAATATGTCGATTATATGGAATATGATCACATTAAACACGAATATGTCTGGAATGGTCTCGGGGCAATTACAATCTGACCTACTCATGTCAGGTCCAACGAACCTAGGCGAATTTTTAAAATTGGGCTGTATTGTTTTATATCAAACATAGCTGATACCCAGGACATCATCTGCGTTAGTTATTTTATTAATAACTACACCGCTTACCCCACTTCTCTAAGGGGTACAAACTCAAAACCCACACCACTCAACTGTTTATAGAAATAGTTGCGTCTTATAATTCTTCTTGTGCGCTTCTCATTATACGAAGATATACAATATTTTTTTAGATAAGGGCTAATTGTCTGAGAAATAAAACTCGGAAGAGATAATTTATATCTATCCCGTAATTCGTTTTCCGTGATGTGCGAACAACCACAGACCTCTACCATTATATTTATATACCTAGTCGGGTCATAAATTCTGTTACATAATGGAAACTTTTGAATTTTCAATGCTGGCCACAAACATATTGATTGCATTAGAATTATGAACAATTGCTCTATTTCTTCTAATTTCAGTTATATTTAAATATGGAGTAGATATTAAAGAAAACCGAGTTGCGGTAATTGCGTTGCATCAGTGCGGTTACGCGCCTAATCAGATTTTCTACATACTGAAAAATTTGAACTTTACCAAAACATTCGTTATCGATCCATCAAAAGGCACAATGAAAATTCAAGTGTAGAGGACAGAAAAAGAAGTGGTCGCACTTGCACTATTAGGACTCCAGCAGTGATAAAAGCTGTGAAGGCGCGAATCCAAAGAAATCCCATGCCTAAGCACGAAGTGTTGGCCCATCAGATGGAGTTCAGCAGCGGCTTAGAGCTCATCAAAGAAAAATAGAAATTTAGAAATTTTAATTATTTATAGTGCTAATCTCTGCACATAAGATTTAGCTGTTTAGCCGTTTAGCTTAGTGGCTAAAGCGTCAGGCCGCGAATGCTGAAGACGTGGGTTCGATTCTCACAGCGGCGACAATCTTTTCGTACTTTTTCTACACATTTTCATGAAATAAGATATCGGTGGGACCGCATTTTGATGAAGCGGTACGCGGAGGAAAAGACCGTGAAATTCGGATTTTTCGGATGAAAAATTTTTTACTGTGAGGAGCTGATGACTTATGTTTAGCTTAGACTTATGGAGAGCTACAATAAAAATAATAATAAGGTGTACATCCTCAACAGTGAATAAGGGAGCAGCCGCCTTCTGCGTAACCAGCAAAGCCAATTTCCATTATCACCCATGGTTTGTCAGGGAGATTTTTGTCAGACACATTTGTGAGAAAATTTGTGAGAATATCGATAAAACGAATACTGTTTTGAATAGCGATAAAACGAGTATTGTTTACCAAAATATATTCCCGAAAAACCCCTTCCAGTGTAGCCCTTTCGCATACCATATTCAATAACAGACACTTGGTATTCTAGCAAGATTCAGCGCTAGTTCACAGAGCGAAAATCGCGGCAAAAATGGCTGGCGGCGCCTTAAATTCCTCCGCTCATCCGAAGACTAGACCTCCTCCAGTCAAGACTTAAATGCCTTGGATTATAAAATACGGAAACACTTGTAGGAAAAAGCCTGCACAAAGCCTCATCCTGATTTGGAGTTACTCCAGGCACCGTTGATCGAAGTAGTCCTCGATATCAATATTGACTATTGATAGCCTCGCTGGTTGAAGGCTTATATTCAAAATTGCGGGGATCATTTTGAATTAATCTTCATACTGAGCATAAAAATCTGTATTAGGTACTGGTGGTGTTTGCTGTAAACAAAAACATATTACAACATAATAAAACATAAAAAAACATATCAATTATTTCACAATAAACATGACAGCATTTACAACTCGACTGGGTTAGCTATTAGGCTATTAGAAAGGACCGTCTTAGTCATTCTGCTCCTTTTCAATTGTTCCGAACTAGGTACCGCTCACCTGTGTATAAGGCCCAATAGTTGAAAGAAATTCAATTTACAATAGCTTAAACGGATATCTAATGGCCGGTATTCACCGTAGAAATACGTATATCTTTATGACAACTTACCTTTACCTTATGTTTACTTTAGTACATTACGAAAGATTTTTACTTTTTGCATAGAAGTAAAACATACCAATAAAAATTATCCTACTGAAAATTATTCTTAGTCCGCGTACCCAAAATTATTAATTAAGGTTTCATCAAACTTACGAACAAATATAGGGTCATTACAATTTATATATTTGCATTCATTCGGCTGTTTCAGCTGTCATATCACTGATATTTATGTGATAAGTGACATTTTCCCAATTTATTTTTTTTTTTATTAAAAATTTTACCTGATGATAAGGCAATGTTATAAATATTTCAAATGAGGTATATTTATCAAATGAATTGCAAAATAGTCAAAGAAAGGTTGGTCATGTGTATTTTTTTATAACTGTAAAACTATGAATTATTGCAATTGAACAAATTCTTTTATATTGAGTTATGGAACAAAGTTGCTACTTGATACACTGCAATTCTTGGAATACTTTAGTTTGATAGAGTTCCGTACCCAAGGGTATAACGGGACCCTATTACTAATTGTAAGAGCCGCTGGCTCTCTGTCTGTCTGTCTGTCCGCCTGTCACCAGGCTGTATCTCATGAACCGTGATAGAACAGTTGAAATTTTCACAGATGATGTATTTATGTTGCCGCTATAACAAAAAATACTAAAAAACAGAATAAAAAATATTTAAGAGATAATGGTACGGAACCCTTAGTGCGTCCGAGTCCGTCCGCACTTGACCGGTTTTTAAATAACCCACCTGTAATGTTGCGATGACTCCGTAGCGGAAGGCATAGGCTTCGGCGTCGGGGGTCATGGGTTCGATTCCCACACGGGACAACTCTTTGTGTGACCCACAGATATTGGATTCGCATCTGGGTGTTTGTCCACGAGAAATATATGTTTTTAAAACGTTATCCTAAAGTTGGTTTAATAAAACAACTTTAGGATAACGTAAAAAAAATATGTGTAGTATTTGCAAAAATGTTTAAATTTCACGTCTTGCGATAGTGTTTTATTACTTAGGCTATTGTATTTACTGTAACTAAATCAAGACCGAAAAATGTGTGGATGCGTCTCTTAGTCAACATTTGCACGTCTCCTAACTATTGCTAGCTTTGCAGTTACTTAAGTATCATAATTATACAAAACAAAAAAATACATAACTAATTGACCGTGGCGTTTTCTGTCATTCCATAAGGGCCTTCTAATAGTAGAAGATCCGAATCTAAATCGACCTTCACCGAGCTGATAATAGAAAAATCATTTTTTTAAGAATTAAAAAAATATTCTGTCCAGGATTTTTATAGACAACCCAGTTTTAATAAATATTTCCTAATATACTAAGTTTATAATAAAATAAATTTTATTCTATTATCAGCTCAGTGAAGGTCGATTTAGATTCGGATCTTAGACCATAAAGACAAACAGTATCTCATCAGTACCAACCAAAAAAAGTTTTCCTGCGAGTTCTTCTCTGCGACCCGTCTCAATATCTAATAAATTTTGTCGATAGAAGAGAAAGAAGAAATACACTGGGAGACTGTATAAGAAACGCGTCTATAATAAGGAGACATATAGATAGTTGAATATTGCTGGAATCGAAACACTTACCTAATTGTCATTTTATTGTCTCAATCGACTAAAAAAATCAAATAATAAACTTAACAATAGAACTAAATGCTTTTCAATGACCCTGATATTAGGTAATAGGTTTTCTATGCGTTCGCAGTTTCATTACTAGCGCAACGGCTGACTAATCATATTAATTAGCACTTAAACGTAACGCTAAAATTTTATTTTCAAGAAATACGAAATATGAGGGAGAGTTATCCATCGAAAACTGTCTATATTGATTAATCGGTAGAGCGTGTACTTGGTATATTTAATTTTAAAATTCAATAAGCCTGAATCTTTTTCTTTTTTAAGACATAATTATATATAAATTAATGTTAGCATTATTAGTTTGGTTTATAGAAGAAAATTCTTATAGATTGGAAATACTAAAATGGGCAGCCTTATAATGGAGGTATTAATTTAATAATAAATAAAACTTTTAATTATATTTTATTTTTGAGTTTATCAAAAAGTTGAAAAAAAACTAAAAAGAGTGGTCATATGAATACATTTAAAATGATAATATCCTAATTAAATAATAATGTCTAAAAAAAACATCAAGGGAAAGAGAATAAAAGTCCAGTTTTAATTTAGACTTGGACAAATTTATTTATAAACTATATTTAAGTATGTAAGCCTCGTTCAACATGGAACACTGTATAATATCACGCAAGGAACCGACAGGCAAATGTTTAATTAGTAAAACTTATTTAAAAAGATTAAGCACCTGTATTACAAGTATACAAACAAAAATAAATGCAGCATTTGAAGAATTAAACGTGTACGTCTAACAGATTGAATATAAATGACACATAAGTTGCAACACTAATGCAAAAAAAATTATATATTAAATTATTTTTACAAAAATGATGTCTTATAACTAAGATGCAAAACGTTTTCTAATCACATTTAGTAAAAAGTAAGATAGGTAATGTTAACATTAAATAATATCAGGTAAAACGACGATCTCTATACGAGAACTACATGTAATTCTTTGGAATAAGTTTTAATGGAAACAGTTTAGAACTAAAATTAATAGTATAATGCTTATAGTATCGAAGATACTTGTTATATAAAAATACAAACTGAAATATTGTTTCATTTTGTTACATGTGTTTTTCAGAATATAGTAAAATTAAAAAAAATATATATAATCATAAATAAAAAAATTACTTTTAGTAATCAAACAAAGAAAAAGACATGTAATTATTTTCTACATAAACACTATGATTTATAATTAAATTTGATTTTATGAACAAATATTACTGTCTATTATAAGATAATTATAATTGTAAAGGTATTACTAAAAATATCCTAACAAATTAGTGTATTAAACATAAAATGGCACTCATATATATTGAAAGTTCTCAATCTTAAGAGCAACTTTACATATATTTTTATATATTGTAATTACGTAGTGCAAGACCTATAATAATCAGATCTTTTTGTGATTTCGGATAAGTAATAATTCATTTGCGTATTAAGCTCCCCAATTTCTTTCTCCAGAGTGTTAAGTTGATCGTTGTGGTCGTTGTACAATTCTTCCATGTTAGCTAAGAGTTTTAACTGCATTTGTGTGTCACTAGCAAGTTTAGTTGCACGATTCAATAATAACTGTGCTCGTTCTCTCGAGTTTAAGGTTTGACTTGCACGTTCTGATAGCGACATATTAGTTTGCTTGAAATCTTGTCTGAGTCGCCTGGCATTTTGCTCCGCACCTTCGGCGCGATTAACGACATCGTTAGCCTCCTGTTTAACCTGTTCAGCGTCACTTTCGATCTTTAAAATATTTTTCTGCAAATCCGAAAGACGCAGGCGAAGACCCTCAACTTCATCCATAGTTTCATTAGCCTTTTTCTGTGCCTGTTCGGTTTCGAAAGCTATCGGTACCAAGTCGCTTTTGGCTGCTTCTATATCGCTATTAGCTTTATCAATTGCATTTTCGGCTGCGTCTTGTGCTGCCTGAGCCTCGTCTAAAGCTTCTAAAACTTTATTAGCCATTTCGAGAGTCAAATTGGCTTCATTACTAACGGCAGTAGCATTTTGTTTAAGGGCTTTGGCTCGCTCTAAGTCTGGTTTTGTTTCTGTTATAATGTTTTCAATATTCGTTAGTTGTGAAACAGTGGAATTGATACGCTGAGATAATTCTGTAATTTCTTTCGGTTCTATTCGTATAGATAAATTCAATATGTCATTAGCCAAGGTCCTAACATCTGCCGGCGTATTAGAGGTGTTAGATAGGAATTCTTTTAACTCCACTGATAGTTCCTGGCTTTCGTTAGTTACCCTTTCAGCGGATGACTTAAAATCTTTAGCTCTATTTAATAAATCCTTAGATCGAGATCGAACTGCTACAGTATCTTGCTTTACTTGTGATATCGATTTAAACAAATCTTCAGCCGTAAGTTCATGATCCTTAATTCTGTGTTCTGTTTTATTTGCGAAATCAAGAGCTTGTTCAGCTTTGGTAATAGCTCCTTGATCGCATGATATTCCACCACATTTTCCACACCCTGCTCCCCCACAGATATCACAAGTATCACTCTCTTGACCACACATTTTTTCATTAATTTTCGGTATTTGTGACTGCAGTTGTGCCAGTTGTTCTTGTAAATCATCAAGTTTTTTGTCATTTTCGTTTTGGGTATTGTTAAAGTTGGAATATTGGAGCTCAATTAACCGGTCGGTGTTTTTAATTTGTCTATCAGTATCTGCTATAACTGTTTGCACACTTTCCGCATCATCAGCTGCTTGGGAAGCTCTTTGTTTTGCTTCACGAGTCAAATTTAAAGCACCCTCTAAATTAGCTTCCTGTAATTTAGTTGCATTGCTTCCTAAATCAAGCGTTTTAGTTTTAAGTGCCTCAATACTTGTTCGAAGTCCGTCTAAAGTCACGTTACCTAAGTTAATTTTAGACGTAATATCGTTGAGATTATCATTACTTTCTTTAACCTTTTTCTCAGCTTTTGCTAATTGACTCTGTAAGCTAGTTATATTTGACATAAGATCTTTTACTGTACTCTGACCTTGTTTAGCACTTTTGAGATTATTTTCAACATCGGATAATTTTTTGGTCATTTCTTCGAAATCTCTCGTATATGCACCAGTTGCTCCAACAATTTTTATCTTACTGGCATTACCGATCGCATATTCAGTTTGAACACGCAAATCTCCAATAATTCGGTCCCAATTATCAAAACATTCACCACAAGCATAACATTGGGGAGCATCTCCAAGATAGCCACGGGCACAAACATCACACTTGTAACCCCCGATTCCTGGCTTGCAAATACATGATCCATTTTCTCGCATACACTGTTGAGTCACTGAACCATATAAGTCACATTCACATTCATGACATTCTATATTCGGATCACCCCAGTGATTCTCTTGACATTGATCGCATTGCCTTCCACCATGACCTGGTTTGCAATCACATTTACCAATATATGGATTACATTGCGGTGATACAGATCCTATGGGGTCACATTCACATGGATCACAACCAGTGCCTAGAGCTATTCTCCAATGATTTTCTGTGCATTGGTCGCAATTAATTCCCATTACATTTTTAAAGCAAGGGCATTGTCCTGTTATGCCATCACAGTTACCGATTGTAAAGTTCGTACCTAATTCTGAACAATTACATTTATAACAGGCTCTTTCGATTGCGTTACCATAGTAACCTTCCTCACAAACTTCGCAATGATCACCAGCGGTATTGTGTAAGCATTGTAAGCATTTCCCAGTATATGGATCACAGTTACCAGGTTTTGTTATGTCTATATTTTTATTACATTCACACTTGTCACAGGTGCCTTTAACAGGATCACCATAATAGTTATCAGCACACACATCGCACAGGAGTCCTGCATAGCCTTCTTTGCAATCACAAACAACATCTTTCGTTTCTGGATCTAGCTCACATCGGTCGGCATGACTACTTTTGTTTGGATCCCCTTTAATACCTGGACAAGGGCACGGTCGGCACGGAATGTCAACACCAAGTCTTGGATCGCCATAATACCCGTCGATACATCTTTCACAACGGTGCCCTTCCGAATAATCTCTACATTCCTTGCAAGCGCCGGTCTTATCATCACATTCAACCGCATGACCATTACAATCACATTGCTGACAATTAGGGAAATTGAAATAGCCAGGCTGACATAAATCGCATGCTCTTCCATAAGTATTTGCTCGACACTTACATTGTCCGCTCGTGGCATCGCAGAAGTTATCAAGACTTCCAATACTGTTACAATCACAACGTTTACATCCAAATTTGCTGAAACCGTATGTACCAGGAGCACAGCGATCACATCTAGCACCAACAATATTCTCGACACATTGACAATATCCAGTATAGGGATCACACTGATGACTTTTAGATCCCGTGAGATCGCATTGACAAGACTCTGAACCGTTTCTAATGTAAAATCCTATACTAGCATGATACTTTTTGCAAACCTCGGGTATATTTTCTCTGTTTAGATCGTAATAATATGAATCTCCACAGTTGAAACGGTCAAATTCATCTCTCATGGAGCTTCCATTTGCTAAGAATGGTAAATCATCAACAGAAGGTAAAAGCGCAATAGAATCAATTAAAATAGATGCTCTAGAATTGGTTGAACGCCCGTCTTGACGACCTAAGTAAATACGAATCTCAGTTTCCTTATCTTTTTCTAAACAAATTGCTTGTTTAACAAGTACGCTCCGCTGATTTGCCGGTAAATAAGTATTAATAGTATCATCTTCGGGCCGCACATTAGCACACGGTGAATCAGTATCGACGGGTATTGGTCTTCTTACAAATATTGTTGCTTCTTCCCAATTCATAGGAGCTTGTGGTTCGTAACGGATTAAAACATTATAATTCATACTAGTCTTCAAATTATTTATTTTGAAAACTAACGTGCTACTTTCCGGTATTTTCATGAAGCCCGGCCCTGTCCAAGTTTCCTTTCGGCCATCTGGAAAGTTTTCTCGTATGACAACATGACATAATTGACTTTGAATAGCATTATCATCTATTTGAGAATCACACTGGCTAGATTCAGCTTCAACAACAATTGAGTCGAGAGCGCCAACAAAGAAATTTTGTATCGGTGTGTCGCATCGGCGGCCTGTAACATTGGGTCGACATTTACATTGTCCCGTTATCACATCACAGTCCCTATCAATTGAACCACCGACATCACAATCACAGGGTAAGCAACCATCGTCGCTGTCCGAAAGTCCATAAAATTCAGGAAGACACTGATCACAATTTCTTCCAGTAACGTGTCGTTTGCAGAAACAGTTACCCGTATTGGGGTCACAGCCTCTTTCATTTATTGTACCTAAGCTGTTGCAGGTACACGCCTCACATCCTTCAGGATTAACAGGATCGAAATTCCAGAAGCCATCTTTACATCTGTCACATCTCGCTCCGTCAATATTAATTTTACACATACAACGGCCAGCGGTTTTGTTGTTTGCAGGATCTGTTTCATCATCGCATAAAATTTCTCTGTCTGTTGTACCTTCAGGGTCGCAATCGCATGGTTTACATATATCTGGGCTTTGGATATCCAAACTGGGGTCCTTATAAAACAACGGTTTACAACGTTCACAGTTAACACCCATTGTGTTATGCTGACAATTATCACAAACGCCACCACTTATTTTACCGGTTTTATTATACACAGCTGGATCAAAATGGCAGGTTGTTGCATGGTTATTGCATGTGCATCTCTTACAAGCATTCGACGTTTTTCCCACTGCCGGTTGCCACGGTAAATCATTGTAGAAATCTTCACAGTATTCACAATTTAATCCACGTGTATTATGTGTACACTCACAGCGACCATGTACCATATTATTTTTCGACTCGACTCCTGGCATTGGCAGACATCTCGATGCATGACCGTAGCAGGAACATGACCCACGCACTGTCATTTCATATATGGCATAATAATATTTAAACTTAATTTCAGCTCTATTGTCTAGGTGGTCATCGCCCAAAGTATGTAATTTCGTAAAATTAATTCTAAGATTCGTCATTCGCAACAAACTTTGCACTTCCTCCGAATAAGGATTTGTCACATTAATATTTGACGGTAGCACTCTAAATATCACTTCACCCTCGGTGGAAGGAGATACGCCGGAATACCGAGACTCGCACACGACTTCCGTTAAGCTTCGTTGAGAATGCCTAGGAACTAACGGAAAGGATTCGGCACAGTTATACGCAAAGTAGCGATAAACACGCCATGTTTTCCCAAAGTCGAAAGATCGCTCAACTAACATCGCAGCTGGTCGGAAGGTTTTGAACTGTATGATTAAATGCGTGAGATGAAATTCCGCCTCCATGTCCAGTCTAATCGTAACGTTCTCCTTTCCATTTTCGGACTGCCACCACGACCGGTATCTAGTGCCAGGGTAAAACTTGTAAATGATGTTCTGTATCCGATGGTTCTCGTCGGGCTTGTGTATCGTCTTGTTAGTGGAGTCGCAGGTGAAGCAAGTCTCGCGCTCCTTCCTGAGCCGGTCGTCAAGATACGAAACGATGCAGTAGCGCTCGCGTCGATTGAGGCCGCACGTCGAAGTCGCCGAGAGCCGAGACTCGCGTCCGATTAGGAGGTTCCCCGTGGCGGGGTAGCAGGAGCTGAGCTCGCAGGCGCGGTCGAGTAGTCTGGGGTCGGCGCGCAGTCGATCTCGCTCCCGATTGTAGACGGCGCCGCCGCCGGCGAAGAGCGCGGCCACGAACAAAGCGCGTAGAGCCATGGCGCGGTATGGGCCCTGCGCGCCGCTCACTGCACTGGTCGCCGGGCCGCCGCGGGCCCTGCTCTCGCGCCGCCCCGCCTCCCGCGCCTCTCCCGCCGGCCCGCGGAAACAGGGCCGCACTGGCGTTTCAAAGCTCAGCTTTTGCGCGTTTAGTAGATCTCGTAATTACCCGTATACCGTATCTCGTAGATACCCAAGCGGGAAATTGTTCTCTTTAAATATTACGACTATTTCTATAACGTTAAAAGATTTAACATATAGATTCTTTTCACACACATTTACTTCAAAAAATTACATAATTATTTTAATCTTTCGCACAATGTGAAATACGAATTTGTGTTATAAAAGTGTCGTGTCGAGAGTGGGAAACACTAATGTCTTATATGCGTGCTGTGTATCTTTGTAACCAGTGTACAACACCATTATTAGCACTTATCATTGAATGTCAATTATATATTTTTCTATCTCATTAAATATGTTTTAATGAGATCAAATATTTTAAGGACGTTAAATTAGACGGGTTTAGTCCTGTCACTATGGTGGATATATTTCTAATTCGTATTTATTCTAATTTGAATTAGAAAAAAATAAAAAAGGGCTTAATTCAAACCATCAAATATGTACATCGCAATTTTCATAAAAATTAAAATATGCACACATTGCGGTGCAAGTCCTCGTTTATATTTACTTGCGCTTCATATTAAGTGCAACCAAGTACATCCCTGAAAGTGGCGACGACCGCTCCCGCCCGCGCGCCGCTCGTGCCGATCTCCGAATCGGGCACTAAGCAACAAAAATAACGCCGCATTTCGGGATGCGTTTTTTGTTATGGCCATTATGCCATCGCCATGCTCCTTCCTAGTCGGAATCCTGTCACTATTACTATTCCCGTTTCAGATACATACTGTCGGCGATCGTGGAAACAGATTCAATAGACACTAATGACTCTACTCTATCCTTTAATGGTAGATTTCGTGTTGTAAGATCAATAATTGTACTGAACTGAAATTTGTGTGCATGTGTCTTTATTAAATTAATTAACTTTAATGATTTATAGATTGGAAGCTTAATATACTGCAAATATATAGCACAAACTTTTTAGGTAATAACTTAATGTAACTTGATGTTTGAAATAATCGGAAAAGGAAAACATACAACTAAAATATAAAAAAATAAGTTACTACTAACCCAAAAAAATATTCTCAACCGAAACCTTTTATCACCGTATAATAAAATGATTATATGCTATAATAGTAGGTAGTATATCTATACATAAATCAAAGTGAATTTAATTCGTAGATTGCTACCATCATATTCACGAAATCTTCAAACCCTTCACGAATATCGATTAGTCTATAGAGGAATGTCCCGGTTAAACTAAGGAGGAAAGAGGAAAATTAACAGACTAGTTAAGCTAAACAGAGTAGAGAAAAATTATCAGACTAGCAACAGCCAAGAGACGTGCGAAGTGCAGACAGGAGTCATCTTCACACACGTAGTCCTTCAATGTACTGTTTTTATTTTGATGAGAGAAGGTGGCAAGCAAGTTGGCTGTTCACGGTTATGTGATAGCTGCGGCCAATGGACATATGCAATATGTATAACATTTCAACTGTGCACTGTGCGACGTAACGAGCTACTCCAACACGTACACTCTGATTTACAGCTGCGAGAGTAGCTCAGAAGGTCTAATTTTCAAAAGGTTGTCAACGCATCTGGAACCCTCGGGCGGTGATATTCACTTAACATCAGGTGAACCATCTGCTCGCTTTGCAACTTATCATCAAAAAAAAAGACATCGGGTTGTGATGAAGGGTCGCGGAACGGTCAGGCGGTGGTCGTGTCGGCGATACACGGTCCCAGAGCGGCAGCCGTCGCTCTTCCGCCCCGCACATCCGCCGTCGATAACGCATTCGCGATTTACTCTTTGCGCTCTAAACTGCGACTACTGAATCAACGGACGGGTATTAAATATAACCGAAAACGTCAACGATTTCTTGCATGCATGCGAAACCTGAACGTTTTCAAACGAGGCTATTTTAAGGGTTTTATCGTATTTCGCCTTCATTTTAAACTCCCGATGTTCCAAACATAAGAGCTTCCAACCGGTCTCCGAATTATTATTTTTTTATAAAACTTTGTGGTTAATGGTTACATTCAAAGCATCATTTTATATAACAATAAGCCTACAGTTCGCGAAAGTGCTAGTTTCATTAGAACAATGTTATCGTTTGAATTATGTCTATGTAATGACTAATATAACACATAGTAGTTTATTGTTTTCAAATATTGATACATGACGATAGACACGAAAAATAACGAAGAAACTAACGAGCAACAGGAGAAGTTCATTCTTCGTTAATCTCACTATTTTGTCATCATTACCGTTTCAACGCTAAAGAATAAAAAATATGTCATAATACCTTAAGCACCATAATATATTCGATACTTCGTCAATAGTTGCTAAACTAATCACAAATACAACAAGAAACATGCATACTATATTTACACCGATTAACACAGCTTATGCAACTAATATGTTAAAAGAACTAATCATGTGGATATATTCATTTCACCGCGCTCAGACGTAAATGCCAACATATATATAAGTAAAGTTATAATGCTCTAAAAGGGTGAAAATAGGGTCAGTCTGAGATTTTCAGGAATATCATGTCCATACGGGGTTTTCACAGTTTATGATAGAGTTAAGAAGCAGTAAATCGAAAGTAAATGAACTGACATAATTTAACATTTGTGGTCTGTATTGTGAAATATCAAAGTTAATAAAATAGCAAGATATGAACAAGATAGAATTTTGTTAATGAATTGAATACAGCCCGTATTAAAACTGTGAACTATTATTTTAATACAGTGTTCAGTGAGATAGTGAACGTTCTTCGGTAAAGGACTCTTCTTCTTAAGCTACTGTTCTAAACATTTCATAAAGGTTTCATTTTTAAGTTTTTTTTTAATAATCACGAAATGAAACTGAAATGTTCTCTCATTATATAAAATCGAATTGAAAAAATGGATTTCTCGAGTGTATTTTAAACAAAAATAGAAACAAAAAGCAAGCGGCCCCTTTTAACAACTAGATAACTCGTGACAATTTCGACAGTAAGCGATAACCCCTTATCTGTGCCAAGCGGAATAGAAGCATAACGCGACATTAGAATAAATGAACGACATCTAAAAAATTGAAATATTTTTTAGATGTCTTAAAATTCGTCCTAAGTATCATACATAAATACAATTTAATAATAGTATCAATGCAGCCTTGACAATAACTGTGTGACTCGTACCAACAACTTATACTTTACCACTGATTTGCGTGCTTTGAACGTTTCGTGTTCTAAATAGTAATTTAAAGAGCTTTTCCAAACTAGTAGACAAAGCGGTGTTTAAATTTTTCATTTATATTAGACCGAATATATTTTTTAATTAGCCCAGGTAGAAGTAGAACGGACATATGGCAGGAGGCACTCGGTGAAACGCGCCGGACAGATCGAGAAATTAACTACCCTATAGAATATAAATAACTTCGTTAACCACGGCACAAAATTAGGCTTAGACTACTACATCATCCTAATACTAAGTAGTGATGTACGTTACTCAGTGAATGAACGCTTTCGCGTCGATAAGGGTTCATTCTTAAAAGCCGGTTACAGTGTCAAAGTTCAGACAGATAAGCGCTCTTGTACCGATTCCGTCAACTTTATCTGGTTGACAGCTTACCTACGTGACGATTACATTTTTATGAATGTTTTTTTTTTAATGCGAAAAGTTGTCAAACGAGCAGACGGTTCATCTGATGTTAAGTGAATACCGCCGCCCATGGACATCTGCCACACCCGAGGGTTACAGATGCGTTGACAACCTTTTGAAAATTGGGCTCTAGCTATCTCACTCACCAGACGAAACGCGAAAGTATTTGTCATACTTCCACTAGCTTCCACGCTGGTCTTCTGTGAGGTCGTGGTACTTACCCGGACGGCCCTGCCCATTCGTGCAACAGCTGAGGCTGCTGCGAGGCTCTACCACAGTAACTTTATTTACGATGTTAATTACATTAACAGCAATCTCACTAAACGTGAAGTATAAAATCGCAATCGCAGTCGCGGACGTGACCCTGCTAGGACGTATCAGGGAGATGTAGCATTGGACCACTTCATCCTGTCATTTGTAATGTGTTCCCAACTTTTGAAATCACTCAGGGGTTATATATGTCTCATGGGCAGCGGTCGCCACTTAACAACAGGTGAAACGCCTGCTCGCTAGCCAATTTTCGCAAAAAAAAAAAACAGTTGCTTACAACGTATGCAGTAAACATCAAAAATAACATTCACAATAATGGTAATATTGGTTTATACTTTTACTTAAAAGTGAGATAAAATATCACCGTGTACTATCTTTACTAATATTATAAAGGCGAAAGTTTGTACGTATGGATGGATGTTTGCTACTCTTTCACGCAAATACTACTGAATGGATTTTAATCAAACTTTACAATAATATAGCTTATACATCAGAATGAGACATAGGCTATAAATATATTAATTCATATTTTATGTATTAATATATTTCTCTTTCCGTCTGAATGTAACGCCTTCAGCCTATTTTGCGCAGACGTAGTCGCGGGCAGCAGTACAGAATAATTAGATATCAAATTGTTCTTAAATGATCTCAATGATGGTTGCCTGATTTAGTAAGTAATATTTTTATATAATCACAAGCTTAAATTGCATTGTTGTGCTTCGGTTAGGTCGTTACTAATAGGGTAATTATCGAATTACAACGGTGTAGTAACTATTACCATCAATCGCGCTTGAAATTATATATAAATAACTTCGGTAAAAAGTGAAAAGTTTTGATTACATCTGTATACTATGTCAATGCAAATACGTCTCTATGTTTGTTAATTTATTTATACTTAAATGTGTTTTGTATTGCAATACAAGAATAATATCTTATTATTCTTGTATTGTACCTACTCTGAACAGGAAATGATGAGAAGTTATATTTATCCCACCAGTTCAAATTGCTCGTAAAACCCTAATATAACTGAAACTTGTAGTAAACTATACGTGTCGTGGACGTTAAATGCCACGAAAGAAAAGCTTGTAGCGCGCAGAGAGAATTGTGAGATTAAGCACGGTTAAAGTTTATATAGAGGAATGCAGCAAGCTTCAGTTTGAAAATAAACTATAGCTTGCTTAAAAAATATAACTTTTACATTAAATTAATAAAAATAACAACATAAGTTGTCTTTTAATTTGCTTGTATGACTTACAAAATGTATATAAAGGCAATTTCGACCCTATTTCCTTGTAAGTATGATGATCAAAGTTAACACATTAGTTTTGTATAATTAAAACGTAAAGCGCAAAAGTATCTATATATTGATACGTGAAGCAAAAACTCTGTACCCCTATTTATGAAAATTACGCGGACGGAGGAGTATGAAATTAAAAAATGTCCCAAAATGTAATAAATTAAAGGAAGAAGTAAGAATTATAGTTCAGTAACCGCGTGTTGAAGAGATAAGTTGAGCGCTTTCTTTCAAGCTTATATTGCGCCCGTAATCACGTCGGCGGGTTTATTGTGTCGAGTTACGTCACGCGCTTGCATTGCTAGCTGACATGCGCTCATTCGATGTTACAACAAAAACATTTCGTCATAACACTAATAGAGTACTTAATACTTATATCCCGGTACCAGCAACATTTTAGATTCATAATACATAAATGTATTTGTAATTATAAAGGTTATCATGATCGATATGGGCATAAGTATACATACTTCATTACGATCAAGTACCAATACAAAACAAGTTTTATTAAGGCTTCGTAATGAACAACCTTTTAAATCTGAAAAAAGTAGGGTCTCTTTTTGACAAGCGCTTTATAAACCGTTTCTGGTTCATCTTTTTACTTTAATACATACATACATACATTCATCAGTGTGTTATATGTATAGTACTTTAAAACGATTTTTGTATATTACAGTATTGATGCTCTATTCGTTGTAATCGTTTTTATAATGGCTGTTTATTATAAATTTCGCTAACTAATAATATTTGCCAATACGTCGACATTAATTGTGCAGATTTGCTAACTTAGACTAGTTTTAAAAAATTTAGTTAAGTTAAATTATATAATAAATATTAAAATATGTAGTGCTGATCATAGTACACATTACTTATATAAACAAATCATCTGACGTTTCTTAGGGAGGTATAATCAAATATGATAAGCATTAAATTACCTCACGTAAGAATTTGTAAGTTAAATATTTAAACAAAAGCCTGATGTTTGTAGTGCATAATTGATTTGTTTATATAATCTGTATACGTTTCTATATTAGAGTAGTAATAATACAATAAAAAAATAAAGAAGCATTTATAAATGTATTATTATTTGTACTTAAACGTAATGTTTAGTTTGTAATGACAAGATCGCGCCCACCGAACAGGAATGTAATAATAACAAAACAAGTTTGTGGCACAGAAACGTTCAGTTTCTAACATCTGCGTTGCACATGTACCTAGCGTGCAAAATTCGTTAGTATTTTGTTTGTAATAGTTTAGATTTTAGTAGTTACTACTTAATATTAAATGAAATACGAATAGATGTAGATATCTTTTACACATAAGATAGAAATCTCTCATAATCTCAAAGATAAAAGTCCTTTTTTGGTGTTTATCATAAGTTTAGCCCTTACCTGATTTACTATATAACTTGTAAATTTTCAATATTACGGGTTTAGTTCTGTCTTTTTCGAAATTTCTGATCGACTTGAAAGTATATCCCTTAAACTAACCGTTATAACAGATTCTCAGATAGCTTATAAAAAAAGTTGTAAGAGATTAGCAAATAAGCACGGAAGGGGCTTACTAACACAAAACAAATTTGTGAACAAGTTTGTTGAACCGTGGCAAACAATAAACTATTGTAAATAAAACAAAGACGAGCGAGCTAAAGAACAATAGCAAACAAATTGTGAATATACATACATGTCCATTATAAAGCCAATATTGAATTAGCTGTTTTATCCTTATATAACGAAATAAAAATAAAGTATATTTTAAGTATGAAGTAAAACTACTTCATACTTAAAATGTACTAAGTTAGCTAAACAGCTATCGATAAAGTTTTAAAGGTGCGATACATTTTTTTTTATGTCAATTAAATATTTACACGAGTATGTCTTTAAATAAAGAAGGACAAAGAAAGCTCTGAATGTGTTTTTGGGTAAAAATAAAAAAACTATCATCATGATTTTATAACAAGATTTTTCTTGAGTAGAGATAAATTTCAAAAAATTTTAATTTTCATTTAAACAATTTGTCAAGAAGTTTTGGCGGTCTAATGAAACTAAACTTAGAGAAATAAAATTTAGAGATAAATTAGAATAATTTGTTATATTTTTTACAAAATAAATAGGTACATATAAATGTAATACTCTACTGGTACTACTCTATGGGTTGAAATTCGTTTAAAATTATATCAATCTGTATGAAATAAACAAAAAAAAATTTACTATTTACCAAAGTAAACCTCCACCTCGTTTGTTAAAACAAACTAAGATCGAACGTGCGTACATAAGTACACATACATGTTTTTTTTTTTTCAGATCAGGCGGGAAAGATGGTTCTTGAACGTAATGCGTATAAGACAGTACCAAGTGCAGATCTGGATCGAACTGCATTAAGACGTGGTACAAATGACTTACCTTCGTTGGGCACGGTGTGCGGCCCTTAGCAGCTGGCGTGCCGCCTTCAGCCGCGAATCCCACGTGGTGCACGCATCTCCACCACCACCCAAAGAAGACACCACCCATTGTTTCTCCTCAACCTGACAAGGGACCAATGTTGTGGCAACCCTCATGATTTCTTGTTGCACTCAAATAAAACTACTGTTACTTTACTTTATACATTTTTACTTTTGAAAATATTTCGGAAAATGCAGATTTCCTCACGATGTTTTCATGCAGAGCTGAGCACTTGAGAATAAATCTCAAAATATGAAGATCCATACAGATAAATAAAATTAAAGTGTCTGTTTGTAATATTAAAATAACCGCTTTTTACTAAATATTATTCATATGAAATATATACACGGTGCATATCTATTATCAAAATTACATTTTTTACAATTTTTGTCTGTGTGTCTGTCTGTTTGTTGCGTATCTCTGAAACGGCTGAATCGATTTTGACGGGACTTTCACTGGCAGATAGCTGATATAGTAAGGAATAACTTAGGTTACTTTTACTTTGGAATTCTATTTACTTTGTATTAATATATATTTTACAACTCCACGCGGATGAAGTTAGTTTTTAAATAAAACTTCTAGTGACAGAAACAAATAAGAGGGACACACTCGTCCGCGGAAGTACCGTCGCCTCACAGAAGACAAGCGCACATAATTTTGCGTTTCGTTTTGTGAGTGAGATTAACGGGGCCCACGGTCAACAAGGTCGGCAAAGAATATGCAAGCCGTGAGGTGTTACAGATATTTAAGAGCGGATCATTCAACATCAGGAGAACCGCCTGCCCGCAGACTTTTAACATGAAGAAAATTAAAGTTTTCATCTTGGTCAATCTTTTTACTTCAACGTGCGGTACGCCATGGAGTGGAGCAATTTGCTAGCCAGTTGCTCCACCCGATTATAAAAGTATGTTAATGGCAGGAATGAAGAATCTTTTGCTGAGCACGAACCACCTAAGACCAGCCACACTGTCTATTGAAACGCGAGTTAAACCATCCAGTAGTTAATCATTTATTTCAATGGCCTACATATTCAAAACATATCGCGATATGGAACGCGGTTGAGTAGAGGCAAATTCATTTCCGTGGGCCCTACGACAACTTTTACATAGTCCCAAGGGACGAAAGCGAAAGTTTCGTCCAGCTTAGAAAGCGCTTCAGTTCGAGATTTGCGTCGACAACAATGTGGGTGCGCGGTCGCGCCTTGTCTTTGTACTTTGTGTGGAAGGGAAGTAAGTCCCGACTGCGACCCAGAAGACCTATTGTAGTCCTCCCTTCGAAAACATTGACGTTTTACATACACAAATGTAACACTGACAAACACCCAGATCAGAAACAATTTTGTGGGATTCGAACGCACGATCCCCGAGGCCGAAGCCGATGCGTCTGCAAACGGAGTCCCCGCACGCACCTTGGTCAGGACGTCCTTGAAGTTGTTGACGACTGGCACCGGCCGTCCCTTGGCGTCGGCGTGGTTCACCAGCGAGAGCCTGGCGCCCGCGTACCACAGCTCCAACTCCTTGAGGGCGCTGCGCACTGCCGACTCGTTGGCCGCGGACGCGTGGATCCTCTGGGAAATATCGCGCGGTTAAGTCGCCCCATAATTAAGATTTCACTATTTTTTTGGTGACCGTGTTTCAGTTAATTCAAAAACATTCAGATTTCGATTTTTTATAACCCGCACATTTTTTGTCCCCGTTCCTATATGTGCGGCAGTTACCTGATTTAAGGCAGACAGGTAACTGATTTTAATACACTTCGTGTTCGTTTTCTGCTAATTTCCCGAAGTAATTCTAGTTTTTGTGAATGTACTCTTTTAGGAAGTTTAGTTTGTATAATTCCATTGTATAATCAAAATGTGACATATTAACCAAGAGGGTTAATGCATTACCACAAAAAAATTTAGCTAAATTCTCATAATATATTTTTAAAAATTCCAAAGTATTGTTCCTCGCCTATATGTGTCAACATAAAATTTTCTACAAAAAAGGAACTGTTTTGATGGGGACATGGGGAGGAAAAGTGCGTAAAGAAGCGATGTAGACATAAGGACGTTAGAGATTCACTCGAATACGATGGGATAGAGAAAAAAAACTAGATTAGATGATATTGTTGTTTCTTCAGCCGTATCTTTAAACTTTTGGATAGAGATTAACCTGCAATGTTTTCACTTGTTTCTTGATATTTGCGGCCGCATCAAGCAGGTCCTTAACTTTCAACGTTTCTGGCGGTTTGTACTCGAGCTCAAGCAGACTGAACACCTCTCCCCAATGAATCTCGGTGAAATCGGAGCCACGTAGGTACTTTAGTACTATAGTGAGATCCTAGAAATTGTCCATTACATAAAATAGAAAAATGGCGCCGTCCCGCTATAACATAAAAAAGAAAAAAGAAAGTTACGTAAAAAATTACGAACGGTCAAAAAAGTCCTCTAAAATTGAATCAGATTTTACATTAAATGTTTTTATTTAATTTTAAATTAGTTTAAATATTTTTTTGAATTTATATTATAATTTAGTTACGTATAATATTTAATTAGTATTATCATTTTAAATCAATGTCTCTTAACTTCAGCGCTGAAAACCAAGGGGTTGATAATCATCTGAAATGTTATTTTAAACAAATTCCAAAGTTTTAATCAAGGAAACGATAGACAAATAATAGCAATGTTCTTATCTGCATTTAGACGCAATAATAGTTTATCTTTGTTTGTAATTATAAATATCGAATTAATAGAGTTCTCTACTAAATAATAAAAGTTCTTCATCAGCAAAAAATCAGCACCTAAAATTATCAATTTCATTGGTGCGTACACCAGGATCTCATTAATGCAGGATTATAAGTAATTAGCAACATAATTTTTGATATTATATTCGTTTGTGCCGTGATAGCTCAGTGTCCGGGCGCTCGCCTTTAATTTAATATACTCGAGCAACCTGAGTTCTATCTCCGGTGCCGGCACTAATGAAATTTTTAATTTCAAGTGCTGACTTATCACGTGAGGAACCCTGCATATTTTCGAAATAATAACAAAGAAAAAAATGTTTTGAAGATATGTGAAGTACGCCAATCCGCAGTGGGGCCGCGTGGTGGACTATGCTCTGATACCCTCTGTACAGAGGAGGCCTTTGCCCAGCATTGGGACATGTACAGGCTGTTCCTTTACTTTTACTTTTATTCGTTTGTGACGTGACGTCGTCAAACTTACAGTATACTGCTCTAGTTGTTGTTTGAGGTACAATGTTAGAGTAGTATAAGGCTCCAACTTTGCGGACCATTTCTCGACCAGTTCATCCAATAGATGGAGCTTCTTTTGAAATACGATCCATTCCTGCTCGGCAATCGCTTCATAATCTGGAATTGAGTGTATTAAATTTTTGTTACATATATTTAAATTTTCATTCTATAGTAACGTATTTCTATATAAATATATCATTTAATCAAATGTCCATAATATTAGATATACATTGTTTTCAGGGACGCTTTAAGTACACTAATTTCAAATGAGTTAACACTTAGATTAGATTAGAATAAAAACCGATATAGAGTCACAAAATGCCTATAAAGGTGAAAAAGGATACATTTTTTTGGTGGGCCATTATGCGAAAAATTAGTCTTTTTGGGAAAAATATTTTGAGGCAGTTAACGATACTGTACGAACTTTTTGGTGCAGATTAACTTGTTTATATGTGAGAAATATTTCATAGTATCGAAAGAAAAATCACGTTAGCTTTCGAAAGAAAATCCAAATAATTATGTTATTTGTGGAAAGCAAGCGCTCGACTATTATTTTACAGAAATAAGTTTAAGACATTTGTTAATAGCATAAATGTCATAAACAAAAAAGTACCTTCATTATAATCTCTTAATACAGTCCAATGGTCGAGATATTCTTTCATCAGTTCTTCGCCATCTTTCCAAGCATCGGATAATGCAATATCCATATTGAACTTTTCACATTCGTTCCTACAAAATAGTAAGGGAACGATAACACTCATAAATTGAAATGGCTCTAACGATTTTGATTAAATTTTGTTATGTAAAACTGGTATTCCATTTAAAATTTGTTTTTTACAATTATACAAAACACGACATTACAATAAAATAAGACAATATTTAATAACAAATCGATAGAGCGCCATCTCGTAAAGTTTTTAGTAACTTGCATTATAGGATTGGATGTCAGCCTACTGGTATCGCAAAACTTTGTGAGATGGCACTGTTAGAAATTATCCAAATAGGAATAACTTCACCGAGTAACAACACAAAAAAACAATTTTATAAGACTTCAAGCGTCTAAGTCTCCCTGGCGTTGAATTTTAAACTGTATTTATGACTCTATGTCCCTCTCCTTGCGTCTGGTGAGTGAGGTAATTGGGGCCCACTTTATTAAAAGTTAGCTACGCACTTTGACTTCCACTTAATCAAAGTCAAAGTTTCTTTATTCTTTATAGGATTAATTTAGGCTCATATTGAAACCACATTGAAAAAAACTACCACCGGTTCACTAAACTAGACCTGACCAGAGAAGAACGGGTAAGAAACTCTGCGGTCTTAAAAAAAAGCGATAATCTTTTTTTTGAGTGATACAGTATACAAACTATTTATACTTTCTTTCCACGCATTCTTGTCCTCAATGTAATGTCTTGGACATTATAACAGGCCCTTGCCATTAGGGTGGCTTTTACAAAATGTTTGAAATTCTTTATACTTGGTCGTTTGTGGATGTCACCTATACATATATACAGATATGTATAATAGATTCGACGGTGGGAGTTGCTCACTTCAGGCGCTCCCTTTCGGCGAGGAAGGTACACCATTGCGCGTGCGCGTCGAAAACGGATCGGCAGCGAAGCGCCATCTCCGCGTATGGTATGTCCTGGGAACCCTCTAGCTTAGTCCGCGCCTGCCCCCAGCGGGACACCCACGCCTCCACGCCAGACCCCAAGTTGTCCCACTCGGACCTCAGGGCCGTTTTCACCAGTTCCTCCTACAACCAACGAAGCAAAACATCACACAGACATAGACAGAAAGATAAAAAAAAAGATTGAAGGTATAAATATATGTCTCTATCTAGACAGACTTACTATTCTATTTACAGATATATTTGGTTACTAGCGATAGGTATTTGAGTTTGACATTAGCTCCATAATACTTACGTCAAAATTCTATCACCAGTAAACTAAACTATCTGCAGAGAGTGTATTGAAGCCAGACCTATCTATGACTTACCCAGGACGATAAACCCACCTGATGTTGGAACATCTGTTGCTGGTCGAGCATTCGTTCGCGAACCTTCTGCCACTCCTTGACCGCGCCATCGACGAAAGAGTCGCCGCCCCATGTGCGTAACATGTGACCCTTCCGTTTCAAACTTTCCACCATGATTTCCATCTGTAATGAATAACAAAAAGTTAAGTAAATACTAACTTACAAATAATAACCAAATTCGGCGACGGATACTATTTATCTATGTTATTTATTTGTAATATAATTATGTACTAGCATTAAGTCTAAAATTGTACAAGTAAAAGGAAATAAACTTTATTATCATTAATAATTACACGCTACCTAATATACTACGTGACGTGATATCAAGAACGTATCTAGCTACATTTTCTCGCTAAATAGCTAACACTTAATCTTTGAGTGAAAAAGAACCTGCCCTTTTGTTTTCGGAAGCAACAATAAGTTAAGGTCTAATCAACACTTTCAACTTTAATAGTCGTATTAATTAAGATCAGAACAAATATAAGTTTACACATTATTATATCTGAAAATTATTTTATTTCTTATTAGTAATTGTTACACAGTACTCATTCAAATACAACGTGTTCTATAATGAATTTTCTCGCCGCGGGTGTCAGCTATTTATAAAGTACGCATCCTCTCACCTCGGGCATCTTGTCCTGCAGCGCTTTCTGCTTGGCGCTCATCTCGGCGAGCTCCTTGGCGTTGGCGGGCGGGCGCCTCGCGTCCAGCGCCAGCGCCGCGCCGGCGAGGAACGCGTCCAGCGCAGCGCTGTCCGCGCGGCAGCTGCCCTGCAGCGAGGCCACGAGGGCGGCCCACAGCGAGCGCGCCTGCGCCTCGAACTCGCGCCGCAGCGTCGCCGTGCACACGCTTATCCACTCTATCTTCTCGTCCTCGCTGTGGGGAGTGAGGTGGAAGAATAGACTCTGGTACCACATGATAAGTTAGATTGCGGATGATATTATTATGTTTCTGTTTTCGATTATTAAAATTTTATTGTTAATCGTGTTCGCAAGTTAATGTCAGGCTGGGGTAGAATATCAGTGTTGTGCCAATGTGCAGAGGGTTCAGCTTTTTGTTACACACAAAGGGTCTGCCTTTTTGTCTAAAATCTGACCAATATAATTGTATTTTTAAATTACTTGTAGGTACCTTATTTGTGACGTTAGACCAATAAAGATTTATTATTATTACTATTATGGGGAGTCTGTATTTTGACACTTCGAGCCTTAGCTGTTGCAAGAATGGGTACGGGCGTCCGAGGCACGATATAGGCAAGACCGGCGTGAAATGAATGTATCATACTTTCGTGTTTCGTCTGGTGAGTGAGGCGACCGCGACCCACTTTTGTGAGGTTGTGACGCATCTACATGCCCGCAGGTGTTGCAGATGTCCACGGGCGGCGGTATATGTTTCGATTTCGTCAAGGATCAAAACCCGCAAACCAAACACCCTCAAGTGATTATCAGGAACTAAAAGTTTTCGAAATGCCACGTTCGGCTCATTGAGCGGGGTACTCACAAGGTCATCTTGGCGACCGCCTGGCCGTATGCCTTGCAGGCCCTGAAGTTGGCCTCCCAGTGCTGGGGCTGGGCGAGGTGTTCTTGGCAGAGCGCGTCCAGGTCGGGCACGCAGGCGAGCGCCAGCCGGCGGGCCCAGGCCGCGCGGCTGCCCTCCAGCCCGCCCAGGGCCGCCTCCAGCCGCCCCACCGCCCCGTTGCCCAGCCAACTGTGCCTAAATAAATCAATTAATATTTTAGGACACACTTTTACACCACGTTCTCTAGTCCCGAGTATTTTTATGTGACCCACAAATAATTTCACCTGGGTGTTTGTTTACCAAAGCGGTTTGACGTCAGGCAGGCGGCCGGTCGTAAAAAACATTGGCAAAACCGCTTATAATATGATTCACATGTTGCACCGACCATTCCTAGGTGTGATAAAAACAGGAGGATGATGATGATGATGATGTTCTCTAATCTCAAACTAAGCAACGAGTAGATATGATAAACATACATAAACCTACTTTTCTTTTGTAAATAAATAAATATTATACATATATGTAATACCCAGACATCGAAAAACACTATGTTCATCGCACAATATTTTGCCAGTAGTAGGGATCGAACCCACACCCTCTGGCGCAGGAGGTAGGTTCGCTACCCACTACGCCCTATTTTATGGGTTATGTCGGACTTTCGCCGACATAGCCCCTACGATGTTGTCTTTCGCCACCCAGCGTTGACCGCTACAGCAGCCCCTCTTCGTGGAACAACTCTCCTCTCCTCCTGCTGAGGCAAGCTGAAAAATGTTACCGCCTTCCTATTCGGCCCTATTACGGTAAGTCTTTCCGTTCGTCCATTCCTTCTTTCTGGTTGTTTAGGTTACATTCATAAATTGTACGCACAAACATCTTAAACAACATATGCGTAAGTCATCTGGGAACAAATTTAAATTGTTTATAGTGCTAATCTTTGCACTTAAGATTGAACATTAAAATATGTAGAAAAAGTGCGAAAAGATTGTCGCCGTCGTGGGAATCGAACCCACGTCTTCGGCTTGCCGGCAAGCCGAAGACGTGGGTTCGATTCCCACAACGGCGACAATCTTTTCGCACTTTTTCTACATATTTTAATCATCTGGGAACATTTTGTTTGGTACAAAAATTAAATAAACTTACTTATCGACGATCGAAGCGAATATCGACTGATTCGCGGCGATGTTACTGCTCAGCCCAACGAACTGCGCCGGTAGTGATACGAGACGCCGCAGCTGGTGGTAATGTTGCACGCGTATCTCTTCCAACGGCGGCTGTAAACGCACCATGCGTCCCCTGTTTGTTATGAAACAATCCTTGTAAATTATTTTTTTATTAAATTATTTATTAGTTGCCATCTTGTAATAAAGTGGTATCCCCAACCCTACGGGTGTAGCAAATGTCGTCGTGCGAGAGTTATTACTTAACATCAGGTGAACCGCAACAATCGATCGGGATGAATTTTGCTTGGGAATAGTTTATGGCCGAAAGTAACATGAGCCACATTTAAACGGGAGAAACGCAAAATTCTGGCAAATCAATAAATATATCCACAGGGATGTACTGAAATGGGCAACCGTTTAAATACCAATGAACTCTCAATGGAGGGTTGAACATACCGAAGCACCAAATCGACTCTGACGTGAGGGAAGTGCTTATGCAGGGAGAGCAGCGTCTTTATGTACTGACATTCGAGCGCTTTATAAAGCTGCCAGTCCCAATGGGAGCGCCATTGCTCGGTGTTCTTGTATCCATTCCCCTCCACCTAAAGTTAATTTAGAGCCATTAAATTATAGCAGCGGCGGTACCCTGCAGTTTCTGTATCAACAATTGACAGTACGCCCACTAGATAGCGCCAAGGATTTCTGGAAATCAAGAAAGTAGATGTCGAGATCTTAGAACCGTGAGGCATCGGCCGCTTACTCCTCGAGTAAATCGTCTAGAGGCGTTACCTGGAAGGCGCAGGTTCGAATCCCGCCCAAAAAAATATTCGACATTTTTTTCTTCAAAAAATTTCAGATTTTAAAATTGCCAGACTCGTCTAGAAAAAGACAAGCCTCACAAAAAAGCGACATGAATTAAGAGTATTTACGCCCTTCCGTTCTATCCGGTTAGTAAGGTAAACTGTTGTTTAGGAGAGTCCATGACCGCGGCTTCTTGCTTGCCAACAGGTGGATTGCCGTTAATCCGTCGCCATCCCATTTAAAACTATATATAAGACTCCTGAACATGTCCATTCTTAGAAATTTAAATTGTTTATAGTGCTAATCTTTGCACTTAAGATTGAACATTAAAATATGTAGAAAAAGTGCGAAAAGATTGTCGCCGTTGTGGGGAATCGAACCCACGTCTTCGGCATTCGCGGCCTGACGCTCTAGCCACTGAGCTAAACGGCTGATTGCCACACCGACGAAAATCTTAACGTATTCTTCTTTCTTCTACATTGTTTTCTTAGCATTTGAAGCAATGCTTGGCGCCATCTATTGTTATATGCTTTCCAGCATACAAACAATTTCGAATATCGTTTTACAACGATAATTCGAACGAGTGCGCGAGTTTCAGTGGCTAGAGCGTCAGGCCGCGAATGCCGAAGACGTGGGTTCGATTCCCACAACGGCGACAATCTTTTCGCACTTTTTCTACATATTTTAATGTCCATTCTTTATTTATCAGTTTTAGTATTTTTGTCAAGATATATAACTTTGCATACACAAACATACCTTTTCAATTATATCCCTAATCTCTTTAATGCCTTTTTTCCATTCAGTTTGTTTCACAAGCAGATCCGTATCTAACAGCCTCTCCACCACGTTCCTTATAGCTACGTGTTGGCTCGTCAGGTAGGAATTCTGTCAAAAACGTCAGTACATTTTTCAATTTCGCGTAATTAAAGTAAAAGTTAAGTAACAGCCAATATATGTCCTGTGTACAGAGGGTATTAGGGCATAGAGGCAAACTTCACGTCATATCTTCGAAATATTTTCGATAATATACAGGTTTCCTCACCGCTGAGCACGTGATAAGTCAGCACTTAAAATTTCATTTAACAATTTCGTTAGTGCCGGCACCAGGAACTAAACTCGGGTTGATCAAGCATTATTAAAAACAAACACTATATATAAATTTTGATATATCACAGCTCGGTTTACGATAAAACACTACATTTCGCGTAATGGCGAAGTGTCAATTTTAGTGTCAGTACCTGCGTCTCCAGCTTTAGAACCATCGCTTTCAACTTCTCTGTGTAGATGGAGAGTTGCTCAACGTCGTTCCAGTAGACCGCCTTCTGCTCTTGGACCAGTGCGGACAAGTCCAGGGCGGCTTGCAGCATCATGGGCCGGGTCGACTGGATCATTCTTTCACCAAGCGTGTTATGGAATGACGCCACCTGTGAATTTTGCAATATTTCATAGAAGGGATGACTACAATAGATCTTCTAGGGCGCAGTGGTCGTTGGGAGTTACTATCCAACCTACCCATCTTAATCTTCACACAAACGCATGTATAAGGGATTATATAGAAATGTTTATCATTATCAAATTTTGTAACGACAAAAATCTGGAAATTCCCCCTTTCAATCTTACTGAACCTCATTTGCATTGATCCCCGAGAAGAGAACAAAATTGACTGAAATGTATTGTAACACTTTTTTTTCGACACCTCGTACCCTGAGTTTCGAGTGGCTTATATTAGAGATTCTTAGTAGAAATATAGCGACATCTGTTGTGAACAATACAATTTAGTTGAATGAATCCTTAGAAAATCTATATTTCAGTTATTATAGATGGCGCTAAGTCACCTTGTTGTTTTGCCTTAGTTTATTTTCTTGGATTATTTCGGTGCTAGTGATATTATTGTCTCGAAATATAAAATAATATCATTTTAGTTATATTGGACTAATATCAAGCAAATTTGTTTTTACATAATTTTCGCTTAGAAACGTTGTCTCGTTTAGCATAGTCTATGTTGATGTTGTCATCTGTCGTTCCGAGGAGAACGGCGGTCGGTTTCGTCTTGAAGTTTTTTTGTCTTGTTGGAGCGTCTGGTGGCGACGCGTCTCCTTTCTAAGTAGGAGCATGTAGGAGAGGAATATGTGGCATCTTAGGCCACATCCGTTGACATCCTACTTGAATATGGCTTCCTGGCCTTTATATTTTATATAAAAAACCCACATCGTTGGGTTTTTTTTTTATTGGTTTCTCTTTCTTTTTCTATTCTACTTTATCTCGCTGATCTGCTTTTCTCTGATGGCTTGATATCGAACCGCGTGTTCGCCTAATATGCAACTGCATATATACTAATAATCTGAGGTCCTGCTGTCCTCGTGCAACTTGAAGCAGCGGACTAGCTGAATGCCCCTCGGTGGCATGTGAGGATTGCTGAGCTGAGGTCTTCACACTTATTTGGAAACTAGGAAGGCAAGTCTGGTTCCTTCTGGTATGTTTTTGCTCTAATCTATATCTAGCCATTAAACTGATGATTGTGTTTACATACTGCTATGTAACGGTGATTAATCTAATGTACTCCCAAATCTTAATATTTATGCCTGATTGGTGAGATCTCACTCCTTCTATATTTTTAACTTGATATAGTTTAGTTTTATATTCAATCCTTGTATCAATAAACTCTAAAACTGTTAAGGAATGTATCTTTTATTTCCACTAAGTAAATCCCTTAGAATAAGCATTATTCTGTCTTGCACGGGCTGGCGCCTATTTAAAATAAATTCTGTCCGTCCCCGTGACTGGGTCACCGAGCCTCACCCTGTGGTCTTGATCGGTCCGATTGAGTCAGCCGGAGCGAACCCCTACACCGATCTCCCACTGGTGGAGCCAGGGTGGATGTTTCAGTATACTTAAAATATATTCTCGTAACCATTCTGATAATGCTTTTCTAACCTATAAAAGTTGCCCCCGGTTACCTTATTCACCAGATGAAAGACAAAAGTGTAATACTTCTACTTCATAACGGTCATTTGTGAAGTCGTGATACTTCCCGAACAATCCTGCTTGTTACTTAGTATGGCCATTGAAAAATATCGGCGGCACCTTCCGTAGGTTAAATAATTTTATTCAATCTAGAAATGTTTCATGCACATAAAAATAAAGTATTTTAACAACATTTGAAAGCATTGCTTTCTCGCCGTAGGTAGTCAAGTGCGGCCTGCACTTGACTAAATTGGTAATTAAAAAAAAATGATGGTACTGCATGTTTGGTTCGGTCCGACAGAGAAAGAGCAACAGCCTCACCGAAGCGTTTACCGCTTGCCCGCTTTCATTTGGTTACCCAAAGAACCAGTAACTCGATTTTTTAAGCTTTAAAGCTGGCAATGAATCTTCAACCACTCTTGTGTGCCAATGTTGAGGATCCTCTATATGCGTCAGTTATCACTTCATGAAAGGAGCCAACGGCTTTTTTCAACGAATTTTCTTTCCGAAAAATTGCCCAAGCTCTAGCACTAGAGTTGACGCCAAAAAACAAATTCATCCGAATGGAGTTTGCTCATAGTCATGCATCGACACTGTCACATGTTATAATCGCTCAATATAACCAGGTAAAATATCAGCCGTTAAGCTCAGTGGCTAGAGCGTCAGGCCGCGAATGTCGAAGACGTGGGTTCGATTCCCACAGCGGCGACAATCTTTTCGTACTTTTTCTACATGTTTTAACAGGTAAAATACGTACTATCTTAACCAAACCGCGTAACAAAGTTGTTCGCAATTGTACACTTACGCATAGAGGGAGCGAGACAGAAAGATTGCGGTGCGAGCAAGAGGGCAAGATGTTCGTACGACCTCGTACACGATACACGTATAATACCTGTTGGAGGGCGCGCGCGTATCGCAACGAGGCGGCTAGGGCGTCGATCGCCTTAGCTGCGTCGGGGGTCGGCAACCCTAGGGCAGCCAGCGCCCGTGCTTCCAACTCCGTCCACACGAGCCGCGGATTGTAGTTGACCACCATCAGGCGGCTCTCTGCCGAAAACTCAACCACCGGCTTGTCTATGGACAGCCGCAGCGCGCCCGACTTCACTTGCGCCTGCGTGTATCGGTTCAAATGAAACTGCCGCCTTGTACTGCCTAAATTTTTGGGTCGCGACTCGCGAGCACGCGTGAGCGGAGATAGTATATTTTAGTGAGCAGAAAATAAAGCTGACGAAATAAAGTATCCAGCCAACACCGCCAATCAAGTAAAGCTTGATTGGCGGTGTATCATAGTACTAGTGAATAGAGTGAAAACACCTTCTTTAAGTTACTTTAATGCAGATATGATTGCAGTAAATGAAATATAAACTATCAAATAAACCACTTCAGTTCAAGACCGTCTATACTTTTACGATAAAAGTCCAACTACATCTTCATCTTTAAAATTGAGCAGTGCCATCTACATTTCGCGGTGAAATTTGTCACAAAATTATTGACACTAAAATAGGCTAGGTCAAGGAATGAGTGTGATTTTCAGCAGACTTTAAAAAGGAAAAGGTTCTCAATTCCCTCAGAACACTGCCATTTATAAATTGACTTGAATATTTCATTTCTTTTTAAAGGAAAATAAAAGTTGTTTGAAATAATTTTCAAGGGGGTTCCATTGTCATTCCATTAAAAATCATGGATTTAGAAAATATATCAGAGAACTCCTCAAAATCGAATAAGAAATGTGTAGTGACTTAATATTTGAAATAGGTTTTATTTTTGTTACTAAGAATGTTATAATATTGTTCAACAATGATTGTTCTAAACTTGTTAAAAAAAATATTTTCAATAATATTCAGTGGCTTCTACCTCGTATGAGATGCGATGCCCTAATAATTCAATTTAAATACACAGCTGTAACCTAAATTGAATCAATAATAGAAAAAAAAAAGCTTTTGCGTTCTTTAACACTAGCGTAGTATATAGAAATAGCACACTCTATTTACAATTCAACATTTTTATTCGACAATGAAACTAGTGCCGTGCCAAGTCACCGAGCACCAGGCACAAATGTGAATCAGTGATGGTCCGTGTACGCTTTCGAATTACATACGAACGCCCTTAAGATGCCAAGTGCATCTTTCCAGTAACTCGGTCTTCATCGACTAATTAAATTAATGCAAAGATTTTTGTATTTTGTAATTAAGGCAAGTTAGGGCCTAATATTAATATTACTTAAGTAAATATGTATTGCTTTCGCCATTTTACATTCTCCTTTATATTTGAAGTCGTAACATTGTAATAATTTTACAAAAAAAAATTATTATCAGTTCCTGTTAAAAAAAATCGTTTTACCAAAACTTTTTGACTATTTTATTCATTTCTTCACGAATTGACGTCATTTGATTGCGTCATGAAAGTTGAGTAGTTTCCGCGCGAATATCAAATTGATTAATGATAGAAAATAAATTAAGTAAGTGCTAGTATTTTTCTATTATGTATGTATTTATTAGTATCTATGTATGTATTCTAATGTTGGGTGTGCATACAACAAAAAAAATAAGTACCTGGATGTCTCTTGACCACTCCTCGTGTAATTGTTTGTACGAATTCTTCAGATCTTTCAACAATTTTTCAGCAAGCTGCGAAACTGCGACACTGCCTTCAAATTCTTTCAAATAATTATCGGCACACATTTGAATGTCCTTCACCTGAAATCGTAGATGTAAAAAAGCTTACAATGCAAGTAGAGTTCCAATCGTGGGTTAATTAGGAAGATTATATCTAAGCCATTCATAGTGCGTAAACTTAAACTTAATTTCATAAATTGGTGATCACATTTTTTTCTACGATTACTAGCATTCATGGTAGTCTGAATATGTGTAAAATAGTTTGAATAATTTGACTTACAATTAGCAGTATCCGCATCCAAGAAATCATTAATAAAAGGGTAAAAGTTTAGAAGGTTTTCACCTTCTAAACTTTTACCCTTACACAATAAACCTCAATCCAAAATGATCTTTAACTACACTAACTTTAGACTCCATCTGCTTTGCCCATTGAATCTGTTGCACAAGGGGCGACATTTCGGGCGGTCTGTACATCTTAACGTCAGCCTCGTCAGAGTCCAACTGCTCCTTTATATCTCTCAACATCTCCATGAGCGACGAGAGAAAGATCTCCAGTTCGCTGCTCAAAGCCTGCTTCACGACTGGCCTGTTTATGAGGGTCTTGTAACGTACGAATTCGTATAGCATCTGCGAAACAACACAGTGCTTAAAATCATTTCTAATAAATAATCGATCAATTTCAAATCGAATACACGTTTTAGAGTTTACGAAAGCCCCTTTGAGTAAATGCGCCCTTCGAGTAATTGCCCTTCCAATTTGCGAAAATGCCCTTCCAATAAACCAGCTCTCGTTGTTCAAGGCTCGCGTAAGAGTCATGATGCCTAACGATTGCTACTCTTTTGTACTCGAAGTAAAACTGAGGTATCAAGCAATGTCAATTTAGAAAGTAATATCATAAATTATGTTTTACCCAAATCTCGGGTAATAATTAAAAATGCACTTTCATCTAAACAAGGCACAGTCTTTGTCCAAATGGGTGTTAAGTTAAGCTACTATCACACAATGCAAAACTAAAAACTAAAAAACATTACAAATATTGCGCGTCTTATACTAAACAATTTTTTTTAAGTGATGAAACAAAGATTTATTCTTTTTGCGTCAAGATCGTTCAAATAAACGAATGACGTCTGTTTAGCAAAAATGGCAACAGATATGAAGAAAAAAGTGATTACAGGATAAGGAATATTCTGAATACTATCGATTCAATCCAATAGTCAAAAAAGCTAAAACAACAGTGAAGTTGGGTTTTGAAAGACGGAGCCTTTGTTTTAAGAGCAATTATTTTTACTAAATCAAAACAGGATATGCTCACTTGTTTCGTAGACGTGTTGTGTAGCCTGGGTCTTAATTTCTCTGCAATTTTCGCCTCAGCTGGTCTTAGATTAGAGGAAAATTTTAACACTGCATTTCCCCATGTTGAATTTTGTCCATTACACATCCACAGGTTTACATCTAAAGAAACGTATTTTATTACATGCATAATCCATAGCATATTACTATTGCTTTAAATATCCATTAAAAATTTTCAGCATCTGTCATAAGTTCAATTCACATACTAATAGTACTTATACAAAAAATAATGTATAGTATATACATTATTTTTCATACAAAGTCTAACGTCTACTTCAAAGACGTGTTATCTTCGATGATGCGATGTTTGTTCCTGTTGTCGTTGTGAAGTTTAATTTTTTCATTCTTGTCTGTTTCACACCACAGCGCCTCGTCTCGTTTTCCTAATTATATTAGTATTTTATTTAGGAACTAGCTGTGCCCGCGACTTCGTCCGCGTGGGATTTAAAATAAAAAAAACTAAAATAAAAGTAGCCTAAGTTACTCCTTATTACATCAGCTATCTGCCAGTGAAAGTCCCGTACAAATCGGTACAGCCGTTTCAGAGATTAGCCAGAACAAATAGACAGACAGACAGACAAAAATTGTAAAAAATGTTATTTTGGTATATGTACCGTGTATACATCCATATGCATTTAGTAAAAAGCGGTTATTTTAATATTACAAACAGACACTCCAATTTTATTTATCTGTATAGAGATTTAGTGCAAGAAAACTTAAATGAAATGGTTTATTATTATATATATTTATATTTATAAAATAAAACACCACCACTACAGCGTGCAAACACTACTGTAGTTTTTCTAATGTACGTGCAGCGACAGGGCTATCAGGGCATTGGGGATCCTACAAAATCCTACAAGGCCGAAAACGGCATCGTAACGTTGCGAGCTAATGCCGCCACAGAAATAAGCATTCCTCTGATACTGTGCAGCACTATCAGTATTAGTAGAAGGCTGAAGAATAATTTTGTTAGGGCTCCTGACCAAACATTCGAAGGCGACACGCCGGCTACTGAATTGCAGTGCAAGCAAAGCTATTCCTCAAAACAGCAGCTTTCTATGATGTCACATGGATGCTGCACAGACAATAGCATAGCTCTTAAATTTAAGAATAAGTCTAAATACAAGACTCGTACGTTCAGCCTAGTGTTTCGTGGACAATGACGTTTCGCCAACCCACTTTCGCAACCCTTGACTAGCATGAAGTAGGACTCTTATACTTCTGCGTTTCGACTGCTGAGTGAGGTGATTGATATCCACTTTCTTAATAGCTTGCAACGCATCTGCATCACCTTCTCAAAAAAAAAAACCCATGTCTGGTCAGGTACTTCTTTTTCGTCTGAGAATAACTATCTCGCTACCATCAAATAGTACACTAGGATCCTATTCTGTAAGAGCATACTCTGCTGTAAATTTAACTCTAAAAGAAAAAAACTTTTGGTATAACTCACCTGCAAATGCGTCAAAAAGTCCATCGGTCTTCAATTCCGTTTTTTCTTTATTCGTTAGTAGTTTGTTTAGTTGGTTATATGTGGACCTTATATCGTGAATCTTGAATAATTTAACATAACGTATATCGTATAATTTTTTATAGAGAAAAATTCAGTGTTAGCGAGTTAATAAAATTAAATTAAAAAAAATTCAATAAAACTATGACAGTTATTGTGAGCTTTGCAATTTCATGTAAAATAACAACATTGTACATTGAAATTGTAATATATAAAAATAAATGAAGTAGATACATGTATTGAGATATTCGTGAGGTTAGAGAAAGTGCAGGTTTGAATTCCACAGCGCCGAAAACAATTTTTCAACAATTTCGTGACAAAAGATGGAATTATAAAATTATATCATTAGTTATGTAAGTTGACACAGAAAACAAAACCCTCATTTCGTTGTTATACGCCGGATCATTGTTCTTTTTATTTAAAAATGTAATGTGCCAAACACAAAAAAAATATTTTTCTTTCTATCCTGCATAACAGCTTCTGTCGCACAAACTGGCCAGCTCCATTCGGTATGTACCTCAGCCTGGCAGAAGACCGGCGTGGGTCAACAAAATTTCTTCCCTTGCGTTTCGTTTGGCCAGTGAGGAAACTGGAAGCCCACAATCTCGGCCGTTAGCGACACCGTAACATCCCTGGTTTTGTGTGAACTCACTTACCATCAGGTTAACCGCACGCTCAGATGCCAACGCTTCGAAATAAAAAGCTATTAGATCGTAATTTCTTTTGGGGTACCTCTTTCGTCCTCCTCTCGAAATTCAAGCAGAATTGCGGCACATATCCTTCACCGGCCCACGGGTGCAGAGCGTAATTGGGCCAGTAGGTTTCGGTGAGGCTGGTGCAAGCGCCGATCCAAGTCTGTACCACATTCACACTCTCACTGATTAATTTCAATGTTTCGTTATCTTGCTTGTCGTTATGCACTCTCCATAAGTCGATGCCGCTCAACGCCTTTTGGATTATTGCGCAAATGACATGACCTAATAGAATAACGGAAAATAAATGTATAATTTGTAGATAGTAAATCTTTACAGCCTTATGAGAACACAAAGGGGCTTAAATCCCATAACACCATCCCATAATGTCGCTGAGATGTCACGACTTTAACTCAGATTCGGACATCTTTTATTAAGAGAGATCGCGGAGATACAGCGGTGCAGACATTGTAATCACCTCATTATGGTGCAGTACCAACGAAATTTCTCTTACGTCTGACCTCTTTCGACGAAGCTGAACAAAACAAAGGCAGGTTCGGTGAATAAAATTAATATTAATAATAGCCTCTCGACATGATCTAAGACATTAAGCGGGAGAAATTGAAGAGTCGTTAACTATTTCCCTATAGTAATACATATAAATTAATTTTCTCGAAGAAATGTCTGTGATTATTTTTGAAATTATATTTAATTAATAGTGTTAAAAATACCGATAATATCCAGTATATGTGTCATTCGATCTTGCGGATATTGCACCAAAGTGTACCGCCAAATGTCATCCAAAATGCCACCAACGTTCTCTGCATTATCTCTTACGTCTTGAAGTGGAACTGCTTTCATAGACCTATAAGTCCATTAAACAATACATAAATTCAGACATTGAAATAAATCAAAATAATTTCCACGTAGAAGGTTTAACAAAAAACCCTCCGAGTATGCACCCCATACTCGTAGTGTTTTTCTAATAAAAGAATGTTTATCAGTTACCTAGTATCCAAAGTACAATTTATGCTTAGTTAATATTTATTTTGTAATGTCTTTTTTTAACATTTTTTATTAACTTGGGAAATTAAATCAGTAACCCTTACATAATATAATACAATACTAATAATATAATATAATACGTAACAAGTACAATATAACACATCGCAATCTATACAAATAATAACAACTGTTGCAAGTAAAGGCTGCAGCGTACAGCAATTATTAGATATCCAGTTTTTAGTTAACATATTCAATTAAAACTATTGATAATAAAGAAAAAGTTGGTAGCGATATATTATCTTCAATGTAAGGTAAACATTTCCTTATACATTCTTTAAAGTTATCTACTTACTCATATATTATTTTAAACCAATCACCTTATTTCCTCACAAACATCTTCAAACAATACACAGAAATTAGAAGCCGCCTCTCTTTCCTTTTTTGAGATATCTCTTTTTTCTCCCATTGCTTTCCAATAGTTTACTTCATCTTCGACCGATAAAACAACTAAAAAAATACCAATTTTTAATATTTATATCGCTATAATAAAAATGCGACCAAATACGACGAAGCTTAGCAAAATTATTTACCATTTAAGTTTCCACTGTTTCTACCGTGTGCTATGGCTCTCAAGTTGGTTTCCAGGTCAAAAAGATTTTTCTGTAATTTGTTCGTATATAAATCATCTCCCTGAAATTCAAAGCAATTGTCGCAAACAGTTCGAGTACCAAAATAAATTTAATTGAGTCTATTGGAACAAATATACTGGATGTTGAACGATTGGGCTTAAGATGAAATTTTCTTTTATCGAAAAGCATATAACAATCTATTTGGATTCGCAATTTAACATCTATACAGCGTGTCTTTACCATCGCGACAATAAATGAACACAAATATAGAGGAACTTTTTAAAATATTAAAGATTTACTTTCTTTAAACATCAATATTTAACGAGTTATAAAATTTTCCAAAACAAAGAATTTTAGAACACCCTTACGTATAAAACTTTAATGTAAAGTTCATTTGTAAAGCTCACAAAGCATATGAATGGGTTGAATGAATTTAAAAGAGATAAAACATACTGTTAGAAGAAGAGGCTTGTAATGCGGCGCTGTGGCAACCTGTGGTATAGGATGTTACAAATTTTGTTTCTTTTTCACTTAATTAGTTGTTTGAAAAATATATTTTTAATTATGGATTTTGTAACGTTAATATTTTTTTATGATTATTGGCAAGTAGGCTTAGGTGTGTGTTCATTTATTGTCGTGGTGGTAAAGACACGCTGTATAATCGAATCAATTAACAACATTAGGATTGTGGCCTTCAATTTTTAACATTAATTGCTGCACACTTCATTAACATTATTTAAAGTAATTGTTTAGAGAAGAAAACCTTTTTTTTTTTCACTAAACATAAGGTGAAACCTTAACCTTTCTTCTACGTATTTTTAAAGATGCTAAGCTGCTTCATAAAAGGTTAAACTGTTATAAAAAAAACGCGATAACTACCTTAATTGACATTACCGCGACATTCCTAGATTTTGAAAAAAATGACACAATCGTGCGAAACAGTAAAAAATAGCAATCAACAAAAATGATAAACCTTTGTTTTACGTCAATTGTTAAAATGTTTATGTATTTTGAATGTTCAGGAAACAGGTAGAAAGTTTAGGATAATGTTCGTCGTGACTCGATAATTATCATCATTCAAAAATACGGGGAAGCCAGAATTTATAAAATTATTTTCAAGCAGAAGAGGAAATAGGGGGTCTATAGAATTATTGCTCATATTTATTATTTAAAAAGAATGAGAACATAACCAAATTGTGCCGTACCAGAGTTAGCAAAGGGTTAAATATCTGTCTCAAAATCTGATACAAGGATTCTGCTGCTCCCTCAGTTATTGTAATTATGTTAATATTATTAATGACATCTTCTTTTGATAGATCCAGTGGAGATGTTTTGTAGAAGATTATTGATTTTTGTGAGTTGCATACAATCTGAAAATAATTGATATTACTTGAACGTAACGTACGATTTGTCATTTAATAATAATATTGCGTTATATTTCTTGCTTTAATCATCTGTATATTTTATTTTAAAAAATTATAATACGTAACGTATGTAACGTAACGTATTATAATTTTTTGCTTCTGTATAACTTTATCAGCCTGAGAGTTAAAATAACTATAGTGGTAGCTGAAATAGGAACATTTTAAAGCAAGTTTAGGTAAGTAATAAGAATCTAATAAGTCGAACCTTACGATACACGAGAATTGGCAATAAATTATTAGAAGTGTAACTTTTGCCACACCAAAGGGAAGCCTGGGCGCAAACATTAAGAGGAGGACATGTAGTTCTTGTCCCACGCCTTTCATAAAACTTTCACAACATGCGTTTGTGTTCGTTTTATTTATATATATATATATATGTATTAGTCTCGTAAACACCACCAAGTGCAGCAAATAAAGTCGTCTAGAAAAGCATCATGGCCTATAAGAAAACTAGTACAAAGAAATGATTTCATTTACCAAGTTCAGCCTTAACTAAACATTTATGACTTTTTAATATAATTTGGTGTTTATGTTATAGATCGTTATTGAATTAGAATTGTTTCAGTATTCAATTGTATTTATTTTAACTCTATTAACGCATACATAAATTTAAAAATGCGAAATGTTCAGCAGGGTAGAGCGAGAAAGCGAAGCGATGCCTCTCGGTTAATGGACAATTAACCGAGAGGACAATTAACCTTAAGACGAATGAATGCTGGACAAAGCGCACGCACGAGAGAACTGGCAGATTAGGAATGTGTGAAGGAGTTTTTGATGGAGGGGTTGCGTGAAGGAAATTCGAAGACATACGCCGATGGTAAAAGCCGACATGAACAAAACATACCCAATATCAAAAAACTGGAATATCTCCAACACAACCAAAATAAGACTTGTGAGGACGATCGTATTCTTGATATTATTATAAGGCTCCGAATCAAATCTTTCAAAATGTGGTGTTGAATGTTGCGCATACCGTGGACAGCGAGAAACACACCAACAAGTCAATTCTTGACCAACTGAACATTAAGACTAGGCTATTCTGGTTACATCGCCCGTAGGAAGCCAGATAATTTGAAAAAATTGGTTGTAGTTAGGAAAGTGGATGGCGAAAGACCACTTAAGCGATCGATCACCTACCCGTTGGTCTGATCAAATCAAATTGATAATAGAGTTTCCTGCTTCCATTGAAGAAAGCCGAAGACAGACCGGTGTGGAAGCTCGTCACCGCTTCCGTCAAACCGTTTCAAAACTGGCATGACCTTAAGTAATGAAGAACGCGAAGTAAGATCCTCAAGGAGGGGTCAATGGTCCCCTCCGAACGGGTTCTTAGTAGTCGTGGCTCGGTCACCCACGGTGAAGCCAAGAGGAACCCAAACTGGTCCGGCCTGTGGTGTAAGGAGGTCGAGGGTGATATTTGAGGAGTCTCTTTCCCTGTCTTCTGCAACCCACTTGAGTCGCGGAGAAAGAGGAGTCTCGATGTTACCATTCGTCGTTCTCTCTCCCCTTCGCAGCAGAAACACGTTGGCAGGCGAAGCCACAGACCAGGTCTGCCGCAAGGGACTGGAAACTTTGCTGTTTATTAAGTCTTTCCTAGCTCCCATAGCCTTTGGTTAGCGCAAACTCTCTACTTTATCAGTTCAAATGGGGCCGAGTAGGAAGGAGCGCTGAATGTTCCAGCATGCCTCACCTTGAGGAGAGGGAAGTGTCTCCCTAAGAAAGGTCTGATAAGGTGGCCAGCGCTGGCATGATCGCAAAATATGCCAAAGCGTTCCCATGACCATGCCAACAGCGCCTTAGGTAGAACCTTTTGTGGCTTTAATAAAAGCCAGTACGAGTCTGACACAAACCATCTGGCAAGGGATTTCCCATCATGTTAACAAAAAAGGTGTTATCCTTTATTCCTTATTTGAATTTCACACTGTAGCTTAGGTGGTAAAAACTTAAAATTAAGAATCATCATGGACCCTGTTAGGGCATATCAATAGTATCAATGGTATTTGGTGTTTTGATGAGTTTTACGGTTGTAAACAGCAATGGTAGTTATCTCAATAACTTCTCAGAGCACTGAACATTATCAATGCAATAGAAAATGTAAACAGACTGTTAAAAATGTAAATGTCTGTTAAAATATATCAATTTTTGCATTTTCTATGTTTTATCATCAGTTTTCTTAAAATTGAATGCTCCTGATTATCTACAAAAGCATGAGGGTAAATCCTTGTATAGATTTTTTAAAATCAGTAATGTTATAAATAAATCTTCTAAAGCTAATAAAAAACTTTCAATTTTTATTCAGTTTTCGTAAAAATTATAGGTGAATAAAATTAATGTTTTAAATTTTCTTTTATGACCTTAATCTAAAAAAATCAGGTGCTTAAGGTCAGGAACAGGTATATGCTGTGCCACATATAGAAGACATATGTAAAGTAATTACAGTCAACAAAATTTAATTGTCAAGGTAGAATTTATAAAATTATTAAGTAGGTACTGTTTTACTTACTTTTGTTGTAAGATTCAATGAATTTGCATTCACTTCAGTTTGAATGAGATATATTTGCGTGTTACAGATAAAATCGGATAAAGCATCTTCAGCTTCATTGTGCAAGTTGAGTTTAGGAAGGTTATAAAAAAGTTCTGAAATTTTAATGTTAGGAATATCAATCATTATTAATTAAGAAGTAAGCAGGTACCAAGAATGCAAACATGTTATGAATTTTATTTAATATAACAGGTTCTTCTAAATATGAATGAAGATACTTGTAGATCCATAGTAATATAGTACATATTATATAGTAAATACACATAGAAATTTAATCCATTTAGCAGTTTTTCCTTTTAGGAACAGGGAATGAATAAGATTATTTTATTGAATCCTGTGATAATCTTAAGTTTAATCAAGTAAGAAAAAAGAATTTTAAGACTGTTTAATTGCACAAATCTATAAATATAATCTCAGTCAACCATTTGAATGAAATATTTTAAATTTACTTAATATTATATTACTTTCTACTGCATTGTAGTAAAGTAGACTGTTATTAAGCATATTTTGAGATAAAATATAAAATATTTATTCTCCTTACCTGCAGTATTTAATATAAAGTTTCGAATTTTAGTCATTGTAACTACCCCATTACTCCATTATCTTATAATAATATGTAAATGCTTTTTACTTTATTTTGGGCAATAATTATTATATTACATTTAGAGATATCTCGGTAGAATCTTAAACCACATATGAATATAAATTAACCGTAAAATATAACAACAAAATTATTCATTAATTCAATGATTAACTGGTTTGTTGACAACTCGTAACCATGGTAACGTAAGGACAACGAGTCTGTAATTTTATACTCGTTTCGTCTGTTTTCGTGATACAGTTCAAAAAATATTATGAAACTATTAATATTTGAACTGCTTTACGGTTTAGGTCACAAAGTGATCAGGATCTATGTAACAATATTTAATTTATGTAATGAAATTATGACACAACTGATAATAAGTCAAATTAAAAGGCACCAATGACGGGTCGATCTGTCAGACGATAGGGCAAAATGCATTTTTTGTGTAGTTTTGGTAATATGGCTTTAAAAGCTTCGTATGAAGAAGTCCGCAAGCCAATGATTCACGGACTAGGGGGAATTTAGCTAGTGCATAAACGGCGGTCGGATTACGCCATCCGCTTTGCCGCATCTGTGCTATCCCTGTTAACGAAAGATGGACAATTTGCCTATTAAGAATACGATATGATCTAAGACACCTTCTATTGATGTTTGAATCTCAGCTTGGATCGCGATCGAGCAAAAATATAAGAATAGTAGCTGATCCGGCAAACGTTGTTTTGCCATATAAATTATTTGTAGGGTAGAAAAAAATGTTTGGGGTGGACCACCCTTAACATTTATGGGGATGAAAAATTGATGTTGTCCGATTCTGCACCCTGGCCAATGCACACAAAATTTCAGGAAAATCGGTCGAGCCGTTTCGGAGCAGTTCAACTACAAACACCATGACACGAGAATTTTATATATCAGACTAGCTGTGCCCGCGACTTAGTCCGCGTGGAATTTAAAATTAAGAAAAAATTCTAAAATAATAGTAGCCTAAGTTACTCCTTATGACATCAGCTATCTGCCAGTGAAAGTCCCGTCCAAATCGGTCTAGCCGTTTCAGAGATTAGCCGGAACAGACAGACAAAAATGATAAAAAAAAAATTTGGTATATGTACCGTGTATACATCCATATGCATTTAGTAAAAAGCTGTTTTTTTAATATTACAAACAGACACTCCAATTTTATTTATCTGTATAGATATAATCGGACCACAATGAAAAGACATGCACGTGACCATAAAGGAATATAATATCAACATGTGGTGGCTTTATACTTAGCAGTAGATTGTTGTGGCTAATTCTGTGATTGATTATAAAGCTGGCTGGCTATTTATAAGAATATACAGCCGTCTAAACGCACATGCTCAGCATAAGTTTTACCCTGCAAGGAGTATTTCTAGTGATCTCCGTGTACGGCGTAGTACTAATGAATGCTGCATACGTCAATTTTAAAAATCTTTGACTTAGTCAGAAATCTTTGAAATTGAATAGCGTAAATCGGAAGTATAACAAACTATCTTTTAGGTGTAAGTTAAGGTTTATTGATTGACCTTGGACGTCTAGAGTTTTTAATAATGATAAATGATTTTTCGTGGGCCCTTATATATTTTTGACAATTTCAATGACGACAAAGATGGCTTCCCCAAGAATATTTTTAATGTTTAAGGCGCTTCACCTGATTTTAAGTGATTATCGCCGCTTGTATGCAACGGGTTGCGAATGCGTTGCCAACCTTTTTAAAAGTGAGCCCCAGTTCAAATTCGAATTCAAATGACTTTATTTAACATTGGAGCATTACACTCACTTATTGAGTCGAAATACTACTACCGGTTCGGAAAAGAACGCCACTGGTAAGAACCGTCGAAATAAAGTCGACGGGACTTCATGTCAATATATATTAAATATAATGACATGAGCAGTATTTACATCAGTCTACTGTCTTATTTTTTTAACCGCGTAAGTTGCTGAGCTAAATCTACTCGCCAATAATAATATGGGGGTCCCCTTGCCGTTTGGTACCTATAGTTATGCCAATGAATGGAGTCGAGTCAATAGGGTCTAGCACTTCCCCATATAAAAGAACATCAGTTTTACATGTTTCAAATTGGAAGTTGTAAATTTTAATACATTTAGTTTTTTTATTATTCAACAGTAAATAAACTAAGCTCATGTGAGTGGAGGAAGTATTATTTACATCGTCATAAAATAATATCGTTTTGCTTTAAAAATTAAAGAACTCATCAGCAAATAATAATATGTCATCATTATTTATAACTAGATAAGGAAGGTCATTTATGTAAACGAGGAAGAGAATGGGCCCAAGAATAGATCCTAGCGGAACCCTCATATTTACCAGGGCCTTGGAAGATCTCTTGCCATTCACGTTTGCTCTCTGAATTCAATGGCTCAAGTACGATATCAGAAAATAAGAATTACCATACATACCAGACGAAATACAAAAGTATTATACTTCCACTTCATGCAGGTCTTCTGTGAGGACGTTGTACTTCCTCAGACGAGCCCGTAAACGTAGTAGTTAAATTCTCTTCGGACAAGACTCTCCATCTATTCGTGCAACAGTAGTGGCTGCGTGGCCCTACCGCACTTGACTCCATTTAACTTTTCAATAACAGAAAAGTGCTAACGTATACAATTTATTTAACAAATAATAACAACAAATAATAACTAAACTGTATCGTTATCATGATTAAAATTAAAAAAATAAAACAAATAATCATTTAGTGTCTATGGTTTATTTGGACGAAGAAAAGGGCTGTAACTGGCCACAATACAGAGCCTATGGCCCATAATTTGACAAGATCATTTAATTTTCCATTTGTCAATTGTCATTTGTTATTTGTCAAGTACCTATTACCTCTTAAAAATATTTTGGTTTCTTTCAAAGCGATTATATCACACAAGTTCCTAAAAATGTTACGTCTTCGACCTGTATGTACACTGGAATGGGTATTTGTGCACTTTGTGCACATTTTTTAACTGGGTACAATATTAATTTATGCAATTGTAATTTGGTTTTCAGACAATTAACTTATTTCGCAAAATTCAATGCGTAGTAAACTTGAGTGATACTAAACAAGTAGATACGACATATATGGAAATTCCTGTTTATGATATTGATAAACCGCAATCACTTGAAGTCCGAAAGGCGAGGTAAAAATATTTCAATTGTATGTGTTGTAAAATGAAAGAGCTTTTACGATTATTTTTTGAACAAGTTTTTATAAAATTATTCCGATAAAATTTCAGTATGTCGCAAGTCGTAAGACTTTTACTGAAATTTTAGACGTATACTGAAATTTTATTTAATTTTAAGACTTAGATTTGCTGAACATTTATCTAGCCATTCTTTCACCAATGAATCAGTGTCTTCAAATCTGTTGACATTATATTTTGTTGTCATTAAAAAAAACATAAATGATAATAAAATGGTAATATTCAAATATTGTCTCTTGCATCATGTATCAATATTTACATTAAATATGTTTTTAATTAATTAGTCAGGACACACATGTTTAGATAGCTTTAATTGATAGCTAACTATCATTTGATAACTCTATAGCACAGTTGCCAAGATTTTGGCTTTGGGCCCGAGGGTTTAATTCCTACACTAGATAACTATTTGTACAGATAATTGATTTATGACCTACAGATGTGTGAAATTTATGTTTGTAAAACATCCTTACAACACAGGTTAATAATATTCTACAGTATTTGAGTTATGTTTTTGGAGGGAAGATTACAATAGATCTTTATAGGTTGCTGTGGTAGTTGGGGCTTTCTACCCAACCCCTTCCACAAAAACTAAAATTCAATTACAACTGTTATTATTTACCCTGTTTGTACTAAAAGATGCTAGAGCTTGTTTTTATTTGATATTATGATTGTAGAAAAGACTATAATAGTTTTAAAATAAAAAGAAAATATTACATATAATGATAGATACATTAAGGAAGTAAAAAATACCCATTATCAATCATAATGCCTCATCTTTTTATAACATAGTGTTTATCATTATTTAAATTAACTATGGACAAGGAAATAAGTCTGTCTACTATGTTCTATGACTTAGTGCTGTATATCTATTAAGGAAGTTTTACTATTGTCATATATTTATATCATTTTCATAATTTAATACATTTATTCAACTTTACTCGGCAGCCTTCTTAAAAAAAGTAGCTAAAGTGAGCGCTTCAGTTTTGGTTTCTTTTGGACTGTAATAATACTTTATTTTTTCAGACTACACTATCAGTCACGCAAAAGGGGAATGCTGGAAAATGATCTTTTATTGAGCACTTTTGCAAAAAAGTATTTGGATGGATTTACTGAACAGCAAACAATGATGTATGACCGTCTTATTAACTCTCCAAGCAATGACTGGGATATATTTTACTGGATAGTACAGAAGCAACCAACCCCTAAGGAGTTTGATAATGAAATTATGGATTTACTTAAAAAGCATGCAAAAAATGATGAAAGAGTAACACTATCCCAACCGCCATTATATTGAATATAATGATATATATTATTTAATAATGATGAAAATCATAATGAATTTTCATCATGACTAGAATAGCCTTGTTTAGGGATTTCAATTATTTAATTATTAGAAATATAGTATCTCTGTAAAATAACCTGACACTTTTATTTATGCTTTACCCAGAATTGTTGATTAAAAAAAAAGATAAAGAAGGTTATCATTCATTTGGGATGATGTGAAATGCAACAAAGTTTTTAGTAACAACAAAATAATTGATGCCTTTAGGTGTCATGGATGCAAGTCTCATTTTATACAGCTGTTGTTTTCTTTAAAAAAATCCCCCATGTCTCAAATTTATATAATCAACTTCCAACTCATTGGTTGCTATAATTTAAGTAGTTGGTGTGAGTATAGATTTACTTTTCTTGTCAAAGTGCATTGAAAAGTACATTTACTTATAAGGTTTATGGTTACAAGTAAGGTGTGATTTGCCACTGCAGTGTGTACATAACAGTTTTATAATAAAGTGAGTGGGTAAAGTTTATTTCATTTATTAAAAAGCAATGTAATGAATAGCTTCTCGAAAACTGTGGTTTTATTAATTTCGCGAACCATCAAGGGTTAAGCAAAGAAGTAACATGGACTCTAGTATGGAGCAATTATTAAGGAGTAATTGTATTATTATGGAGTAATTAGTAAGTGATCACTTGCCGTCATGTTAATTGCTTAATAGCCTGCTACCTGTTTATAAAAATCAGCTAAAACGCTAGTCTTTCGTAGCATGAATCTAGATCTAGATCTTCGTGTTCCTCGAAGTATGTGTGAGGATCTACACACCTGTACACTACCGTATAATATTACGTACAAATAATATATAAATAATAATATTAAAACATTATTGACACACCCGCAGTCATCCACACTGGACTCCTAGGAGTCTAATAGGTGCAGGTGCGAGCCGATGGAATCGAACGCCATAAACGGAACGTTGTCTCGAGGGGCGCACCGTCGCACCGAATAATATGGCGATGAAATAAACTAATACGTCATCCTATAAGACAGTTGAAAGCCTCTATTATTATAGAATCTAATCCGATTAAACCGCCCGAAGTTAGTTACTGCTTAAGACTCAGAAATGCTAACAGAATATGAACATCTGTCGGAGTTACGCCGATATCTAACCGTATGAATATGTCCATGCAAGGACAGGTTTACAGTGAGCGAAGATTACACAATAAGGTATATATCTTGACGCGCGCGAATCATCATTTAAGCATGGTAAAATTTAACCCCGATATCTAAAGGATTTGAACTCATAGGAAACAAATAAGTAGAGCATAGTTTGAAATATAGTCATTGTTCTAAACAACTTTCCTTATCATTTAAATTGTCATCGGTAAACTCGGATTTCCCACACATCGTCAGACTAGAAGGTTGCGAGTTAAACCTTTCTTGTTTCACCTGCTGGAATAGCGATGCAACCGTAAGACGATAAACGCAGTAGCTTTTTAAAAACCTATTAACTCTCGCTTCGAAGAAACCCAAATTTTATTCGGACGGAAAGAAAGACGCAAATTCTTCCATTCTTCCGCTGTGCGTGTAATGACCGACGAAATAAACTTTTTAATATATTTAGGCTAAAGCGTCAGGCCACGAATGCCGAAGACGTGGACACCACCTTCTTGAAGCTTTACTTACATATTTTATATTTTATTTTTAGTAGGTATATTCTTTTGTGAATGAATCAAATTAAAAGATAATAATATCTTACACAAATTAAACCTTCCGCAACAGATTTCCGCATTTGAAGACAATATCGTTAAACCTAATCGAGGGCTAAAAAGATTGTAGTTAAAGGTATGATAAGGTTTATATCTGACAAAAGTAAAACTAACACTTGTTGAAGTTTAATATTATTGGAATATAATTTTTTATTCTAATCTCAAAAGATATCAACAAATCGGTTTCAAATAATAGAGAGAAATAGCTATTATGGCACTACATGTAAAGCTTTTAAAAGAAGTTGATTTAGAACTGATTAGTTGTTGTGAATTAAATTTATTTTCCTATATTTAATTTTGATTATAACAAATAATAATAAGGTTAAATGCTACTATTAGTACGTATCACTTATGCCGTAACGACGTAGCTTATAGCAACAGAAAATAACTATCACGACAACTTAAGTCATAACCAGTAAGAATTTAAGTACAAAACAAGTCGTCCGTAGTCCATAAATGCACAATCGGTAAAATTTTATCTAAAATATAGCCAAAGTTAAACAATAATTTTGTTTAAACCGAAAAAAAAAATATGTGATAGATAGGCGCCGAGAAATGAAAACATTTTTATCGTAAATAAAAACATGATTTCGTGTTATTTAGTTAAAACGATTGTCGTGAAAGGTAACATTAAACTTGTAGCGCGGTTGAACAGCAACCCATATTTATTACTTAATAACAGTAAACCAAAAAGACAAAGAATGGTGGCATTTGCAGGTGTTATTAGTGAAATGGATTTTCGAGAACCAGCACAAGTTGCAGACAGTACGATGGTGTAGTTCCTCACTACGATACAAGGAATTGGAGGAAGCAACTACGCAGAGCCACCTCGAGCACGTGGCACCCCCCGCGGCTACAGCGCCCGACGTCAAGCCACGCCCACACATTACGCCAGAAATTTCGTTCAAGGTAGTCAAGATAAGATTTTAGCTGGGCAATGCCTAATTTCATAGTAATTTTACGAAGCTTTCTTTAACTTTTGCCTTCATTAGACATCAACTTTTTTTTAAAGCAAAGGTGGTAAGTGAGCTGGCGGTTCACTTGGTGTTAAGTAATAACTGCCGCCCATGGATATTTGCGCGTAACACCCGTAGGGTTGCAGATACGTTGGCAACTTTTCATTAAGTGGGCCCCGGCTACCTCATTCAACAGACGAAACGCAGAAGTATGACACTTCCACTTCACGCGCGTGTTCTGTGCGGTCGTGGTACTTATCCGGACGGACCAGCCCATTCGTGAAACAGCCGAACAGCCTGTTGCGTGACTCTACCACAATGTTTATCAATGATTATCGCGAGAATTTTGAAAATAAATGCAAAATTTTCAATTTAAAAAAAAATTCAAACCTGTTCATATATTTGCGAACCTAAATCATGTTTGCAATGCTGTGCTACTATAATTTAAACTCGTATGCCACATTCAATGCGATATACATTGTACTGTGTAAATTTGCCAGATACTTTTTTTTAAAACAGACCGTTGTTTGGTGGCTAAGAGCATTGTTCTTTGATCTAAGATTGCAATTTCAAGAGCATCAAATTGTCATTTGTATTCATCAAATTCCAGCAAGCTCCCCATTTTTAGAGTTAGGTATAACATTTCTGTTCTCCCTGGATTGAATAACAAATTACAGTTTATTCTTCGTCTTTTAATTAGTTAAATTTGCCATGTTCTCTAGCGATGTAACGAACTCTTTGTTACAGTACGACGATTTACAAGTTTCACTGGCCGCGCCTTACCAGCTGCAAAGGAAGCCTGATGCGTCCGACCTCGGTTTCGGGAAATACTTCACAGATCATATGCTGAAAATACAATATCAAAAGGAGTTGGGCGGTTGGCAAAAGCCAGAAATTACGCCTTTTGAACCGCTTACCATCCACCCCGCGGCGAAAGCTCTCCACTATGCAATACAAGTATATCCATGCGAAACCTATGAATGCTTCTAAAATACTATACATATATATTATTTGTATTTCAAAATATACTTAGTTGGGTCATAAGTTCTGTAATATGTTTATTGTGAAAGGATTGACGCATGTTTGTTTGTACAGTTACCATTTATACACCAAAAGGAACTTATTCAAATATAGATTATTTTGGTAACAAAGATTATTCTTAACCTTATTCAAAATAACCCCCGCGATTTTGAATAGAAGCCTACTTACCTGTAATGGCCATATAAATATCAGCGTCTGCTTTGATCAAGCATGCCTGGACTGACTGATGAGACTTTGAGCAGGCCTTTTCCTCCAATTGTTGTCATGTTTTATAATTCAACAGATTTAAGTCTGAACTGGAGGAGGGCTAGTCTTTGTATCGGATGTCTTGTATCGGATTGAGTCTTTGTATCGAATTGTCGAAATCAATTTCACGCATCGCCAGCCAGTTCTTTATGCTTTTCGCTCTGTGACTTGGCGTCGTTCTCTTTATTCTCATCTGAAGGCCCAACAGTTTCTGTTTACGCAGGAGATTTCTTCGCATTCGCGCCTTCACAGCTATTATCACTGCTGAAGACCTAACAGTACATGGGTGATCACTTCTTTTTCAGTCTTCTTCTTCTTCAATATTCATTATTTCGTTTTATCGAGCGATAAAAGAATCTTTTGGTTATACGCGGTGTTACAAAACTACCCGTAAAGCCAAAAGTAGGTTAAATGGGGCCTTATAACGGGTCCTTCACATAACCCCTTGTACTTGAGTATACAATGCCATCCTTATATTGAGGTAGCAAACATTTATGAATGAAAAATAGAAAAACTATTGAAGTAGACAATTATTAGGTAAAATAGGTACGTAGGCTTTTCTGTTAAATAATCTGGTTACCTGACATTACAGCTTATTAGGGTTGACAACATTTTTGGCTTTGATAAGTAATTATATTTTTAAGGGGTATTTTGTAACACATTGTATTTAAATTTTTCAGTAGTTCGAAAATCTGATCTGGCGCATAATCGCACCGATTCGATGATTTCGATTTTGCACTTGACGCGATAATGGAATTCGGTCTTCTTAAAGCGTCCTTCTTATTTTAAATTCAAATTAAACAAATATTTTTGTGGCAGAACTTCTGACCCGACTAGGTATAATATAAAAGATTTTCTTATCCTGTTTGAAAGTCTTTTTATATATAAAGTTTGCTTGTTCGATTAAAACTTGTTATATTTTCTGTATACGTTATGGTAAATGATGATATATTTTCAGCTCTTTGAAGGTTTGAAAGCGTACAGAGGAGTCGATGACAGAATACGGTTGTTTCGACCAGATCTAAATATGAATAGAATGAATTTGGCCGCGCAGAGATCGGGCCTGCCAATGTTTGACGGTGATGAATTAATAAAATGTTTGAAAAGGTTAATACAAATAGACCAGGAATGGGTACCCCATTCGGAGACTTCCACTCTGTACATAAGGCCAACTTTAATCGGAACAGAGGTAATTTAATATTTTATAAAATCTGTTACGAGAAATAAGATTCTCTACCATGTTATAGTAGAGATGATGTTCACAGAATATCAGTGCAAGGTAGAAGTATTTACACTTCTGTATTGCATCTGGTGGGTGAGGACCTCACCCACCGAGAATAAAAAATATATACTATAATAGAGAATAAAAAATTTATACTTCGCGTGTGAAAATGAATACGATCTCATAAAACCATTTAATTTCCTATTGCCAATGTAAGGCGTTATATATAGGCGTAGAATATATAAGGACTTAAGGCGTTTCTTATAATAAAAGTGCCTTAAGTCCTTATATATTCTACTAAGATAAGAAGGGAAACACGGAGTAAATATTTTTGTTTTGGGAAAATCTAAAGGAAAGAAGATAAGAGCATAATTTATGAGCACATTCGTTCGTATCTAATAGTTCGCGTGGTTTCTTGTAAATCAAAGTTCTAAAATCGTTGATAAATATTGTTGATATTAGAATGCGTAGATATACTGAGAAAACAGATAATGTGTTCAAGATCACTTTTACGTAATTATTATTTATCATTTAGTGTACTTGCAAATATGATGAAATGAATAAATACAAAATGAGCTTAAATGACAAGTCCAGGTGTATTCCTACATTTAGTACAATATTAAAAAATTATGACTTTACATTACAATAAACGTCAAATCTTATCCTTTAAACGAGCAATTCTTGTTGAATGTCGGAAACGGCTCCAGCGATTTTCATGAAATTTAGTATGTGCGTAGATTCGGGGGTGAAAAATCGATCTAGCTAGGTTTCATTTTTAGAAAATGTCCTTTTGTCCCTGTTTTCGGGGAATGAAAAATATCATCCGAATATGACAGTAAATTTCGCCGCAAAAAGAAATGTTATAATAGCTCGGTCGGTAATCGGGCGGCCCCAAAACAGACGGCCGTGGTTCGTATCACGTTTTTTTACTTTTTTTTCTATACCAGATCATTTCAAAGCGAGGTCCTCCAGATACTTTATTATTATGTATCGATAGGACTGTGACACGTTAATTTTATTGCTATTTAATTTAATTTACAATATTATACTCATTGTACGGGCGCTCGCTTTTAATTCAATATAGTCAATTTAATATAGCAACTTGATCCAGCAATTCTCATCGGTGAAGGAAGCATCGTGAGGAAACCTGCATATCTTCGAAATAATATAAAAAAGAAATGTTTCGAAGATATGTGAAGTCCGCCCGCCACTCCGCAGTGGGGTCGTGTGGTGGACTATACCCTTATACCGTCTCTATAGAAGAGGCTTTTGCCCAGCAGTGGGACATGTATAGGCTGTTACTTTACTTTACTTTTATACATTTAACTTGGCCAACTATAATTAAGTGAAGCTTAAAATATTGAAACAAAATTCTTTTTGAATTAATAATGAAATATTCTCGAATCGAAAATTTTCTCGCATTTAAATCACTATAGGTTTCACCTAGTGTATGAGAAAACACACGCCATAACCAAGAGCTCATTAAAAATCAGAATAGACAGGTAGCAATACATATTTTTGCCATCTGGCAATTCAATATAATCACTGGCTGACCTTCTCATTTTTCTCCCTTTCCATATTTACGTAGATTAATGTGCGGCTCGGAATTAAATTTATAAGCTTTGTTTGCCACAACTCTTTAAAACCAGTTTCATTAAACAAGTGCACGGAATGCATCGTGAAAAAGACATCGCTTGAAATAAACACGCAAGCAGTGGACAACTCCTTAAGAGATTTTTTTTGAGAAATATCAGATATTTTAGATCAAATAGTTTGATTCCAACACTTTTACGTTTACTTAATTCATTATTCAATTAATGAATTTTAAATATATTAGTAAAGTTGAAGACTTATTCTAATATTTGCAAAGTTTAATATACTTAATATAAAAAAATTACATATATATATTCTTACTTCAAGTATTTTTTATTTAACGTTTCAAAGTTTCTGATTCTGATGACAAATATTAAATAATGTTGTTAAATATTAATCCTTCTTGCATCTTCATGCAATATAGTAACCACTACGGGTTGTATTTTATTATATTTTGTGGGGGAAGGCGTTGGGCAAGTAAGTCCCGACGAACTGGAAAAATCTATTGTAGTCTTCCTTTCGAAAATATTGCCCCCTTACTTTAGGATAATATTATCCTGTGTTGTAAGGACGTTTTACATACATAAATTTCACGTGTATTTCACCCAGATCCGAAACAATTGTTTGTGGGTCACACAAATAGTTGTCTCGTGAGGAACTCGAACCCACTATTAAGGCCTCCTTGATACCACTGCCCGGTTCATCAATGAAAACATGTTAGATTTTGTGAACTGCAGTTATTTTTGTTTTTTTTTTCAGCACTTAAAAAAATAATGAACTGTATCATAAAATCGACATGACGTTAATGTAAGAAAAGTTTTGACTCAGAAAATACTTTGAGAAGTACTTTACCCGCTCAGAAACCTTTTTTCATGTTTGCACTAATCAATAACGTCATTTTGATAGAAACGCGGCTTACAGTTAAGTTTTAATGAGTATCCTTATAAGGATTATAAAACAATACAACAAGGAAAACTGTTAAAAGGTTAATACTAAGTTTATGTGCAACCTTAAAAAAGTTTTTTTATATTCAACGTCACTTCAAGTTCAGTTACGACGACATCATTAATAATCGGCGAACACTAGCGAACATTTATTTTTTATTATTTCATAATAATGCGCATTGACTATTAACAAAATTGGATATTAAAAAAAATCGTTCTCTAACCTTCGTAGGCAACATTCGGCATAATGGCGCCGGAATCAGCGTTGCTGTTCGCAATCCTGAGCCCCGTTAGCGCTTACTACAAGGCGAGCGGCGACGGCGCGGTTTCGATATACGCGGACCCCAACGTGGTTCGCGCTTTCCCTGGCGGCGTGGGCAATCGGAAAGTCGGCTCCAACTACGGCCCAACGATCGGTAAGGTCCCGAATCGTCGCTTCTCAATATTGGCCGAATAATACGTCCCGAGTCTGAAACTAAGCTCACCTTTGTACATGTCTTTTGTCAATTGTTCCAACTGTACATTTTATATTGTGTGTATAATAAAGAAATCAATAAAACAAACAAACAACTCACAAAAATCTTGACTGCATTATACGATAACTGAAAATTAACAATTTTCATGTTCCTCCTCCCAATCGTAATGAGCAAGTACCTAATATATAGATCGTACCTAATAGATAGATCGAAGTAAAATTTTATTGTTAAACCTAATTCTGTTCACATTGTTAAGCGCAAAAGGCCACTTCATGGAATTGATTTTGTTCTATGTCATCTATGTCATCTCAACTACGTATATTATAACGCATTCAACGAAATTCCGAAAGTGTTGATGACCAAGTTCTCTTCTGTCACCTCGATCCTTTGGCCATGGGAAGACATAAATTTTTTAAAGTTTTTTATAGTGCTAATCTCTGCACTTAAGATTGAACATTAAACATGTAGAAAAAGTACGAAAAGATTGTCGCCGCTGTGGGAATCGAACCCATGTCTTCGGCATTCGCGGCCTGGCGCTCTAGCCACTGAGCTAAACGGCTGATAGCCACAGCGACGAAAATCTTAACGCCTTCTTTCTACATTGTTATTTAGCATTTGAAGAAATGCTTGGCGCATCTATTGTTATATCCTTTAATCATGGGAAGACATGTCATTTCTCTTTGCATTTTTATCGATGTGTTTACTATGGGGTGTGCTTAGGGAACTGTTCGGATAATACCCGCTGTACAACGATCAACCATCATATAACAATGTTACCACCATCATAACTGTCCGTCCATTGACGGCGATTGAAAACGCACGGGCGTTTTCAAGAGGTTTTCTACTATGTACGATTACTTTTTGGACTATATTTTTTTTATTTTCTACTACTTCCATAAAGAAACAGTACCTTAAACGTACTTTTGATGAGCGGTTGTGCGATATCAAAATATGTGATATAACCATAACTGACAATTTTTTGTATGCATCGATTTTGATTCTTCGATTTTGATTTTTTTACTAAGAAAGGGCGTTTATTATTTGTCATACATTTCCACTGTTTACCTTGACCCGCTCCTGGCAAATAATTTTTTTTACAACCCAATGACTGATGAGGTAACAAAGTGATCCCATAAGGATTCTGCTTTTACAGATTGAGATATGGAACCGCTGGCAGACTCTTTATACAATAGTTGTTTGCCGTCCGTCCACTGACTTATCTGGTTTTAAATTAACAGGATAACATCAACTTGTTTTGCGTGGCGACAACAAGTTTCAAACTTTCAAGTTTTTTCTGATTTTTCAAACCGGGTGTACCTTAAGTGAAACCTGTTGTTATATATACGGTTTTAGTTTTGAACTTTTCCATATGAGAAAAGGTTCGCATCATATCACATTGTATCATATCATTATATTGCTAGCCTACTCTTTTTTGATTCTATGCTCTGACAATCGTTTGTCTAACCGTAAAACTTATATAGGTACCAACCATGCATCGTAATCATAATATTGAAGCTCATCATAAAGTCTGTATACATTCATATTCTTAGAAGTAAGATCTTTTCTACTTCATTAAAATAATACTCCCCTTGCAGACGCGACCGCCCGAGCAGTGAGTATGGGCCACCACCAAGTATTATGGTTATTCGGGCCAAATCACGAGCTCACAGAAGTTGGCGCGATGAATATTTTTATGGTGTACATAAACGAACATGGAGGTAATTTAACTGTTATTACTTCGCTTTCAATTTCTGTATTAAAGACTAGTAAAACTGATAACGGAATAGACCTATTTTACCGCAATTGACTTTTTCAACGATTAATAGGTCAAGATTTAAATTGTCAGTTTTAACAGAATTATAAAACCAAAAACAGTTTTACTTAATAAAGTGCTGTATTCGCGTAAATTTAATAAATTATGTAAAGGGTTTAAACGTAAGACTCACGACGTTCTTTTATGTGACAGTCCAGCGACGTCTAGATGCATATACGATACACTTTTTCCGATTGATCTATCTTTATCACTCAACTTGTACGTGATATTGCTAAGGCCCGCGCTAGCTGTCGTGCGGTTCTTGGCGGTAAAATGTTAATTAACATAAACTGGATATTTGTACCGATACATCGAAGTAAGCAAGCGGTATTGTAGCGTTATCGCGCCGGGAGCTCTGACCCTGTGACCGGTAAATTCTCGTCTCACGTTATGAAGCAACAATCGCGGTCAGTAACATCATGATTTTTCTAGACCCTTTTACTCTAAACACCGCTTTGACGTACAATGGGATCTTAGCGATCATAACATCGTTTGATGTGTAGATTTTGATACGTCAGATTTCTGTTTCGAGTTTGTGTTCGATTTCATCGTTGCGCCAAAAGAGGTGTGTCCGTTCGCGTTATATCAGCCGATGCAAGCGAAACTTGTTTAGTTCGTTTACCTTGCTTATGAGTTGTGACGTACCTGCTCGCAACACGCACCCACCTTGTTATGATGAAATATGTAAATGAAATTTCTTGTCAAGATGCTGTTTGCCGCGCACACTAATACTATCAATCCACAGAGAAAATATATATATATTTACTTTAACAAACTTACAATTACGACAACACAAAAATATATTGTAACTTTAACAAAAACTTACAACTTAAAATTATATTGTAACTTCGTAGAATGCTCAAGTGATGTTTATTACACACATTGTAAATCGTTTATAAAGCCAAACTCCACAAATATGTGCGCAAATTCTTTATGATCGATAACCCGAGTTTGAAAAGAGAAAAATGTTTTCGTTAGATACCTAAACTAAACGTTAGCTTCATATTACTGTTCTTAATGACATTCATTGACGTCATTAAATATTTTTTCCGTTTCGATATATTTTCAGTTTGTTTAATTTTTATTCTGACAAACTCAAGTATGTATGCGCCATAAGTGCGGTAGATTTGCGTATTTCTTGAAGAAAATTATTAAAATATACAAGATTTTTTTGAGATGTTCATTGGTTTCGTTACCATAGTGTCAGTAAAGTTAGGCATAAAACACCCAAGCATAAAATATTAAGAATTGAAAATTTTACAGACAAACAACTGAGTACGCCGCCATTAAACGGGCTAATATTGCCCGGTGTAACTCGGCAATCTATTATCGAACTAGCCAGTCAATGGGAAGATCTAACCGTGAAGGAGGAGGTGATCACCATGGACCGAGTAATAGAGCTGAACAAATCAGGACGGGTAAGATGGAATTTTTTTTAATTTAGTAAATTTAGTATAGTACAGCTTTCGTGCTAGGATACTTTCAAAGAATAATTCACTGTGTACATAATGACACTGTTTCGTCATATAGCAAACAGCATGTAAGTTTAAATTCTTCATAAATAAAAAAAAGAGCATGGATCTAGTAAAATTAATCACCTGATAATTTAAATTAAATTGGTATGCTATTTTGGCTCAACGATGCATTTGAATTGAAACTATATTTATTATTTTAAAAGTCGTCTTTTATCTGTAAGAATTAAAATGTAGATATTTTATTTCTGATTATTTTCGTTGCATCAATTAGCCTATATAATAATTTAAGTTAAGAACAGAACCAACAAATCATCAATAATTAATCAAGGGCCAATTTGTGTTGTTGTTTTTTTCAAACGTAAGCTACGTTACACGTAAATACCCAACAACAAACGGAAGGATTATTCCAACAGGCGATAAGATAGCCAACGTTGTCTCTTTTAATGCGTTTTAATTGTTATGCCCCCAAATGAGGCATTGAGTTTGTTTTTGGGATTACGCGATTACACGATAGACTATTCAATAAAGATAAACGCAATAAATATGACTAATGTAAAATGTTCAAGATAGTTTTATCGCAAAAAAATATTAAGTACAAATATATAACTCCTGCAGACCTCCCCGAGTGTTTGTCTGCCTTAATTTATACAGACCTTAACGGGCTGTATCCACAGTGTATTAATATTTATAATGATTGAATCAGCTTGTTCTAGTACGGTTACATTTTATCATAAGGCGTAGCAAAAAAAATTCAATAACTGCCAATGTTGAAAAAAACAGCAATCGCAACGGACCTATCTCAAGCAATTAGGGCAATACCGTTATATTTAGAAGTTTTGAAACAAATTTATCCTTATACGAATTGACATAAAGATTTATGAGAGCGATTTACTTTTTTCTTATCTGACCATGTCAAGTTGTTCTCGGACATAAAGCACCGATTGTAATAATAAAAATCTGGAATTACTTAACTTGTGACGTACAACCTTCACCAACGCCATGTTAGGATTCAATTCTCCAAAGGCGGCAAAAAGAATTGACTAGATATTTAAAATTAATTTAATTTACGGTGGTAAGGCCACGCAGCAGCCTCGGCTGTTGCACGAATGGGCAGGCCCATCCGGGTAAGTACCACGACCTCACACAAGACCAGCATAAAGTGGAAGTATGACAAATACTTTCGCGTTTCGTCTGGTGAGTGAGGTAGCCGGAGCCCAATTTTCAAAAGGTTGTCAACGCATCCGTAACCCTCGGGTGTAGCAGATGTCCATGGGCGGCAGTACTCACTTACCATGAGTTGAACCTTCTGCTCGTTTGGCAACTTTTCACATTAAAAAAAAACTCGATTGCTGCACTATTTTCAATGACACAATTTGTATTAATCGTACGTTTCCATGAGGTCATTTATTATTCACTAGCCGTTCCACGCGATATCATCCGCGAGAAAAGTTTCTGCGTCGCCCCCGTAGATCTTATCCGTACTGTATAAACTTTCTCAAGTATTGGGCTACCAAATGCAAGAAGCTTTTTTCAAGTCCTACTGGTAATTCCAGAGATTGTCGCGTTCAAAGAAAACCAAACAAACTCTTCACCTTTATTAAATTAGTATAGATATAGGATCTGTGCTAATAAAGGTTTTACGATTTATACCTATACGTTTATGTAAGCTGACGTTTTACATGGTCTATTCTAGATCCGGAAGCATAATTTGTAAATTACACAAAACAATATATGATACATATATCCTGATTCATGGATTAGGAGCGGGAATAGATTACAGCGCCCATACCCGCGTCATTTTGAAACAATCGATCGTAACATATAAACACCATAAGTATTCTGATATTTGTCAAACATTTTATTATATAAAGCGGCTTATTTCCTTACGAACGAGTATCTTGAATATGAAGGCAATAAGTCTTAGATGATTTAGGAATGAGACGCTCATGCGACATAATATCAACTTCAATTTATATTTACATCAAACTTGTATTCCAAAGAGATGAATGGTGGTTTAAGTAAAATCAGGAAGAATAATCGTCTCCTCTCTTAGTTATAGGAATGTCTCAAAAAATCCGCTGCATCATTGTAATACTTAAATTGCGGGTTAATTGTTATCATTCATAAGATTAATACGATTCAATTTTCTCCCTAAGTCCATATAACTGTTTTCGAATATTTCTTCATCGAAATAAATAAGCATATTATAATGAAAATGTGCTCAGTTATTGCGTAAGCGCTCTTCATGCTACTGCATTCCGCATCGAGGCACAAAATTATCGGTCATTATGATTACAGCTGCTCGAGATGTTTGGCTCGGGAACCGCGGTGATCATCAGCCCCATAAGCAGAGTCAGCTTCGTCGACAAGGACATACACATTCCGACGATGAAGCAGCCCCAGCCAGTGTTCCAAAGGATCAAGGACACGCTCTTGGCGATCCAGTACGGCCACATAGAGCACCCGTATGCAGTCGTCATCTCATAGTGCAACGTCGCGTGTTTACAAAAGTGAACTTAATTCAAAACAATACAGATGTGTGATCTCGGACGCTTCGACGACCCTTCGTCGGAACTCTATCAGAGTGCGTGATTCGTTTGAAGACACGAAGGCTTAATAATAAGGGAGTATGTAAATTTTAAGGTGTTCCTGAGTAATTTTATGAGATATGTTACTTAATAATTGTAAGGTAATAAAGATAATATAGATATAAAAATTCTCGGATATAATCCTTGGTTAAACTAAATGAATATCGTAATGTATTTAAATCGATAAGATATTTATGTCGAAGTTGGTTAATAACGAGCTGATGTTGAAAACGTGAGGGTCAGGGATTTTTATTTCGCTTTCCATGTGTTGTGTATGCGGTGATGAGAATTTTTGTTATGATCTTTTAGAGTTTATGTTGTACAAGGCCAGTTTAGCTGGCTGTGCTTTAGTGGTTAATGAAAACTGTTCCTTGTAAGATATTCATTTAGAGGTAAGGGCTAAACAAACTTTTATTTATAGTTTATTGTTATCAAACAAGTCGCAAGTATTAAACTACCGTCGCAAACAAACTGTATTTTCTTAGAATTGACATTAAATTAATATTTGCAAATTAAACACACCTCTTATCAATACACCGTAAGAATTGAAATAAGTGAATGTTACGTTGTTATTGCCGGGGTTGAAGAGCGTCTATTTAATTAGACACTTAAATATAATTATAGTTACGTAATGTTTGCTCTCGATGACATGAAAATTCACAGTTTTATCTCTCCTAGATAAAATATATTTTTACGTGAAACGTAAACTTAACTACCTACGCCTTAATTCTCTATTTGTGAATATCATATGATAATTATAGGTTTACTTTTAAATTATAAGGTATTTTCTCTAGTCTAAGAATCTGTGTAAGTTTTTTAATATTTATAAAATATATGTCATAAAAACATGTTTATGTTCTTTTTACTCAAAACTTCTGAATTCGTAAAATCAATTGTGAATATTTCATAATTATATAATATTTTTCTAACACTCAAACCTTTTTAACAGTCTACCATTAATAATAGCATAACATATAAGGCATACCTTGGGTGCGAGATCAAAGCATTTTTTATGAAACAAACGATGATTACATTATTATATGGCTTTAATTAAAAAATAGCTGAAAACCTGCTTTCATAAACACTTATTTTACCACTGCATCTACATCCAAAATTCTTAAGTCACCGAGTCTCAGACAAACTTTCAAACATGATTTTTCATCATCCTTTAAAAAGAAAATACCTGGTAATTATTGGAGATCGTCACAGCTTTGGATTATAAATGAAAGGAGTGTATAGATAGAACATAAATACGATGTTGCCATATTAAATATGGTGATAATATTTCATTTCACCGAAAGAGTGATACCTACATAAAGAAATTCTTATAGCGTTTTGTAGTACATATTCAATATAATAATGTTTGTGATTGAATACTTTTGAGACTTTTATTAAAATAAACTAACACATGTTTGTTAACATATAATCTGTGTATTATAAAGTAACGCACTATTCGGGTGGTAGAGGCAGGTCTTCGTCCAAATCCTCCGTCTTCTTCTTGCTCGATCTGCGATTTTCCTGGCGGCCTGGCGGCTGGAAGCCTTCCTGGCTAAAACCATCGCCGATGTACCTGGGAGTTAATTGCGCGGTAAGCTACATTCGCGTCGATGTAAAGAACATAATGTATGCGTGGAGGGAAATGGACAAATGAATGAAATGAGTTGAATATTCAATCGATTGACCCAATGACGTCGCACCCGACCTTGCCTGCTTTTTAACGATATATTGACGTCTGGTGCGATCAACTTTGTGACATATAATTCTATACGTGTTGACAACCCACAATTTTCCCCGACTGTTACAAAATTAAGAAAGAATTGGCATACAGAAACATTGTATTATCCGGAACTAAGGGGTTTCATTGTATAAATGTTACTGAACTGCTGTGGAACTATAGTCTCGAAAACCGGGTACATTCGCGAACTCTCCGGAATCACGAACATGTTCGTGCGTGTCGTGTACGTTCCAGGAATGATCTTTCTGGATTAGTCCGGAACCGGTCTTGGCCCATATAAAAAGCCGCAGGGAGGCGAGCGATGACAGTTCAGTTTGAGCTACCTTCGAGGCGACTTCGGAGTGAAAACTAGTGATCAAGAGCGATACCAGTGAAACCTACGACTTGGCTACAATCTAGGACATCGTTAGTGCTTAGTGATTGGACCTAGTGCTTTGTGTTGGACCTAGCGCTAGTAAATAAAGTCTTCAAAAGAGTCAGCAGGTCTTTCTCTCCAAATCCTTCGAACCCCGAAACACGTAACAATATGTATTTCGCTTTTTTAAATAAGCAATTGGTATTAAATTATTTAGCTGGTAATGAATTTATTTGCAATTTAGAATCGGATTAACGGTTAATAAATACCCAACAAGAAAGCATGATGATAAACATTCATAGTAAAAACATTTATTATAAAAAACTAGCGCAAACGAACAATATTTCAATTGATAAATATTGCATTATGTCGCGTCATTATTCAAACTAATGTAATGGTCATGTTGAGCATTGTTAGGCTGAGCTCTTAAAATTGTACCTCGGACTTATCTTTCTTTGACGTTCATAAATATCACATGAAAAATCCACAGTTCGCTTATAATAGGTGATGACCGCTCCCATAATCCCCAACACCTGCGAGATTATAATGTAATTGAATAAGTGAACTTAAATGGTGTCTATCTTACGTATTTGTCTGTCCGGGTGCACTGTCCCCGCGTCCATTGCTCGATTGTCGTGACACTGCTGCACGGGACCCGCCTGAGAATATAAGTCTAACTGTTGTATTACATACAGATAGATATGGCACTAGCGCATCTTTCGCATAGACAGTAAAATTACGCCAATTGGTGTAATTAGATTTCAATTCTATAGACTGCTGTCTCTTTCAGTATCATACGTTCTCTATCATCTGTCACATTCACTTATATGTCATTTAATGTAAAGCGGGCACATTTTAAACGCTGGATATGCGTCATCTACACACAGGAGTCTAATAATCAACATTGGAAAAAGTCGTAACAGATTTATACCCTGAAATCGTGTAGATATACAGATATATATGAAGTGTTATCTTGAAGCCATGTCGTAAAGCAGTGTAATGTTATATAATTTATTTACATGATAAAATAAATAATTATCGTATAATGCATTGTTAGTTATACCGGTTATTGTTATCCTATTTCTTCGCAAATATGTTTTGTCTTGAAAACGATTCCCTCAATATACATAATACTTGTTTTCATCGGCAGACTACCTTTCGTTAGCTATTTAATAAAAGAACCACATTTGAAGGTTAAGTAAATTGTGATAAAGTAAAAACACGTAATGACATTTTGGCTGACAAGTCATTTCTCGATTCCGATAATCTTATATGTATATAAAATTCTCGTGTCACGGTGTTTGTTATTGAACACCTCCGAAACGGCTCGACCGATTTTCGTCAAATTTTGTGTGCATATCGGCCAAGGTGGAGAATCGGACATCTATTTTTCATCCCCCTAAATGTTAAGGGTGGTCCACCCCTAAATTTTTTTACTATTTTTTATATAAAATTTTTTGTTTTTATTTTTTTATGATACAGCATACAAAAATACATACAACCCTAAATTTTCACTACTCTACGCAGACGTAGTCGCGGGCAGCAGCTAGTTATATTATAGTTGCAGGATCGAATCTCGGTGCCCTGGCATCAAACATATTTTATTACGTGGTAGTCTCATATAAGTCTGATATTTATAGTAAATCTACAATATGTTATTTATCGTCACGAATCATTAACGTCACGAAATCCCAAAGAAATTATGAACATTGTTAAAAGTTAACAAGATTAAAATAAAATAATTAAAGTTTTTAGTAACAAATGGAAGTGATTATGACGTTTTTATCTTTTAGAAATACCTGTGACCTTGAAATTTTACGAGCAACAATAAATTCAACAGATTGCAATGCAATAAAGAGATATAAGAGGAAATTAGTAGGTACTTTTATAAGAAAAAACGTACAATAATAAAAATAAACAGGATATGAAATCAATTTATAAATGTCATGATTTTATTCAAAGCTTTAGTTCAGCTAGCATGCATTCGAGCTGTATATACAAAATACAATCACTTTTTCATACTTGCTTACATTCTGATTTGATTTCTGACATGATTTTATGGAATAATACATACATATAACATAAATATGGTATACATATAAATACGGTACTTTTTAGATAAAGCTAGTTTTAAAGGTAAATTTAAATATTTTAAAGATTAAACAAAACTTAGAACGTAATAAATGAAGTAGGTAATAACTGAATATAAATGAAAATACAATATATTAATATGCATTCATGGAGCCCAGGACGAAAACCGTTCCTCTCCACAGCAAGCCGATTACAAACATCTAATTTTAAAAGAGTCCTAATTCCTCTGCTTTTTTTTGTTATACTTTTTATAATATTGTGACGAAAAAAGTAAAAGAATCGTTCAATTTGATGTACGGGAGAGGCTTTTATTTAGCCGTAAAGATTGATATTGCAAGTTATCACGCTCTGATCTTAAAGCTAATTTAAATCTCGCTTCCTAATTGAAAGAGACATAGTGACAAGGGAGCGGCCATTTGTACTAATGTTAAGTGCTACCCACCACCTGTGGATATAGAGGGAGGTTTTTCTATGGGTATCCATTTTTTTATTAAATTCTAGACATATATAATGTTATATAAAAAATGATAAATATTTTAAATCACTTGTAATTAATTAATTACATTCATTTGAACTTATCTCAAAAAGTGCGTGATTTATAGGCAACTCGTTTATTTTACGCGCGATCATTCAAACTAACACGCACACAAGTTCGTTTCAAAAGTATACGACGCCGTGCCGACACGGGTCGTCTCTGATTATCGCGAACGCTTAGTTTTGTTTGTGTGCGTGCACAGTAAAATTTAAGTATTTATGAATGTATAACCAATGCGGTATTCATCCATAAATACCTAAATTTTAAGTCAACAAGTTTTTTAGGGAATAGAATGGCAATTTTTTGAAAAAAAAAGTTTGTTTTTATTTTATATATATATATATATATTACCGAGTCTGAACCTTCTGTGTGAATTTGGGCACCTTTAAAAAACCCACACTGTATATGTTCTAATACCTGTTGGGTATCAGACTAAACTTTTTAAAACTTTGCCAAACTTGATAAAAGTAGATCCTAATTAGATCCCAGACACCAGAAGAAACGCAGGAGAATGAAACTAACACCGGTCTACCTCAGTAGGACCTCCTCGGGAAGGGCCCTCCCCTTGTCCTCAGGCAAGGCGAGCTGAAAGCCAAGAAAGGCAATGCCAGTGCAGGCAAACGGCAAGCTTCTCGGCCTTCTTTGACAGACTTGGTCTGTGGCTCAAGCGTTTACCACGTTTCGGTCGTGAGGACTAGAAGAACAGCCCATAATAATACCAACACTCCTCGACCCCGCGCCACACTGCTACTTATTCAGAGGCGCGGCCCAGCCGAGTCGCGGATGATAGGAGGAGTAGCCAAACACAAAACAAACTCTTTGGTTTGTAGTTTTTGCCACGACTCCACCTCAGTTGCAGGGGCGCCAGGCAGAGCGGTGTCACGCTATCAGTAGGCTCAATGAATCCACTTAGAGCGATCGTCTCGCGACGGGTATTCCTGACCAGCGTCGGTTCCTCTTGGCCATGCCTACGGGGACTTAGCCACGGCTACTAAGCCCTTCCACCGCAACAAGGAGGGTAGGCGTTAAAGAGGGTCTCCGTATATTCGCCCACCGGCAGAAGCCTTTGCATGGCCCTACCACAGTAAAAAGATGATCCTTCATGTAAGTTAGAAAAGATGCTTAATTCGAAATTTAAATTGTTTTATTGTGCTAATCTTTGCACTTAAGATTGAACATTAAAATATGTAGAAAAAGTGCGAAAAGAATTATTTAAGATACTATAAAATGTCAAAAAATAATTTACTATATGCAACTTTACAGAAATTGGTTAAATAAAGTTAAATTAGATAAAGTTTAATAAAAGGCTTTTATTATCATAGACATAAATACAAATTCTACAATTATTTCATTTTAGCTTTGTATAATATTTAGTTTCTTATTTGTAATACATAGGTGGCGTTAGTAGTAAATTAAAACACACTATGGTTTGACCGTTGTAATTAGTATGAGGGTCCGCAAAAACTGTTGATTAAAAAACTTGCAACGTGAACCTTGTATATTTCAATAAACCTCACGGACCCAAAATACAACCGCTTTCAATTTGTACATGGTCCTTCGTTGCCGAATACTCAGCCAGTGAGTAGAAGGCAGATATTCGACTCGCGCGCGAGTGTTGTGAGTGAAGTTTTTTTGGAAAACCGAACTTGCGGACGTTGGATCGACGTCGCAACCGCAAGTTCCAGGAGCCGATCGAGGCTTCGAAGAGCATCATCGGTCAGCTTCATATTGTGTCTTCGGTGGAAGGCGCAGTCAGGTCACGGTGGGCGGTGCCTGCCTTTGGAGAAGAGGAAGTCTCTACAGTGTCGTGCTCTGAAGTATTAGAGCTAGCACTGTCATTACTACAAATATTATTATTGAATTTCATTAATTGTAATAGAATTATTACTATCATTGATGTCGTTATTATATATTTGTGTTATTTATGGCTTATGGTAACTGAAATACCACAAATAGAAGTATACAATACTCACTAATAGAAGCATATTAAATTTTAGTTTTGATAAAGGTTTAACAAAAATGTTAATTTACATTCAATCGGACCATAAAAAATTAAACTTTAGAAATATAAACTTACTGTTTATCTCTTATCGACCCTAAAGCATTTCAAGCGAGCTACGATAAATGTTTATCTGCGTTTTGTCAGCCCTGTTCCGTCACGAAACATGCGATGGGTCATTTCGGACGGACAAAGTATAATCACTGATGTAATAATTTCTGGGTCACCATTTCGGTTCGTACCGGTTAGGGTTATCTCGGGTCTCGGTGTTAAGCATGGTTTGATTATTTCTGGTCCGGGATTGTGCAAGGGTTGCTTCTTTTAAACAGTGATACATGCACTTGAGCGGAGAAATGCATAGTCCACCCATGGACACCTTTTGTTATCATGGGGGAAATACCATATACCAAGAACATACTAGGTCGCATTCGCACTGACTAAAACCTCCACGATGTTCCACCTTGGGCGGCACATATCGGCAAAGCAACCAGGGGCGGACTTCGCTGCTCACCCCATTTCGGCCACGGAGGATAGAGATAACGGCGTATCGCAATACCGACACTCCTCTCCCCCCGCGGTCACACCACTACTGCATCAGCGGTACGGTCCCACTGATTCACGGATAGCTCCCTGCGGCCTCTCACAAGCAGCCCCACCGAGTCGCGGAAAATAGTGAGAGTGGCCAATTACAGTACCACCACTGCTCTCCCCCGCGGCCCCAACAACTACATCGGCGGTGCAGCCCCACCGAGTTGCGGTGCACCAGCATGTTTTTCTTTAGGCTTCACCGTGGACGACCAAGCCACTCTTTGTCACGACAAGGCGGGAACCCGCTCGGAGGGGGTGTGGAAACATCTGACGTGTTGCAGACGCGTTACCAACAAACAAAAAGTAGGCCCCGGTCATCTCACTCACCAGACGAAACGTGAAATTAGTACTTCCACTTGGCGCCGGTCTTCTGTGAGGCCATAGTACTTACCCGGACGAGCCTGTCGTTTCGTCAAACTGCAGTATCTGCTGTGTGCCCATAGCACAGCTACGTTTAAAACCAACACTTGTTTACATTACATTAAGAAATTAAAAGTTATTTACCTATAGTTTTAGATAAGCCTTTACCTAAATTACTCCCTTATTAAGTAGTAAAGAACATAGTTTTATATGTACACTGTCATAAATGGAAGAGGTACGGACGTCCAAAATTAATTCAATAGAACGTAAGTCTTACGCGAATATAGAAGAAAAAAATAATGATGAAGAAAGAATCTACACAGACTATAAAATTAATAAATTGAGGTGAACAGTAAAAGCAAGCGCGTATCGGAACGAGCACCTATTGAAATTTACTTTGACTCCGATAAGGTTGACGTGGGAGTCGTACAACTTAAAATGTAAATACGGATAGTGTAATATGAAATAATTACATACCTCTTATTAAGTCTACGGGCGAGTGACTCTTGCCGGACGAACCGCTTCCAGCCGAAGTAGCGGCGACTGCTGAAAGTGTCAAAGTGGCTTCGCTTATACAGATAGTAAGAAATGGAAGCCTACGAAATAATGTTAACTAAGCAGTAATTTTAAAGTCACCAGGAAAGGCTAGCAGCCTTGTTTATAATTGTGAGTGAAAACATCAACTATTTTACAGAAATCATAATATTTTTAAAATTTGTTTACTTAAAATAAATTTTCTATGCTGATGTGGAACAACTTTTCGCTATTAGATCAAATATGTTTAGAGGGAGCCGACCTCGCTCTTGCTGCTTAAGTCGGGCCTGGACCCTCTGCAGCTCCCTTGACCAAGTTGTCGTCTCTTGAAGACCTTGGTCTCCGCATAGCTTGACAATTAATTTTAAACCTATAAAAGAATAGTATAGTTTGTTAGTTGGTTTTGATTTTTTTCTTGTCTCTTAAACTCTACTTATTAGAAAAGTTTTATTTAAAACTAAATAAAAAGAAACCCAATTTTAAACTAAATAACTTTAGAAAGTTTTTATTCAGCGGTGTTTTCATTTAATATTATTAGTAAATATTGGCGGCAGAAGCAAAAGAACTGTTAAGACGGTGATTACTCCACAATTCCTAGTCTATTGTGAGATTGTGGTACTTCCCCGGACGAGTCTGTTTTTTATATTATAAAGGAAATGCTTATACATATCCACCCTTGTGCGGGCAAAGATGGTTTATGTCTGCCTCGCAACAACTTAAAACTCCAAGACCGTTCAAATAGGTCGCTTATTGGTGTGTGGTGACTGCGGAAAGTCTTTAAGCCCGGTAATAACTGTAAAAGTATGTTTACAAATATATTTTAATTATTTCAGAACGCTTACATTCAACATTTTCAGGAAATCTGGCATTGAGCTTCTTATAGAGCGCGAGAGCATCTTGATATCGTCCAGTGGAGCGTAGACACCCGCCTATCAGCAGACCCCATTGCGGCTAAACGAATATTCAAATTCATATTCACATTGTTTGTTTGCAATTCCAAAATTTTGCGTAGGTAGTAAAACTTAAAATTAAACGATTGAATTAAATGGATCATGGTCCACTGGTGAATAAAGACCTTCTCAACAGCATTGATCGACTACCCTTTATTTTTATTTTTTTTAACAAAGTAACTCTACAGACTCGTGGTCCGTACTCTTTTTTGATTAACATGGTTTTTTTTTTTGTAAATTTTCTTTTTGGACTGTCACCGCCGCGTACATCAACCGGGGCTATATCCTTTATTTATCGACTACCATTTATTTGAACAGATCGTCACACCACCATTGCGAACTCTATCACCCAAATACCGAGCATAGCCCGCTCCATAGCTCGCTGAAAAACTTTAAGCAGTTTCTCAGGTCATTACTGGCAATACACATTGTTTGAGGACTTCAGTCTATAAACATTGAGGGATATTCGACGTTAAAATATGCCGAAGTGCAAAAAGCTGCAACATCTGAGTTCGATTCCCCGATTGACATCTGAGGCTAACTTAGACTTACCTAACCGGACTAACTGAACTGTAACTCCTAGGTGTCATACACGTCAACAACTTCGAGCAAAGTGCTGCCAACAAGAACGGATGTAAGTGTGACATGAACATTAGACATAGAACATGTTTGGGTATAGCATGTCATTTATATTTCCTTAACTTTATTTGGAATTTTATTATATACTTTTACGCACATTGCTAAAAGTCCTGAGCGAAATATAACCAACGTAGTAAGGCCACAGCCAAGAGGCCACTTACTGTACCATAATTTTGACCAAAGTGGGCGTATGCATATTAATTGTTGTTATACATATTCCGTTATGATTTATTCAAGAAACGGAGCAATATGTTATTGTTTGATATAAATTGCTTTATCATTATCATTATATCTATATTTTATTTTTTTTACATTATATTTATTTATATTATACTTAATTCTGAAGAAGTCCATCACTGAACACAGACTTCCTATCTCTAAGATCACCATGTTTGGGAAACCTGTCCAACAGGAAACCTGTTGGACAGGTTATAGGGCACGTAACCTACGTTACCAGAGTAATGTTGTGAATCGACGTCTAGTCTATGCATAAAAAATTACTGGCTACAATAATTAATTTTGCAAATTATGTAGGTACATAAGCTGATACGTAACTCTCCTTTTTTCAACCGACTCCAAAAAAGGAGGAGGTTTTCATTTCGTTTCTTTTTATATTTGTTATCTCAGAACTAAGTCATTTAAGAACCTATTTTAAAAATTCCTTTTGCATTGGGTTCGGATTAGCTCCTAGTAGTCTCATATTATTTTCATTGGTACTGGACCTTTGATTTCAGCGACACATCAGGAAACTCATCCAAATCCTACAAATGTACAGAAATTGAGATGTTAGATGCCCAGTTTTTTGTTAACATAAGTGTTGTACTCGAGTGCTGTTTTACTCACATTGGAGGGTTGAAGTCTCGCTGCCCTCCGATAATATTGCAGGGCTTCTTCAGGTGCCGCCTCACTTGCAAGCCACTGCAGGGCCGACAACTCACACGGCCAGATAGCTTCGACCTTCAAACATTTGATGAAATGTGAACATGGATAACGATTGTGACGTCAATAATTTGGTGCTCACTTTAGTAAATGGACAACCAAATTATTCACATCACCCTCTTATTAAAATTTGTAGAAAAAGTACGAAATGATTGTCGCCGCTGTGGGAATCGAATCCACGTCTTCTGCATTCGCGGCCTAACCGACCACACCGACGAATCATCCCCTTAACCAGCACATACCAATATTTTATAAACCTCTGGTAAAAAGTGGGTTCATTGAAGTTGTCTATTAAGCGCACAAGTAACTAGCCTGAATACTTGTGTAAATTAGTTGTCGAAAACTATCATACAGACAAAAAGGAGTGATGCAATCTACCTTTTCGCATTTACGATTTCTACTAGAAACTCACTACGGAATATCAGTAACGTTTTCAAGGAGGCAACCGTTGACATGAAAGTAAAGTCTTCCGCAGCTGCTGCATTTGTATGTTTTTATACGTTTGGATGCTAGTAAAAGAACTTACGTCCTGATAATGATGCTTGGCGGTCTGTGCGTCTCCCATATCATTGTGTAGCTGGGCAAGGGCGCACGTCACTCCAGCATCCCAGCTACCGATCATGCTGTACCTGCACGGCCCACGTGTTATAATCACTTATATACATAGTATAAAACAAAGTCGTCCCGCTGTCTGTCTGTCCCTATGTATGCTTAATTCTTTAAAACTACGCAACGGATCTTGATGCGGTATTTTTTTACTAGATAGAGTGATTCAAGAGAAAGTTTTATATGTATAAAATACATTACACCCGTGCGAAACCGCGGCGGGTCACTAGTACTTAATAAGATTAAAAGCAGAAACAAAAGCACCTTATAAAACAAATTCAAACTCCTATTTCAAACTCCTCTTCTTTCTCCTGCCCTTTTGGCACAATATTTACATGAATAATTTCGTTAATGGTATTGGCTCGGTGAGCTCGGTTGCTAAGCTATTGGCGCCGAAGCCCAAAGCTTAGCAACTGTGTCACCGTATCTAAAATATTTCAAACATTACAAAATAGTCGTTCATAATACATAATTATTTGTTGTTAGAAAGAAATTACATATTTATGAAATGGAGAATTGGAAGTTATGGCAGGTTGCCTTAATGCTATTATTAACTATTTATTAATTTTTGTTATAACACTCTAATAATGTTTTTAACCATGTCCAACCATAATTGAAAATAATTTGTCGTAAGGCGGAACTGTCTGTCGTAAAAAATGATAAAATTAATTGCTTACGATATGCTTAAATGGACATGCATAGATTACGCGGAGAAACGTGTGCATGTGCATTAACATCGCTTTTTCTGTTTACATCTATCACGATTTCAATTTACAAATAGCAAATACCGTCATCGTCATAAGTTAAAACCTGCGTTTAATCTAGTTATCTTAAAATAATTATATATTATTGTATTCTGAAAGGCAATGAATTCCTTCCTAGCGCCACTTATTAGCTAAAATTAATCATTGCAAATGGAGAGCGATAACGACCTACATACCTATATAATAATATTTTACATCACTTATAGAATCGGTTTAAAATAGTTTCGTAATAAATCTAATAAATAATTCGTAATAAATTAGTAAAACTTCAAGATATGTATTTCCTTTCAAGACTGAAAAGTTGATTGTTGGGTACACAGTCTAACTTTAGGTCCAATGTCCCTCAATGTCTGGTCTAGAGGTGTAGACTTAATATCTCCAACGCCTCTGACGCTCAGTGAGATATGAAGCGAACTGTGCTCTGTATTTCTTTGCGTGTTAGAGTTTGAAATGCAGATATCCGCAGTAGGACGAAGGTAACTGTCATAATTCGGAACCGATAGCCCATGGTAAGAAAGGTAGCTCAGGATTGAGCTACGCAGTCTGTGGGCGATGCCAATTTAGTAAGGGGCTAAAACAGACTGTGTGAAATGATGATGATGATGTTACAAGAATTCTAACCGAGACGTTTATACAGTAGTAAATTATGCAGCATCAATCGTACAAGCTTAGGGAATTTATTGTCATACACACATTGTGGGGATTACCTTGACCATACATTATCCTACTTTTAAAAGTGGTTGGATTACAAAGTCATGGTGATTAGCAAGAAGCTAATTCGCAACACTAAAGGAAGGAGCGAGCCAGTCGCATGCTTAACGCCCAAACAAGCCTACTCCTGTCTTTTTCTTGTAGAATCTGGACTGGTCTGACGCTATTTGGTACTGGGGCCATTACCAGTGGTCGGCGGCGGAAGGGTCTGAGGAGGAAGTTTGGGCTAGCCGTGCAAGGCCCGCGGCAGCCAGCGAGCGGAGTGTCCCAGCGCCCCCCGCCCCCGCGGCCCCCGTAGCCGCGCGCACCCGCTGCCAGCGAGCCTCCGCCCCCTCCGCTTCACCGCTCATCTCCATGCACAGAGCTGCGTTTGCGCGAACCAATGAGACCACAGAATCGTAGTCACTACACATCAGGAGGACACTTGCTTCAAAATCATCGGTTTCTTAGCACTTATTTTTAACGGTTTTGAAGTAGTTTTTATTTTGTCGAGAACCTTTTTTTTGGGGCATTACTTGTATTACATTTTAATGTAAACTCTTAAGGCGAACAACAAAAGAGCGGAGAGTCCGGTTGCGTCCGCCTTTCCCTGTGATGAATAGTGATTGCCACCGACGCCTGCGAATTAAAACTTATACATAAATGCAATATTTAAAATAAATATGTAACATTGCGTACATAACCGAAAGTAAGCTCTTTTTTTATCCTAATTGGAAAGACAGATATTTCATATACATTTTAAACTCATAACAAGTTATTTTTTAATTTAAAGAAGCAATAATAATGATTAAAAACTCATTAATTCATCATCGACATATTTTTCTGTTCTGTTCTGAATTAGTTCGATTTTGCGAAGAGAAATCATAAATCCATGGACGGTACATTAAGCTTTATTCTAAAACATAGATCATGGTAGAATAGAAGAAGCCTATAGGCCATATTACGAATGCAAGGGCGTCGGTCTTACGACCAACGTTTTGCTGTTTAATTTCTTACGCGCATAAAATACTAACATTTGTGACCAATATACGGCAATATTTTCATCCCCGTTTGATAATAAACAAGCTCGATAATACGAAGACAGAATTAACTATCTGCATCTTCACTGTTCGAATTAAGGACATGAAGGCATGTTTATGGGATAAAATAAATGAAACAAAACGTGTAGTGCGTAGTAAGTTCTCCTTTATAGTTCCATTTATAGTTCACGATCGGTCAAGAGAGATCGACACGTGGATCGGATCATTTCCCTTTGATAATGTACGGATCGCAATATTTACGCTATTGGCAAATAATAATTCTAATTAAAGATTATCGTATACGTTATAGTCACTACTTTGTAGACGTTGACAAAGGAAAAGCGCAAGACGATGGCCGAGTTTGATTGACTACTTTGCATTGACACTACATTAATATCTTGGTAATAACTTGTAGACGTTACAACGCCTTTTAATTGAATGTAATACCTACTGTTGGGATGCTCTTATCTTGCCCACGCATGCCTTTGTGGCACCAGAATTCCGTGTTGCACTCCCAAATGTTAATGTACTATGTTGCTTTCCAGTGGTAATGGTGCGTTGCTTCTATTATTGTATTTATTGACACGTGGTAACTTACGAACGTATTAATTTTTATGTAAAATTTTTGACATTTCATAAGAACACGCAAGCGTCTACTTATGTGAATAAATATATTTTTGATTTGATTTGATTTGATTTTTGGCTCGTTTATGAAAGTTACACGGCTTCTAGGAAAACTTTAGAAGGCAACATGTGTATACTTTTCCGTTTCATGTAGAGAATGAGATAACCGGACCTTCATCCTAACTAATATTATAAAGACGAAAGTCTTTTGTTATTTATGGATGGATGTTTGTTACTCTTTCACGCAAATACTGTTGAATGGATTTTATTGAAACTTTACAATATATATATATATATACAATTATATATCCGAAAAAGACATAGGCTATAATTTTATATATTTTTTTAATGTATATCTGTCTTTCTGTCTGAATGTTCCGCCTTCAGCCTATTCAACGCAGACGTAGTAGCAGCTAGTTATGAAATATTAAAGAGCTCACACGTATTGAACCTTAAGCTAAAGCAAAAGCGATTCACATGGACATTTGCAGCACCCGTGGGGTTGTAGATACGTTGCCAGCCTTTAATAAAATGGGCTTCGGCTTCCTCAATCCTCAGACGAAACGCAGAAGTATAACCCTTCCACTTCAAGCCAGTCTTCTATGAATTCGTGGTATTTCCCGAACCTACATACCCATCCGTGTAACAGCGAAGACTGTTGTGTAGCCCTAACACATTAGCACATTTCAGAGCCAGTGATGGCAAAGGCGTCAGATCTGGGATTATGGGAGCTGTTACAAAGGCGAGCGTTTAGCGAAATCGAATTTCTCTCGTTCGAACCAACTATGAAAAGTTTACGTCCTGTGTGCTGAAAAATGTAAAATGGTGAGTTTTTCGTAACGTTGTAACGTGAATACCTAAATTGTGCATGGCGAGGAGATCGGCGGGGTCTAGATGGCTGGCGGCTACAAGGCGGCGGGCGACGTCCGCTGCCACTTCTGCCACGGCGTCCGGCCGGGCAGCCGCTAGGTCGGCTAGGGCGCCGCAAACACGAGCCGTGCAAGAGTACGGGTCGTCGCGAGCGGCTGCTTCACTCAGAGACTTCGCCTCAGACCATTTGCCCAACTGCGTTAAGATAAGTTACATAGACATTCACTACGCACTGATTTGTGTTGTTTTTAGTATTGCTCATCTTTACTTTCGGCGTAGCAGTAGAAGAAAACAAATTACTACTAACCAACAATAAATCTTTATTATTTTTCAGATATTGATAGTATTTGTAACCCTAAATACGATTATATACAATGAGGCAAATCGTTATGTTGAATGACTAATATCGTTCACGGCGTCTCTTAACAGTAAACATAAGAAATTGCATTGATGTGAAGGGTCCCGCGGCTACTTGTCGTGTTGAGCACTACACGATATCCTCTTGAGTAGACGCAGTACGACAAGTGGCCGAGAAATAGCCGCAATCGAAACAAAAGTATGAGAAAAGCCCAGTGAGTTGATTTAACTCTTATGTTTGAATTGTATAAAATCCTTAATTTAGACCATGTCAGATGTTTAGATGAGAGCTGTCAAGGTGACAAAGCCACGTATTCAAAATTTTTCTTATTCCTCATTTTTAAAGCCAAATTTGGCTCTAAAACCGATGAAAGTTCAGTTTTAAAAATCTAAGACTCCGATTTAAGAAATAAATTTTACATTTCAGTATATTTTTGCGGCCAACAAAACAAATCCTCTGCGGAAAAACCATTGTGAATAATGAATAATAAGAAACAAATATGTTGTCTTGGATTTTACAATAAAACCTGGGGAGTACTGTAATAATTCTTATATTTTAACCTAATTTGTCGCCCCAGATATGTATTTGTATTTGTTTTCAGCAGACAAAATCATTATAACCCAAAATTTTAGCTCTATCATACAGGGAATTAACGTAGTCCGTTCAGATTCACTTTACCTCTTAGGTCCCCTTTGTTGATACCAAGTTTGGAACCTCATTTAAAATTAAATCAATCTAGAGTCGCAAATCTAGAGTCGCACCTGCGTTGCCAGTATTCGAGTTAGTAGGAGTTTCTGCTTGAAGGTCCCTAAGACGTATTGTTAGCAATAACTGGTCCCACATAGTGGAAATGCGTGGATGAATGATTCTCAAAACCAGAGAAGTTGTATCTGTGTTGCCAAACAGTTTGGGAGTGGGTGGCCCACTTAGCTAAGCATGCTCAGGCGAGTATGCATTATCAAAATTAAGATATATTGGCGTTGCGTTGCTGTTGCAGTTGCATGGGCTGCGCACAATTTGGTCATTAGTATGGCTGGGCGGAGAAAGTCATCGAGATGCAGATTAACAATGCAGCAGATATAGCTACAGCGCTTGAAGGGAATGAGACTTACGGCGTACGCAACGAAGGCGGCGTCTGTAGCCGCCTCTGCACGTAGCACGCGGTCGTCGTGGTGTGCGCGGGCGACGGCTTTCAAGCGCTGCAGCACTCGGACACCGGACGCCAGCGCGGAGCCGGCCGTGCCCGATGGCGCGACCGCCGAGCGTAGCGCCGCCAATGCCCCGCCCAACTCGAGGCGAGCGCCAGCGCCCCCGCCCGAGTAGCCGCGCAACGCCTCCGCGCACCAAGAGGCGCTGCTAAACGCACAATTGCTAAATATTGTGATAGGGCCTCGCAGTGGTCTTTTTTTACCAGATAGAGTGATTCAAGAGGAAGGTTAATATATATTATATACAATACATTGCACCCGTGCGAATCCGGGATGGGTCGCAAGGTCGTAATAAATCGCAATTAAAACGCGATAATAAACTGTGAATAATAATACTGTGGTAAACTAGTATCATTCGACTTGAAAATACCCTGTTCACCCATGCTGGAGGGTTTACTGAGAAACAACGGGGCCGAATAGCAGTCTATTCGATGAGAACGGTGCCCAGCACTGAGACATACGTCGGTTGCATTAAACTCTAAGCAAGCATTCGGTAATATGTTGCATTAAACTCTAAACGTGAGCAACTAACGCACGCATGAGTACATGCGCGGCCCTACCCATTGAGGTGGGCCTCAAACCCGTGGGTTCTGGCTAGGCCACCGGTTCTGCGTTCGATGAAGCTTTAATAGTCTAGAAGACTGAAAGCGTTAGATCAGTTTACAAAAAAAAAAAACATCATTCAAAGCAAGGCGGACGGACCCCGCGTCGTCGTCTCTAGCGTTGGGCGCGGCCAGGGCGGCGGCGGCGAGCGCGAGGCACCGCTCAGCGTGCGCTGACGCCCTCCGCGACCACATCGACAGACGGTCACCGCGCACCACGTCACGCAACACGCACTCGTATGCGTCGTTCTCCTGCGGTTCGGACAGAAATAGGAATGAGGACGAAACCTATAAATATGTTAACATTAAGCACACTTCGTTTTGCCTTGGTTTACTTTTTCTAAAATTTGAACTTAAACCAAAAATTTTACACACATTTATACAGCATGGCGTTGCAGCCGCGTCAATAAATAAACACACCTCTAACGCTACTTGCCAATAATAGTAAAAAAATATAAACGATAAAAAAAAACAATAATAAAAAAAAATATATTTTTCAAACAAACATAATATAGGTACTTACAACTACAACTGACTGATTCATACATTCTGAGACGTTTTCATTAGTTGCCAACAAGTTACAAGTATCTCCTTCAAACAGTATGTTTTATCTCTTTTAAATTCATTCATCCAATTCATATGCATCGAGGCCTTTACAAAAGAACTTTACGTAACAGTTTTAAAAGTACGAGTGTTCAAAACTTTGTGCTAGTTTCATTTTCACCACTGTTTAAGAGTTACGCTTAAGACTTTAGGTGACACTTAAGCGATGGTGAAAACGCAAATTATATAAATTTATTAGGTGTCCCTTATAGTTAGGGATCGATGGTGAAAACGAGCATACAAGAGCTATTTATTTTATAAGAATTTGTAAGTAGTGTAGAATGTTTTAATTTAATTTAAATTTTAGAAAGTAAACCAAGTCAAAACGAAATGTGTTTCATATTAACATATTTATAAGTTTCGTGCATATTCTTATTTTCGTCGATAGCTTTCCGATTCTTTAGATAGTTGCACCTGTCTGACCTCTGTTTGTCAAACAAAACAAACTGAATGCACTTGAAATATATTTGTTTTATTAAAATACTATCAAGTTTATTTCATATAATGAATCGTGAAACAGTATTTTAGTGTCGTACCTAAACTTATTTTTAAAGCAATTTCCTAATATAATATATATACGTAACACGAAGCAATTTTATACAAAATAATTTCAACAGGTTCTTCATAACGTTAGTTCGTACATTACAAGATTTTTACAGATATCTGGAAACATGTAAAACTAATTACGTCGTCGATAGGAATGTCCTGGTGATAAGTAGGAGGTTCCACATCTAGCATCGCGTGAAAAGCAGCTTTTCCCGCCTCAGCATCGTTCAGTGCCACGGAGCACAGGACCAAATGTAATCCTACAACAACACACTTACATTATTAAATGAAACGAGAAAATCCGATTGTATAAGAAATACTGACTATTACTCATTTTTGTTACCACATTTAAATATTACAGTCCTTTGTCAGTCCAGCAACTGATACAAATTTAATGACCTCGAATTATATGTATGATACATAATTACATATACATTATTGTATATACATTTGCCTCATATGTTGGAAATCAGTTAAAAGGCTTAGGCCGTAAAGAAGGCCAAATAATTAGATATACATTTATTATTATATACATACAGATAAAATAGAAAGATATAAAAAAAGTGTAAATTACCGATTTGTACAACTTATACCTGTTTGAAAATCGCCTTGCTCATGCATTATGTGTTGGAAATTTGTTACGGCGTCGCGAAACTTGCCCATACGTACTAGAAGGAGCCCAATATTATGCATGACTTTCATTCTGTAAAAAACAATATTCGTCCATAAAAACAGAAGATTTTTATATAATACTTACTTTAGCCGACAATATAGTTTGAAGTACCTAGCCGATGGGTAAAAAAAGGTCCTCGAGTGGCAGGCAGTCTCGAATTGGCCATACTAATGTAGGACGACCCTCCAATAGATGGAGACACGGCCTGAGCAAGTATGAAGTCGATGGGTGCAGGTGGCCTATGTTCAGCAGTGGACTCAAATAGGCTGATGATAATGATGATTTACTTACACGAGTAGGCGGTTCGCGGCCGCTCATCGTCAACAATCCTTATATAACACTATTACAGTTAAAAGTAAACATAAAATGAGTGCTCTACGGTATTACCGTGGTTAACTTAAATGCGATGCACTCATTTTTTTAACTGAAGAGAGAAAATTCAATCTCTTACGCGACTCATGCTCTGAACAGGTATTTAAGGAGATGTGTATTAATGCTATGTTTAAGTGATCACCTCTGGGTACAAAATTGTTTGATAGAACATATGTCAAGAATTAATTATTTATTTAATATATAAAGAACGAAAGAATCACATTATGAGTATGGAGTACCTCAAATCTTTTTCCGCAGTCGGAGTTTGATCTAAGGCCATTCTGTACAATTTTAAAGCCTTTGGATGTTCGCCCATTTTAAAGTAAATGTTACCCATGTTCACCTGATGAATTACATTATAATGAATCTATTATAGATAGGAGTTAAATAAAAATACAAAATCAACTAATGAAAATATTAACAATACTTTAAGTCGATTAGCGTGAGGAAATAGTTTGTTCCTTGTTAGTAATTGGTATGTGTTTAAAGCTTCTGTGTACATCTCGTTGAGCGCGTACTGTCCGGCCAAGTTGCATAATACCTAAAATTACGCAAGTAAAATGTATTAAGTATAAACATTTTTCTAGTGAAACAAGGAGAACGAATTTTATGATAAGTGTAATAATGAAATTTGCATTCGTTCTGAATATGATTTTGGAAATAATTTTACGGAACATGTTCTTAATCATATGTAAAAACGATAAGGATGAAAACGATAAAACTTACAGCGAAAGTTAGGTCTAAATTGTGAGAGTCTCCCATATTGGCCTGTTCCTGCATTCGAATTAATTGTCGCTCTAATGCAGATGCCTCCTGCGCTTTAGCTAAAGCCTAATTTTTACAATGAATTAAATTAAAATTACATATTAAAGTGTGATTAAATTTAAATGTAATAAGTATAAACAGGTGATTTATTGTTTTAATATAGGTACATCTTTTGGAATGTGTTAGTTAACAACATTTTTATTTTTACAAAATATCATGATTATTTTAAATTATTTTCTTGCTCTTACTTGACCTAAGTCGTATTCTCTTTTGGTCGATACATCGTTGTCAGTCTCTTGTTTCGCACTCAACATACATGACTCTTCGACCAACGTCATAATACGTGTCTCCATTTGTTTAATTTTGTCTTCGATGCTAGAATAGTATATTTATCATAATAAATAAATATAAAAAATGTATAGCAGCTGACGGTTCTTTCAATACCAAATGAAACCACAAGAAGGGGGAAGTTAGGTCCGGTGAAATATTAAGAAATATTGAAATAAGATAACATAGATTCATCACACAATTGTTCTACAATGTTCAGAAATGCTCACCTCTCTTCCTTTCGGTCATCTTTTAAAGGCGTATCGCGTGTTGCAGACGTGTATCCTGCTGCTCTGAGAGCAGTCATAGGTCGCGCGGCCGTACCAGTTCGGGACGCTCCCACAGCCCTGCCAGTCCCAATGGCAAACACCTGCGTTAAAATTAATATCTTAATGTCTATATTTTGTAGCAAAATATAGCTGAGTTGATAAGTTGTATTTTGCCGCGTTAATTAAAATAAAATTAATGATTTTAAATAAGTTGGTATTTAAGCACTACTGTCCATATCGTGGCGAGGAAGTATGCAAAGTAAAGAAACTTCGGGTATTTTACTTCATCAAATGTATATTTTCAAATAGAGCAAGCCAACTCTGTCGCCTTTTATTACACAAATTTCGGGCACAGCCCTTAATTTCATACACTCGTCTTTCTCGCATACCCCAAACACATATGTAGAATCTTCAGTTCGTGGAAATTAAATAGATTCCTACATCCGTATTATCAGTTCAAGATGGTTTCAAATAAACGTATCCCGGAACAACGATTGCAGACTCAAAACATCCAGCGTTCAATTTAAGCAAATATCAAAATGGATTTTCTAACTTGGGTGTCTCTATCAATTTAAGTTCGTGGGATCTGACTATTCCACGGTCACTGTGTTCGAGCTTTAATAGTCAATAAATATAAGAAACTATTGTTCCATGTAATAGTTATAATTTATTCAACTTACACTGGTGCCCAGTCGGCTAGGCATTTGCCGACCAATTCCGGCCGTCCGGACCGCCTCCTGAAACGCCTGGTCCTCTCGCAGCGTTCTGGTGTCCAAGGCTGGAGACACTTCGTTAAATCCCCCATACAAATCATCATCGTCGTCTATAACTACAGCAGTACGGGGCTTTGTATCTCTACCCTGGCGAGATGTACTATAACGCGAGCTGAACATTCTCTTTTATTATAGACAAATAAAAGACGAAATGATATTCACATGCACGTGTAATGTTACACGCGAAAGCTTTTTTTGTAATTTAGAGCGTCAGTTTTGTTGTGACGCTGCAACTATGGCAACGGATGCATAGACAAAAAGGCCGGGAAATTTTCTACAGATAAATATACCCTTTAATTGGAGTGTCTTTACACCGCAAAGAAACTATGTTAACTACTATAACTTTGCAGAATGTGCCCATGGATGAATCCACTAACTGCCTTCAATTGCTGACCGTAAAGATTTATTGAGATCTCAGCTTTGGGCGTTTTATTGTGTCTAAGATCAAAGCAACTGCAAGGAAATTACACCTTGTTACAGTACCGGCACGGCTTGTGACCGCATATAAACCACATATTAAGGAGTACGTTATATTTGAGCAGGCGCTGCTAAATGCCATCTTGATTTTTTTGACTCAATGGGCTCATAGGTGATCCTTATTTGGTTATAAGCAATCTAACTAGTCTAAACACAAACACACGCGCACATGATACCCACACCCTCCGTTTATCTAAAGGTTTTAATTCGAAGTTCTCAATTAACTTTCATTCTCGGACGACTAGACACTCGGCATAATTCTATAATTTCCTTATTGATATTTCACGCAAATAAAACGCTTTGCTTGCATACAACAAATAATAGAACAATTTGCCAGCATCTTTCATATTACACACGTGGGCGCGTCTTCAGGGTAAAAAGGCCTTTAGTGAGTTAGGGCGTTCGAACTATATTTTCCCTTGTGACGATGAAACGTTTACCTAACAATAGGATATAACATAATTGACTGCTACTAGAAGTGGGCGATACAAATCGTATCAGATATGAAAACTAGATATTAGTACAATATCCCAATATCGCTTACTGGCTCGTTCAATATCTATGTATTTTACACTAGCTGATATTTCCGAAATCTGATGTACCGTGCTCGCTCGCTATACCGACACGAATCGCGATACGGCGATATCATACGCGTTTGCCACAATATCTGATTTTTAAACAGATTTCGAGAGACAAAGCGCGTGAGATACAAATACTCACTAGTTAGAGCGGGACGGCAAGCAATGCACGATATCAGATATCGAGCGACAAAGCGCGTGAGATATAAATACTTACTAGTTAGAGTGGGACGGCAAGCAATGCACGATATCAGATATCGAGCGACAAAGCGCGTGAGATATAAATACTTACTAGTTAGAGTGGGACGGCAAGCAATGCACGATATCAGATATCGAGCGACAAAGCGCGTGAGATATAAATACTTACTAGTTAGAGTGGGACGGCAAGCAATGCACGATATCAGATATCGAGCGACAAAGCGCGTGAGATATAAACACTTACTAGTTAGAGTGGGACGGCAAGCAATGCACGATATCAGATATCGAGCGACAAAGCGCGTGAGATATAAATACTTACTAGTTAGAGTGGGACGGCAAGCAATGCACGATATCAGATATCGAGCGACAAAGCGCGTGAGATATAAATACTTACTAGTTAGAGTGGGACGGCAAGCAATGCACGATATCAGATATCGAGCGACAAAGCGCGTGAGATATAAACACTTACTAGTTAGAGTGGGACGGCAAGCAATGCACGATATCAGATATCGAGCGACAAAGCGCGTGAGATATAAATACTTACTAGTTAGAGTGGGACGGCAAGCAATGCACGATATCAGATATCGAGCGACAAAGCGCGTGAGATATAAATACTTACTAGTTAGAGTGGGACGGCAAGCAATGCACGATATCAGATATCGAGCGACAAAGCGCGTGAGATATAAACACTTACTAGTTAGAGTGGGACGGCAAGCAATGCACGATATCAGATTTTTAAACAGATATTATGAATAAGTTAAGTAATTTTGAATCTTAACACCATGCAAATAAGATCCGTTTCATTTAAATACTAATCTTGGTATCAGCGATTACTACAACGATATTAATATATTTTTATTGTTTTGTTTAGCCTTGAGCCGTAACGGACGACAAAGCGCGTAGTTAAGTAATTTTGAATCTTAACAGCATGGAAAAAAACTTTGTTGCATTTAAATACGAATTACGGTATTAACGATGTCTTTGAAATTTTGTTCAGCCTTGAGCTGGATTGCATTGGTACTTAACACGTAATAGTGAGGGATGCCAACTTACTACTTAAGAAATTAACAAAAAGAAAAATATAATTTAATAGTGCTGTGCTGCTTTGGTGGAAATCAGAACAAGGCTTATGTGCCTTGTGTGTATATTTTAAATTCTTCCGCCCTAAGCTATAATACTGAATGTATTATTTCTTACACAAATAATAAAAATATTGCCACTCGATTGCGTGTTCTAAAAATATGTTGTAAAGTCAAATTATTAAGCGGTATATAAGATGTTAAAATAAATCATTTTTATATTACTTCAATTTATATTTTTAATGAAATTTTTAATTTAATAATTTAAAAAAACGCATTTTTTAGTAAGACAGGGTTAATTATTAATGATCGTCGAACAAGACTTTCGACGAATAAAGTCAGAGAGCTTACGTTCCTAAACGTGAATTTGAACCCGGAGGGATATAAATAATTATTAACCCTGACATAATTGTAAATATATAATGTTAAGTTTTAAATATAAGGAAAACTATGTACATAGAATGAATCAACTTTTAAATACGCCTGCACAATTTTATATTTATAATAAGTATGAAATATTGCAGCCAGTCCTAAGCCTGGAAAAAGTATGAAGGGAAGTTATTTCATTCATCTTATAACCAATCCCTTAAAGTATAATTTTTTTTTTTTTTTTTTTTTTTTTTTTTTTTTTTTTTTTTTTTTTTTTTTTTTTTTTTTTTTTTTTTTTTTTTTTTTTTTTTTTTTTTTTTTTAGAATTCAATTAATCAACGTGGATAGGGAACCGATATTAAAATACATAGTTTCGAAATGTGATATTTGAAATCGATATCGGATTCAGATACGGTACTCAGAAAAAGCGATACGACCCATCCCTAACTGCTACATGCTTAAAGTTTATTGTAGCACGTAATATGAAAGTTTACATAACTGTTTGAGTCCAAAGAGAAAATAAAAGTAAAATTAAGCAGGTAAGGTTTGACCGAGGGATTAAAATGAACTTACGAAAGGCTCTATAAATTGAATTTTTGATAGATAAACGAAAAGAACCTTTCGGCGTTGCGGGATTTAAACCCGCATCTTTCGGTTTCACGAGAAAAAAATTTTTTTTTTACTAAGCTAAGCGGTCGATGACCTCACGGCACTACAATCTCAAGATTTTTCTACGTTCTTTCCATTGCATTTTAGTAATGCATGGCGCCAACTAGTGTGCATTCTTTACAGCAAGCTAACCACCTCACAAGCAACATGAAAAAATTTCAATTTTCATCTTGAATGCGGAGAATGGGATGAAGATGAAACTTTAAATTGAAGTGCACTAAAAATCCTAAAAGTTCCCAACCTATTTACATAAAGGGGAAGATTTACCGATTTATATGGTATGAGGCTTGTCAAGCTGTACCATTTTGGTAGATCAGTGGCCATCGTTTCACAGAAGCATGTTATTCGTGTAAATTCTTCAAATTACATATATCAAACATTTCAGATATTTCCCAAAATATACAATAAAGGATATACGGCATTAAGTACGACATAAGATCAGTTTTAAGGTCATCTTTATTACACAATCACTAAAATTCTTTACATTCAATGTCCATCTTATAATCGTCACACCAAAGAAACATTAATAATTATCAATTAATTATTCACTTACAAATAATATAAGACTGACTGAAGAACGGCATCACAATATTAAATCACGGGCAAAACCCTCCTACAGACCAGTGCTATTGGAAGACACTGTAATGTAACGAATCTTTAATGAACTGTTCGGGCATAGACTAATCCTATAACTCAGTACATTAAGAACGTCTAAAACAAACGAATTATTTCATTCTTAAAGCCTACTCCCGATTCGGTTCTCCTGTCTACACAAACATTCAAAACATTGGGTACAAAAATAAAGGTAGTTATTTTCGTTATTCTCACATGGTAAGAATTAACGATATACTACACAATTTCATGATTTCAATACACATTCGGTTTCAGGACTGAAACAAATTTAATATTATTTCAGATTATTAGTGACCCTAAAAGACTAGCAAGAAATGCATGTAGTATTCATTTTTGTACACTTTTTACTTATCATTAAGATAACACGACATAAAAATTAATAGAAAACTCTCAATTTCCCATTAACAGAGATATGACTTAGATGTAAAGTTATATATTTAAATGTATACATATATTTTTAACAAAATCTACTGACATGATGATAAAAACACACACACTTTGAAAAACAATACCAGATCAACATTATCATTTTAAGTAATTGACATTTTTGTAAATCATGTGTGACAATAGCCAAACTTATATGCAATAGTTTAAGATGGTTTGTAAAAAATACATAAATATGGAAAGTTACCCTTGAATTAACAAACTTACTTAAATAAATGTTATACTTTTTATTATTCATATGGTATTTGAGCTTAACAGGTATCTTTGTATTAAACACAAAAGTTTTAAAAGCCAATTACAGTACAGTTGCATCACACTACAGCAACATATCCATGAAAAAATAGCACCTGTAGTCTCAATAATATAACTATTTAAAAAAGTAGTACAAAAAGCATGATTTAATTGCAAAATGAAATAGAAATAATACTTTGTATTATCTTGACAAAGTTGCGTTTTAAATGACATTTTCTGTTACAATAGACTTTTCATTGTTAATACAAAATAAAACATATTCATATGTTGACCTAGTGTTATATCGCTTCCACACATTACTAGATTAGAAATCAGTACTTTTTCTGTATATTATTTCACAAATTTAAATGTTTATAATTAGAAAACTTTTTTATTGATTCAAAGTTATAGCATAATAACATTTCATAGCCTCTCACTTAATAACTACACAATGTGTCTGTTTGACTGACATCAAATGAGACTTGTATATTGCCAACTCACCCTGTTAATTGTTGATAGACCGCCGCATTAAGACATCAAAGTCTGGTTGGCAGAACATAGAAAAACTGCTCACTTTGTAGGTGTATTCTGATGGTGCACAGCACTATAAGCGACATGTGTTGGCGATGTCCACAATTACGGTTTAGGGTCACTTCGATCACATATCAAGAGCACCAATTTGTGGATAGTAACACAGTTCACAACTGGAGCACTCAGGTATTTCTGATAGATTCGGCTAGAATTTCGCGGAGCAGGACTTGTCCTTACACATTATGAAGCATAAAGGTCGACAATAGTCGAAGGGGGAATTAGATCTGCGTGGAGAAACGCGGGCGTGGCAACTCGTATACGTCGCCGTGAACGGACCGCGCCAGCGCTTTAATACTGGCCGCGATGTCCTGTGGCTCATCCTGCCATTTAAAACAATGCTTAATTAGAGAGAGTCACACATATCGATAAAAAAAATGCTCCCTTCAAAAGTTACTAACTTTATAAAGCCCTTGAACTACATGCACAGAAGTAGGACTTTATAAACTTTTGGGATTAATGTAGGAATTTATTTAGATCCACAAGTCAAGTTATCAAGGATAAAGTTATCCTACATTAAGGGGCAAAGTTTTCGAGGGGAACACTACAATACATCTTCTAGCTCGCAGTGGTTGTTAGCCCTTCCATGCAAATCAACAAAATACCATGGGTATTTATAAATACATAAAATATTGCTATACTTACATAGTCGTCCATTTCCTTGACTGGAGTGCGTTCTATCGGGAAATTAGGAACATTTATGGGCAATGAGCGTGCGATGTTAGCGGGCACTACGCCGCGCGGGCGCGAAATGTGGATTCCCTCGTCGTTGCTGCCTTCTGAAAAGGTCAAGATGTGATGTGCTATGTAAGATATATTTTTTATGTGTGAAAAGTCGTCAAGCGAGCAGGCTGTTCACCTGACGTTAAGTGATTACCGTCGCAAATGGACATCTACAGCAGGCTTGAACAGGCGTTGAAATTCTCTAACAATAATGGGCGGTTACCTTACTCGCCAGACGCAACGCGAAAGTGGAATATTTTAATTTCACGCTAGTCTTGTGCGAGTCCGCTATAATTCCCCGGGCGACCCTGCCCATTCGCGCAACAGAAGCTGATGCGTGGCGCTACCACAGTAAAAATATTCAATTTTGGATATCAATACTTGGATATGAGCTTGTGAATACATGAATTCACATCCTATGAGATTTGTAACACTGCAACACGGTTTACCTTCGTGCAAGAATAATGATATGTGAATATCAATCTGTCCCGTGTCCGTGGATTCCATAGCGAACAGCAATTTAAATTTTCAAAGTGAATGTAATTAAATTAAAAAGTACTTTTGTTTAACAACTACTCATATGGACGACAGAATCAGTAAAAAGACAAAAATTAACAAAGTAAAATCAACTATTTGTACAAATTTATATCATCGAAAATTGAAATTTTGTAAAATTGAAATTTTGTAAAATTGAAATTTTAAGTACGAAATACTTTTAAGCATCCTGCATTAAGTAATAGCTTAGATAATAAATACTTATGTCCCCGTGCTGAAAGCAACACTGTACAGTGGAGAAGGCTTCCACTGTACAGTGGTTCGTGACCCCACTGTGGATTGGCAGACTTATAAGAAAATATGCAGGTTTCCTCGCGATGTGTTCCTACAGTATTGAGCTTGTGATGATACAGCACTTAAAAATAACAATTTCATTGCTGCCGCCACCAGAAGTTGAACTCAGGTTTCTAAAGTATATTAAATTTAAATGAGCTGTCACGGGGTCTCATCATCATCTCTTATCTCATTGCACACAATAAAATACTAACGGTCCGAGTCATAATCATCCTGATCGGAGATCATATTGTGACGGGAATCCATTCCATCCAAGTCGAAAATATCTTCAGCGTCTAGAGAGTCTTCTTCATGTGAAAGTTGTGTGTTGGACTGAAAAAATTATTCATTCACTGTATAATAAGAGTCAAAGATATCAAAAACTTATCGCAAAATTTAAAGTAGAATGTAATATTTGAAAAATGATAACACACAACAGTTACTTGCCAAATTAATTATTTGTTAATTTACTTCACCTAATAGGAACACTGCTCATGGAAACCAGACATATTGCAAAAAATACTTATTGAACATAAAATTAATTGCTCACCTTCACAATATTCTGTGTTATTTTATTGGAATCTTTAATAGATGACAGTCTTCTTCTCTGTTGTGGAGGTAGCAATGGAGAAGGTGGTCCATTGACCGAATTGGAATCCATTTGCCAAACACCATCTTCAATATTATGTCTTGCTTTGCTTACAATACTGTAAAAATTAAAAATAACCAAAAAATAAAAATGTGGTAAGATTTACATATCACCTTACATTAATTATTTTATGCATCTCTAATTTTGAAGGCCTATTTTCTACAAAAAGTTTAAAATGACTGCATACCTGCACAACCTTATCTTAATGTTACATTACCATAAATAGGTATTTAAAATTATTATTAAAAGTGGTTGATGACAATATGAAACCTGCATATTTTCGAAAAATCTTTAAAAAACTATCTTCAAAAGATAGGTGAATGGGTTGTGGTAAATTTGTGATGGACTATGCCCTAATACACTCAGTACAGAGGAGACCTTTTCCCAGCAGTAGGACATATATAAAACATTACTTTACCTTGTGCACAATGCTTAAAAATATTTTGTGATAGAGTAAATTTAAAATATATATCTATCAAAATCTCAATCTTAAAAAATTCTTAAAAATAGTTGATATCACTTAATTAATAATTGTTGTATGTTAAAATCTTTTCACTTGCTATTTTCTTTATTAAAATGATGTTTATTATAACTCCACATCACTTGCTCCAGCACATTTTTATGTCCAGCACATTATCAATATGTATAAAGCTACTTAAAAGAATAAAAAAAAGTTATAAAACCAAATTGTTAGAATTAAACTGTGTTGTTGGAGTTTTTGAGAATGGATAATAGATCCATCAGAACATTTACCTAGATAAAATTTTATGTTCCCTGTGCGCCTTTTCTCTATATGCTTCAAATTCAGCATATTTTTGATCTCTAAATTGACGGACGGTTTCTTCAACAGCTTCTAGTTGTGATTGCAATGTCTGATTCAGTTGTTTGCTTAGTGTGCCTATTGCCTGTAGACTTGGTGGACTAACACTGTTGTTTTTTATCAAAACATTGTTTGTATCAACATTTTCTTTCATTTCTATGTCATTTGTTATTTCTGGAACTAACAAGTTAAAAACTGGAGAGAAATTAGTTGATTTTTTCAGGTTATTTACCCTCTCCAATGTTGTCTGAAAATAATTAATAATGAATTCAGTGATCAGCATTACTTAGATAATACAAATTATACATACTGAAATTAATTTTATTGAAACTGAATAAGATATAAATGATTTGAAAGAAACATACATAGATATTACTTTTATTATTGCAATCAATTCAAGAAGCAAGTCATACTACTAATTTCGTTACCTAAATTTACTTAGAAACAATCACAAACTGATAGGTAACTAATGCCAAAAAATCATCTAAATAATAATAGCTAATTGGGCAAATAACATATGATATAAAAGTGCTGTATGACAACTTTTTCAAATTGCACACCTTCCTATAAAATACAGAAATTACAGTCTTACATATATTTCTAGAACTGAGTACAGCACATGCACTTGTGTCCCACAAAGTAGTATTTTAAAGCAGTATTTTAAATGAATGACAATTTTAGGTTTCAACATAAATTGCCTATATCATTGTTACCAAAGTATAAATGGATACTTGGCTATAAATTACGGAAGAGTTAAAGATTTATGTTCAAACTGAAATATTGATGAGATACTGTTCCACTTTTATGTTATAGAGAAATGTTGATAAAATGGATCGATGCAGCTGTATTAATTTGCGAGATTGTAAAAGGCAGAAATTTTTAAATGGCTTCTTCATGTTCTAGAATCTATATAGATTTTGTGAGAATAATACACAGAATAATGCACTTACTTGTATTGATTTGCAAATTAAAATGGTAGATCTATCATTAGATATAGCATGTGTGACCTGCCCACAAGCAAGACAAGACTCAATCATCCAATGATCTATTGGTCGGTGTCCTATGAGAGCTTGTTGTGCAACATGAATCTTTATTGAGTTTATTGGACATGACATTAATTTCTGTAAATACGAAAATAAAAATTGGTAGTCATGATATGAATTACAATGAAAAATATAACGATTGCATTGAAAATATTTTATTCATAATGAATAATAAATAATAATAAATGTTATTGTGTTAATACTTTAGTGTTTACAAACATTTATTTTGGTGTACACCTCTACTATATTTAAGGAGAAACAAATTCTATTTTGGGAACTATATAAGATGTTTTTATATTGATATTTCGGAAAGTAATACCAATGAGATCGAATTTTGTCTGATAAACTTAACGAGTTACATAACGTTTTCTATGTATATTATAAAAAAAACAAAGCATTGTGTGCTAACACAAAAATAACCCTTGTTTAAGAAAAAAAATCAGTTTGCCGTAAATGAACAACTGTGTATTTAAGAAAATATTATATAATATTGGTTTATAGACACAATCGAATGTAATAAATGAGATAATTAAACCGATACTTCTATAAATATTCAAGGTTAATTCATGTTAACCAAATGTACCTCACTGAAAAAAATATCTCTTTGTTCCGCCGCAGATAGTTCCAATTTACCAATATCGATATTATCTTCTATTTTTTCACTTTCTAGCGTAACATTAAGACATTTACAAACACAGAGAGCCATTTTGACAAATAGTTAGTTGTAAAAGAAGTTAAAACAACAAAAAAAGTACACAAGAATCAAGAACGTAGTAAATTGTACAAAGTAGTTCAGTGGATAAACGCGTTGTTATTTATGTATAAATACATAACTACATGACATGGGTATCGTATAGTATTATTATCATACACACACCACAACACCTGAGATTATCAACAAATCTGAGTTACACAATGAATTATCATCCTAATCTCATTTTATACCAAAACAAAAATGAACCTATACATTTAGAAGTTTAGGTTTTATTTCACCTGTGGACTAATGATTTTACAAGCGATAATACTACTTCAGTGTTGCACATATCATCTTTTTATGATTGTGTTAAGAAAAAGACACGGAATTTTTAACTCAATTGGCATAATAATAGATCGAGTCTTCAAAACACAGCCGGTTTTGAAATTGATCAAAAATGCCTTGAGATTTTATTACCACTATTATTCTTTGATCACTTTAGATGTTTTATTTTTAGAAATATCTAGTCTTACACCATTTATATATATATACATATTATGTATGTAATCAATACCCTTTCCTAATCTTTAGTTAGGTAATCAAAATTTTGATCTTTAGATAATCAAGATTATTGTTGTGAGTCAGTTCATTATTCTTTAATATTTGAAATGTATTTAAAGAATATATTTCATGTTGAAGTAAATGTAAATAATGTTCCTCTTTAGCTTTGATTTATTTAGCAATTGATTGTTTGGTAAAGTATAATACTCTTTTAACTTTAACAGCTTCATTAGCTTCGATGAAAGAGGTTCGTACATACACAATAAATAGACCCAGGAGTTTAGAAGTCAACAACTAAACGAAGCTAGTGAATAACAAGGATACGATAACGTCGTTTGCACTATCGCAACTTAGCGACCCCTTTAGACCAGATAGAAAATTGACTAAAAGGCGAAGCTAGAGGCACGACACACGAACACAATCCAAGAACCCCTCAAATGGATGGTTTTTGAGACTTTAGCTTGGACCACAATTTTCATAGCGAATCCTATCCAGAGAAAGCAATTCTAAGAATTTTGTGAATTCAATATTAAAATCAAGCTTTATAACCGAGTAAGTATTTATCGAATAACTATATAAAAATGTGACAGACAAGGTGACGGTCGATAGAAACATTAGCATTTATAAAACAGCCAGAAATTGATTGCGTAAAGTCTGAAAAAATGGCAGTATAGTTATTGATGAGTAGTTGATATGGGAAAAACCCAAGACGGTAAGAAAATTGTCAAATAACCTAACATGTCAAATTGTCAAAACTCAAAATTATAAATTGTCAAAATTCGCTTGCGTCGGCGTTTTAATCAGCCAGTCTACAACAGCATTTTTAATGCTATATTCCTTATACGTGGCAATAAATTGACTACAAGAAGTAATTACAGAATAAGTGATTCCTCTATTTATTAAATTACCTTGTATAATGGGACATTTTTAAAGTACATAATTAAGGGGCATTTTATACAACAACCGCAAGTTCTATAAGGGCTTTGTTATTTTCAGAATTAACATGTCTAAAAGAAGCCAACCGTACTGGTCACCGCCCGTAGCGTGGAACGACCTGTTTTGAAACTGTATAACAGCTTAACGCGCCAAAAAGAGATATTTGTGTGCTCAAAAGGAAATAAAGTCAATTGGTACAGTTGTGGACCAACAGTATATGACTCATCCCACATGGGTCATGCCAGGTAAAATATTATTAATTAAATATAATGTCTACATAAAAACAATAATAATCATTTGTGTGGGGAAAAAATTATGTTTTGACTAGAGCTATAGCAAGTCATTGCATGCTATTCCTATAGCTCTAGTATAAAGTAAAAAATAAAACAAATGTTATTAATTTTAAGATTTTACAATGTATCATGTTTTAATATGAACTTAAAAGATTAAAAGATTTCCAAATTAAACCCAATTCATACAATCATTACACATAAAATTATATCAATTATATTTTTACAGGTCATATATATCTTTTGATATTCTCCGAAGAATAATGTCTAATTATTTTGGTTATGATATTCTGTATGTAATGAATATTACCGATATTGATGATAAAATCATTAAAAGAGCTAGACAGAATTTTTTATATGAAAAATATATTAACGACTCAAGACCTCTTAGTGAAACAATTGATGATGCTACAGAAGTTGTTGATTACTATGAACAAGTTGTCAAAGATACTACAGATCCTGATAAAAAAAATACAATGCAAAAAATGCTGGATAAGTAAGTCTTCAATTTTAATTCTTTAAAGCTTGATTTCTCATCAAAGATATTTTTTTTTCTCCCTTACAATAAATTTCTGAATAATATAATTTTAATTAATTTATTGCAGTATTGCTTTTGTTGTTAAAACTCTTAAAGCAGCAGTTCAAAATAAAATTGATGTGGAAATCATGAAAGCAAAAAGTGATTTATTAAAGTCTGCCAAAGATCCTATATCTGAGTGGCTAGATAAGAAACTTGGGGCAACTGTTAAAGATAATGCAATTTTCACTTCATTACCAAGGTATTGGGAAAATGAGTTTCATAAAGACATGAAAGCGCTCAATGTAAGTATATTCAAATTTATAACTCTCGCTTTAGAGTGTTTTATACAAGAAGCGTAAATGAAACATTTGAAAGAATTAAATTTTTAAGTCAGTATTCTAATAAAGTCTCTCCCTTCATGTTTTTGCTTAGTCTACCACATAGTCTTAGTGCAACTTGCACTTGCACAGACTGAATACTTTGTGAATATTCATAGATTATCTGTGAATATTCACCAAGCAAACTTTCTTTCATGTGTTATTCATGTATCTCACTTTTGCAAACTCAAGAACTTTTAACTCAGAGCAACATTATAAGCATTATGCAAAATAATTTAATTCATGATACAATAAATTCTTTTAATAAAATAAATCAATGTTTATTAACTGTTATAATATTAATTCTTGAATCATATAATGCAATTGTTTTTAGGTTTTGCCGCCTGATGTACTCACAAGAGTGAGCGAGTACATACCACAGATTATATCTTTTATACAAAAGATTATAGAGAATGGCATAGCATATGAATCAAATGGTTCTGTTTATTTCAGTGTGAGTGAATTTGACAGTAAAGACAAACACCACTATGCTCGTCTAGTTCCCGAAGCCTATGGAGATACAAAATCTTTACAAGAAGGCGAAGGTAAATTTTTATATACAAGAAGTATCAAATTTTCTATTAAAAGATTTATTCCTTATGAATAATTGTTTATATCAGTAATTTCTTTTTTTTAAAACATTGCCCTTACTTTAGTATAACATTAACCTGTGTTGTAAGGATGTTTTACAAACATAAATTTCATGTGAATAAACACCCAGATGCAAAACTACTATCTTTGGGTCACACAAATAGTTCTCCCATGTGGTAATCAAACGCACGACTCCCGACGCCTAAGCTAATACCTTGACAACTGCGCCAAGGAGTCATGGAGTCTTACTATACTTCATAGAATGAGTTCTTATTACACAAAAACTATTAAACTACTCATTTCATGTAATCAATGTGTTTTAAGTTTAACTCGTACAACAATTTTAAAAATTGCTTTAATTAGGTGATCTCACTGAAGATACGGCTGAGAAACGTTCTCCGAACGACTTTGCCCTGTGGAAGCGTAGTAAGGCGGGTGAGCCGTCATGGGAGTCCCCATGGGGTGCTGGGAGGCCGGGCTGGCACATAGAGTGCTCTGCAATGGCCTCAGACATTTGTGGGTCAAAGCTGGACATACACACAGGTGGCGTCGATCTGAAATTCCCGCACCACGATAACGAATTGGCTCAGAGTGAGGTAAGTAACTATACAAATGAAAATTGTTTAGTTACATTTTGATGGTATCTCTTAATGTCAAATTTTGTTTATTAAATTCTTGTTTGTAGACCATTTTAATATCAAAAATTGTCACCTGATTCAATAATTCACACATTAAATTTGGTCTTGTACCAGTGCAAGCTGTCTGCAGTCTTGTTCGACTTTCAAGCTTTCAAAACTGTGTCATCTAAGGGTGTATTATCAAATTCTTTGTTGTATTTAGCCAACTATTAGATATGTAAACATTTTTAAAGTCATATATAACTCTTGTGCAAAGTCAACTGAAATATGCATCCTTGGTATAGAATCTACCTCATGAAGAATGTATTCTGGAAATCTTTCCCTGTGTCTTGGTTTACAAAACTGGAGCCTGTCCATATTGAGCTAGTTAGTACACTAAAGTTTCTGCTTTTAAAATGGTCACTAGTAGTATATTTTTATATTTTTTACTTAATATTTTTAATTAACTCAATTAACACACTTACTAATTTGGTTGTCCCTATTTGTCTTGCTTGAACAGGGCTTATTATATCTGTCTATCATTTAAACAAGCAATGCATATGGGCATATTATTTTAAATAGTTATACTTTGTACTGTAGGCATACTTCAATGAAGCTGGATGGGTTAACTATTTCCTGCACACGGGTCATCTTACTATAGCCGGTTGCAAGATGTCGAAGTCTCTGAAGAATTTCATCACTATCTCCGACGCCCTGAAGAGACACACCGCACGCCAGCTTCGCCTGGCGTTCCTTTTGCACGGCTGGAAGGAGACCTTGGACTATTCAGATAACACAATGGAGATGGCCATGCAGATCGAGAAGTTGTTCAATGTAAGTAGCGGCTGCAGGCAATCTAGCTGGCACTGCTTCGGCAGTTTCATGAGTGGACAAGAATGATGAGTATGTGGTATTTCAAAAGACCGGCGTGTAGTAGAAGTGTTGATATTTTTAAATTTCCTTTAATAGGTGAGGTAGCCCAGGCCAGTTCACTTAAAAGTTGGCAACTCTGGTGGGTTTGATTACCAAGTAGTATTTTTGGTATTCATAGTCATAGTTAAAAAATCAAAATCATTTATTCAAAGTAAGTTTTGTTCAATAAGTTTTTCGACGTCATATAATATATGTCTCTCATGCAGCTACATACGGAGACATGTGGTACAGCCTCGGCTGTTGCACTCATCCGGGTAAGTACCACGACCTCACAGAAGACCGGCGTAAAGTGAAAGTATAATACTTTCGTATTTCGTCTGGTGAGTGAGGTGGCCGGAGTCCAATGTTCATAAGGTTGTCAACGCATCTGGAACCCTCTGGTGCAGCAGATGTCCATGAGTGGCGGTATTCACTTAACATCAGGTTAACCGTCTGCTCGCTTGGCAACTTTTTACATAAAAATAAAAGATGTCGTTCAGTGTGGATAGAGTATATAAATTAAAAAAACCAATCACCCGAATTGAGTAGAGAATGAAACAGAACAGTATTTTCCATTTACTTTTATTTATATACTAATCCGAACTCGTCTGTTCTAGGAATTCTTCTTAACAGTGAAAGACGCCTTAAGGTGTGGCTACGAGGAGGGCTGCGGCGGCTCATGGGGCCCCGAGGAGCAACAGCTGGCTGCAAAGCTGAGCTCTGTTAAGGAGCAGGTTCACGCTGCGTTGTGCGGTTTGTCCTCTTATAACATGCGCATGTGTATCTATCGACGCAGGAAAAGGGAAGGTGGGAAACGAGCTGGCGTTTCATTTGATGTTAAGCGTTTTGTCTAAAACGTCCTTAAAACACAGGTTAATGATATCGTACAGTAAGGGGCTTTGAAGGGAAGGCGTGATAGATGTTTCTAGGTCGCAACGCTGACACCGTTTGGACTTAGTACCAAATCCTTCCATGCAAAATACACCACACACATATCTTACTCACCAGTATGCGCGTGCACTCCATACATGCAAAAAAGCTTTGAGGGTGTTCGTCCCATAGAAACATGCTCCAAAACGCTGAAACCCAGATTAAAGTTTCGATTTTTTTTTGAGTTGGTAAAACATTGGTAAAAATTGAAATGACGTCATTGCTCAAGAATTTGTCTAGCGAGATATCGATTTCGCATTTATATATCCTGTCACGTGGTGTGATTTATTATAGGTTTAAGAGTAAAAAGTTATATATTTATTATTAAAAATAGAAAATCTCTGTTTACCTCAACTGGGATTAAAGTCTTAATATTCGCTCATATGGTTTGAAGTGAACTGTAAATTGTTTTATTTTAGTATTTTCCAAACAAACAAATGTTCGCGGTTGATGAGTGAACTAGGGCATTTTAAAAAAAAAATCGGCAATGCATCTACAACCCAGAAAGTGTTGTCGATGTATATATATGCGATCACGTAAATATAATTATGGTGAACCGCCTGCTCGTTTGCCGATTAAAAAAAAATTACACCGTCGTTGTCGTCGTGATTACTGAACCATTGTTTCATCCCTCTTTTCAATTTGGTTCAATTCTTAAATCAAGGGGTCTAAGTTCTTTTTATATCAATTTTATCATTTCCGCCAACTTAAAACTCGTATATTTGAGAAGTCTATTATTATATCTTTGTTTAATTTGCTCACCTAATAATAGATAGTTTCATGGTTTCTTTAAATTTACGGCATTGTTTGGTAATAAGAGTCACTTTTATATTAAAATGATGATAGTATGTGATAATTAATGGGTTTAGTGATAAATAATAATAAATAATAACAAAAAATTCTTATAATTCCACGCATGCGTACTATTCATTTTACATAGGATTTAACCAAAAGCATAGTTTTATTTAAAAACACTAAAAAATATAAGACATTTAAAAAAACTAAACTTTATGTATAGTACATTATTTATATTGCATACTTTTCTATTGAATAACTTAAACGACAATGCTGTGTTATTTGAAAAATCAAATAGCGTAACGTTCACACATTATGTAGGTTGTTGATGTACATTATATGTAGAAACTGCTACGTTTCGCTGATTAAGATATTTCCTTTTTTATTTAATACGCATTTATATATTCATGGTCGTATTCTTAGTTGTTCCTTAGAAGAGCTGTCGATGCATATTTTATTGACTGTTCCGAGACACTAAAGTAAATTTGAGTCATGAAGTGTTGATAATTTTAGACGACGAAGATCACGTATATCGTTAGAACCATAGTGTATCATATGCAACCCGTTTTCATCATCCCTAAGATGACAATATTGAACGAAGGACGTAGAAATAGAGTAAAATCAGCCCCATCTACAGCAGCGATTAAAAGCCATCACCCAATATTCAATGTGAGCCTATATTGAATACCATCAACTGACCGTAAGATATAAAACGAAATTATCACCTAATTAATTGTTTTTATTAAAAAATTATACTGTTTTCAAAACAGTAAAATCATAAAAAAACAGTAAAATCATTAAAACGTGAAAACTTAAATATTTACGCCTGTGATGCCTTTGCGAATCTCGGTACCGTTAACTTTATTGTGAATATTATGTGACGGCATAAAGCTTTACGCTCGCAAGAAAATTAAAAAGTATGTTGTAACCACTTTGCTGATTCATCTTTAAACTTTTATAAACAAATGTTGTTATTTCAATAAGTGCTGATATTAAACCTCAATGGAAAAGAAAGGGCAATTTTATTTTGACTTTATGAACGAATCTATTTTATCCATGTAACCTACGCTATACTTTAAAATGCAGCACATTATAACCTCATTTATTTTCGGATGATAGGAATATAAAATTTCTGAAAAAAAAAGTCTATAGATAAAAAAAAAATTGAAAAAGAACACGCATTTTTCGGCTATTAAAATATTCTAAATACGGCATGTTATTAAGTGTATTTTGCATTAAATTTTTATTTTTTATCTATTCAAAGAGGGTTTAATGATGATTATGCTCCCTCATAGGCATCAACAAAAGACTGAATTAAAAATAACAACATAGGATTTATAATTTCACATATTTAAGCACAACCTTTGCTTTTTGTGTGCCGACTGCTCAAGGAAAAAGATGTAAGTGCATCCAATTACAAATCCTACTAATATTATAAAGACGAAAGTTTATATGTATAGATGTTTTTCTGATGGATGGATGTTTCTCTTTCATGGAAATACTACTGAATGGATGTTAATGAAACATTACAATAATATAGCTTATACATCAGAATAAAACATAGCCTATAATTTATATACATATTTTATGTATATCCGTCTTTCTGTCTGAATGTTACGCCTTCAGCCTATTCTACGCAGACCTAGTCGCGGGCAGCAGCTAGTAAATAAATAAAGTTCGGTACCAATTTAATTGGTACGGTTTGGTTTATGTTGTTTTCAGAGCCGTGATAGTTCAGTGTCCGCGCGCTCGCCTTTAATTTAATATACTCGAACAATCTGAGATCGATCACCGGTGACGGCACGATGTATGGTTTGCTTAGCGATGAAGGAAACATCTTGAGGAAACTGTGGTAGGGCCATGCAACATGTTCACTGTTGCACGAATGGGCGGCTCCGTCAGGGTTAGTACCACGACCTTAAAAAAGACCGTCATAAAGTAGAAGTGTTACACTTCTGCGTTTCGTCTGGTGAGTGAGGTAGCCGGGACCCACTTTATTTAAAGGTGACGACGCATTTGCGACCCTACGGGTGTTGCGAATGTCCAACAGAATGGCGGCGGTTGTCACCTAACATCAGGTGAAGCGCTAACTCGTTTGCCACTTTCTTACGTAAAAAAGAAATCTGCATATTTTCGAAATAATAACAAAGAAAATATATTTCGAAGATATGTGAGGTCAGCCAGTACGCGGTGGGGCCGCGTGGTGGTCTATGCCCTGATACCCCGTAGACAGAGGCCTCTGCCTAGCAGTGGGACATGTATAGACTGTTACTTTACTACATTTTTCTTCTTCTTAATTCGACCAGTATTTTGGACACGTCCACTAGTTTTACCATTTTTTTTCTCGTTTCCAGACAACATCGACACCCGCAGCGCGCTCGACTGCTTGCGGGAGCTAGTGGCCGCCTCGCACGTGTACCTCCGCCAGACCCCGCCGAGGAGCTCGCCGCTCCTGGCCGAGGCGGCCCGCTACGTCACCGACGTGCTGCACATCTTCGGCGCGGTGGAGGGGCCCCGCGGCGGCATCGGCTTCCCCGTCGGCGACGCAGGCGGCCTCGATGTACGTAGGCTGTGGCGGGGCGCTGTGTACGCTTTCTTAGTCTGTGGCAGGGTCCAGTGCACGCTTTCGTAGTCTGTGGCAGGGTCCAGTGTATGATTTTTTTTACATTATATTCCTCATTCTGCGCCTGTGCTCGAGACCGAGCAGATTATTTCTTACCAGGATTCATCAATATCATCATTACATCGATTGTCCGACTCGACCATGGCAGTATAACGGCCTTACAGAAAGGCTCCCCCTTTTTCCGATGCACGGTACTTCTGTGTTCATTTATCATTGATCATTTACCATCTGGTGAACTCATCAGACGAAACGCAGAAGCATAATGCTTCTACTTTACGCCGATCTTCTGCGAGGTCGCGGTACTTCCCCGGACGGACCTGCCGATTCGTGCATCAGCAAACTGTTTCGCGGCCCTACCTCTGTTAAACTCCACTGCCAACGTTGCACAAAACACAATACAATGGTATTGAAGGTCGGTGTCTGTCGCAGCTGGAGGAGGCGGTGATGCCGTACTTGGAGGCGCTGGGCGCGTTCCGGGCGCGGGTGCGCGAGGGGGCGAGGGCGGAGGGGGCGCGGGGCGTGCTCGCGCTCTGCGACCAGCTGCGCGACCACGTGCTGCCCGCGCTCGGCGTCCGAATGGAGGACAGGGCCGGTGAGCTCGGCTTCATAAATCGGGTTGATTAGATCCGCTAATTATTCATTGAGATGCTTAGATAAGGGGGCTGGTGATTTTAGACATTTTGACTCAAGCCCTAGTGAGATTTCGTGAGATTTGGCTCAAACCCCTCCTCTCCCATCCCCCGATCTCACTCAATGCATCAGATTTATTCTAAAGAAAGAAGAAATATAATTTGCTTATTGTTTTTATTTTAATACTAATCAATACTGATTTTGTAAGATTTCTGAGAAAGTAGACTAGAATTACATTGAAAAGTAAACAATAAAATGCTGTAATCGTTACTAATAAAATTCATAAAAGAATATTCTTTCTAATTCAGTCCAAGGAGACTGATGCACAGTCTCAAGAGTGACTATTAGAACCAATATGAATTTAAGTAAAATCAGTCTGTTCCTTCAACCTCCTTCTGGCGCGTAAACAAACGTTGGTCAACTTTCGGCGTTTAAAAAATCATGTTAGGTATTATAGAATATGATTTTCCCATATTTTAATAAATCTTTTAAATAATCAAATACTATTTTCTCGCAATTTTAAGCCCTTTATTAAATTATTGATATACGGATAAAATAAAACCTGAATCACAAAATATTAATTGCATATATTTTATGCATTTTAAACTACTAATGAAATTCAAAAATGTGCTCAATATAGCTTAAACCCTATGTTCTATGCTATATTAATATAGCATATAGAAGAATAATCAATTATTCTTCTTATAGGAATGCCTCATGCTGGAAGTAGAGGTAGGCTTTTTAAAGACTATTTTGACCTCGCATTATTAACAGTGAAAGAATTTGTTAATTTAAAATGAACATTATGGGATTAACTATTTTCCCCGTTTTATTATGGTCATATATGCTTGTGACGATATATAATGACTATTTAACAGATCGCACCGTTCTGAAACTGGTCAGTAAAGAAGAATTAATGAGAGAAAGGGAAGAAAAGCAGAGAGTGGAGGCTGAGAAACAAAAGAAGAAGCAGGAGTTACTAGAAGCTCAACGTGCTAAGGAGGAACAGAAGAAAATACCTCCCACCGAGATGTTTAAAAGCGAAACAGACAAGTACTCTAAATTTGATGAAAAGGTAGGACTATTGTATCACAAACTCATTGTGATTTATGGAACAGGAGACAGTAATAGTTGCGTTTTCTATCGCCGCCAATATTATTTGTTTGAATCCTTACTAATATTATAAATGTGAAAGTTTGTAATTTGTGTGTATGAATGGATGGTTTGTTCCTCTTCCATGCAAATACTACAATTAACTAATGGATTTTAACGAAACTTTACAATAATATTGCTTATACATCAGAATAACCACTAGGCTATAATTTATATACATATTTTTATTTATATCTGTCTTTCTTCCGTTTAGCGTAGTGGCTAGATCGTCAGGCCGCGAATGCCGAAGACGTGGGTTCGATTCCCACAGCGGCGACAATCTTTTCGAACTTTTTCTAAATGTTTTAATGTTCAATCTTAAGTGCAAAGATTAGCACTGTAAATAATTTAATTTTCGAACTTTTTCTAAATGTTTTAAAAATGTTCAATTTAAGCTGCAAAGACTAGCACTATAAATAAAAAATAATAATAATAAAATAATATTTTTCGGTGTGGACAGCCATTTGTACACGAATGCCATTTTCTAGTCCGAACTTTTTCTAAACTAAGCAAAGCTTGTACTATGGGTACTAATAAAAACTGATAAAAATAAGCAAAGCTTGTACTATGGGTACTAGAAAACTGATAAAAATACTTAAACATACTTTTCTTTTGTAAATAAATACATATTATACATATAGAAACACCCAGACACGAGAAAAACACCATGTTCATCACACAATATTTTTCCAGTAGTGGGGATCGAACCCACACCCTCTGGCGCCGGAGGTAGGTACACTACCCACTACGCCATTCGGGTCGTCCAATGGCGTAGTGGGTAAAAATAATTTAAATATCAGTCTTTCTGTTTGAATGTTACGCCTTCAGCCTATTCTATGCTGACGTAGTCGCGGGCAGCACCTAGTTTGTTATAATTTTAATACAAGAATTTACTCAGGCTTTAAAAGTACTCGAGGGCTAACACCGTTGAACCACAAAATTGAAAATCTAAGAGTCGTCGATAAACTGAGATTTTTTTTTCAGGGACTTCCCACTCATGACCACGAGGGCAAGGAGTTGAGTAAAGGCCTGATCAAGAAGCTGCAAAAGCTCCAACAAGCTCAAGAGAAGAAACACAACGAATATCTGACTACACTAAACAAATGCTCATAACACCCAATCTTCATTGTTCATATACTTTCTACTCGATATAAAATTAATATAGTTAAGTGATATGATTCCAACAACGCATTTTTTTTAAAATTGTGTTTAAATTATTTTTATTAACTTCTCTTTAATACTCAGTATTAAACATTAAACACATTTTTTCTTCATTCATTTTCTTATTGATATTTTTACTGGTTTGCCGTGGGAAAGCAAGAATTCCTCAGAGATGAAATATTCACATAGAAGTTCCTAAAGCTTTTGTAATTTATTGGAGTATAAAATATATGAAATATTTCCAAAACTACAGTCTTTTGTTTATATCAATGTGTTATTAGATTAGCTATGCCTGTCGATTGAACTAAAGGTCCAAATATTGATTAAACCTTCGCCGTAACATCGTCGAGAGCGTCAACAAATTAAGAAATGAATGGGGCCGCGCAAATCCACCGATTATCCGCATTTAAAAAGCGAATTGCCCGCTTTGACGTCCATAATGGAGACGTGTAGCGCATCAATGACTCCCGTACAAAGGCGTCGAGCGCGTGCGACGAAAATACTCGTGAAAGCGAACAGGAGTTGCACAAAAAACTGGTAAAAAGTGAGGTAAACAATCCGGGCGGGTTTTTTGTGCGGGCTACAATGGTGTTTTGGTGGGGCGCGGATGGCGCACGCGAGCCCGCCGATCGACATGACATCTGCAAGCGCATGCCCCTACTACGGTGCTCAACTTATGCCGTATGAATTACTATCTGACAGATTACCACGGGCCGAAGACTCGATTGATCGTTAATTGCTCGAAAATGTTTATTTGTCTACATAAAAGACATCAACGGTTGTTTTTCGTTGTATACTATAAGTGCGGTGGACTACAAAGTTTTCTTAATGTCATTCAAGGCTTACTTTATCATGTGTAAAAAGTTAAATACGAATAGGTAATATATGAATGAATTAATTAATTTTCAATTTAAATATTTCAAGGTTAAATAATAAATTGTTTTTATTATTTAAAATATTTGTGCGTTTAAAGGTTGACTTAGAAATAAAATGGTGGAAATGATGATTTACGATGATGTTTAATTAGTTTAAACTTTTTCAATTTTAATAGTAAATCTTAGACTTTTTTTTTCTAAGTAGTATTTTATAGTTTTAAAATATAAATAAAGCTAACTTACACATTTTTTCATTCTTGAATAAATATATTTTCGTTCTTGATTGAAATTATGACGTGACCACGAGCTGGTTAAGAACGAAACCTACAGTAAAATAGACACAATATGCACAGAAAAATGCGTTAACAATGTGAAAATAAAAAAAAGTTAAAAGCATTAACTAATTTATAGTCAGTAGAAGAAAAGCGTAAAATACGAGATTGGAATTGTCGTAGAGTTTGTTAAATAGATGTGACTATTACGTGTTTAAAAAGTGTAGAGCTAAAGTGAGACAAGAAGAAAGGCTAAAACTATAATTAACTTGTTGCCAATATGAGAATAGTCACCTAAGAGAGGATATCTTATGCGCGTACCTAACAGTGCGTGCATAAGTTAACGTTTATGTGAATTGGTATTTACGACATGAATGCGTTAGACCAAAAGTTTGTGCTCACAACACTTCAGCGTCACATCATTGGCCTATCGCAACTAACAGGTAATTCCATTGCGCGCCATCTTGTGCGATCCTCGGCTTCTCGCATCCAGACGTATCCAGTGCCCTGCAAAAAACGTCACTCCGCCTTGACTGAGCCTCGCCCTACATCACGTACAATACAGCATATTTAATCGGACATCGTGTAATATGTGCGAAAACTAGTATGAAGAGTGCATATTTTGATTTAAGCTATAGTTGCGATTAGTTTTATTTTTATCTTAAAAATTGTTTTCCGATTGTATAGTACTTGTATAAAAACTTTTTTTTTGATGTTTATTCCGATAAGCACCCTGTTAATTTGTTTTTATTGTACAAGTAATTAATTTTTGATTTTAATATTAATTACTAATACACCGTTATAATGAACTATAATACTATAAATAAATATAATTTTTTTAATAAATAAATGATAATAACGTTAAACGTATCGTCTATAAACAATAAACTTCTTCTTTTCTTTTTTGGCGGTTTTCAATGAATACGCAATAAACACTTCTGGGTGTTTATTATTCCCTAACTTTTATAATGAAATGATGAAGAGAATGATTTTATGAATGTTAAATAATTATGTATATTTTATATATAGAATATCTAAACAAATTTACATAATTATAGCAATTACCTAGAACAAAGAAAATAAGATTAATATTACAACTATTAATAAAATTACATAAGATATAAACAAATGAAGAATTTACATAAGATATTATCTTAAAAGGTTATTGATGTTAGATGGACGAGGGATGTTATAAGGAAGATGATCATGGAAGGAACCTGAAATTCTGGGACAGTTGAAAAATATATGATCAGGTGAATCATCATCTAGGCCACATTCACAGATGGAACTATCTTTTATTCTTAATTTGGCAAGATGAACATAAACTTTTTTAGTATATGGTTGACAAAATATAGGGAAAGCACACCTATGTGGCACTCTAAGCCAAGACCAAAGCGTAAAGTACTGTATAATAGTCTTACTTATAGAGTGTGTAGGTGCGATTCCTACTCTAATGGAAAAATTGTGTGATAAACGTAGTATTTTACTAGTGTCTGGGTGTTAATTGTATTTTTATATTATACAGACGGTTCACCTGATTTTACATCAATAACGATATTCTATCTACTTATACTACTACTATTCGATTTTCCGGTTTCAATATTCTATCTACAGATAGATTTGGTAACTAGCGATAGGTATTTCACATTAGCTCTGTAATACTTACTTCAAAATTCTATCTCCAGAAACCAAATCTATCTGGAGATTGATGAATTCTGCCGTAAGTGATCAAAGTGATGACCGACCGCGCCCATGAAAATCTGCAACATCTGAGTGGTAAATGCGTTGCCAACCTTTACAAAAGTGAGCCCCGGTTACCTCACTCTCCAGACAAAACGTATTTGTTCCACTTCACGCCGATTTTCTGAGCGGCTGTACTACTTCCTCGGACAATCTTGCTCTTTCATGCAACACCAGTAACTGTATTAATTTACAAAAGAAAACTAATGACTAAAAATAAATAACTAAAATACTAGTAACTATACTAAAATGAATAGCTAAAATATTTAATTGGTGAATCATTGATGCAGTTGGTACTGGCTTTGGCGGCGAGGGTTGTAGGTTCGATTTCCACAGGGTACGCATAATTGTTCTGCATCTTGAAAAAAAAATACCATTAACAACCTGTTTTGCCACCTTATTGGAATAAGGGCAGAAGAAAAATGACGCATTTCAAAGACATAAGTTTTATATCATAAAATAGAGAAATAATTTCATTAGTATTATTACTATCACGGATGTAAATATAAGCTAAATTAAATTTAAAAATAATTAAAATAACAATGCTTAGAAATTATTTACATCCACATCTACAATTAAATACATAACGAAATATAATTGTAACGTCTTTTTAAGAGGTGAAAATCGAATCTCGAACCGATCACAATCGGCTTTATCGTGGTCAGATTTGTATATAACAATGGTTTGAACGGAAGCTGGGGGAAGCAAGGGGAGAAATTTACGAATCGCTGAGATCAGCAAAGAATCAACCGTTGACCGCCCGGCGAGATGTCAATCATTTGAATATCGAAGTCTCTCCTTTTTCCATATTCCGTTGAGATTGTGCCGATAATACGATTTCATTATGCGTAACCAATGAAACGGGCTTTTGGTGAAAAAAAATAACAAGTTTACGGTAAAATAATTTATTTCAACGTCTGTAATGCAGCCCCAGGAAGCGGTCATGTGAATATTAAATGTAACGGTCGTCTCATTGAAATCAAATCAAATGCAATTGGGAGTTTGAAGGTTTTCCAATGTCCTTAATATTCACGCACCTATAATTTCCGATAAGTAATTTAGATTAAGATTCCGTGCAAGTTTTTTAAGGCCAAGCATATTTTATGTAACAAAGGACCCCCTAGTTATTCTTACTTTGGTATCAACTTAAATAAACTTAAGATTTTGTTCGGTGATTGTAGTATTGATGAAACTCATGAGAGATTAAACGGCAGCGCAAAAAAATGTTAATTGCTTGCATTTTTTAAAATAATATAATAAATATAATATAATAATATATAATAATACCCAAATATAGCAATTTAAAAAAGCACTTTTGCAACCGCCACCATTTTGTTTCTGAGTATAATGTTGACGTTATATTCTGGTTTGATAGTTGGATTATTCGAAACGCCTGCACTATAAAATTTTCTTACTAACAAGTCTTTCTAACTAACTACATGTAACATAAATTCTAAAACGAAATAGCTGTTTATATGATATTGAAGTATGTACAAGAAATAAATCATAATGTTACATCCAGAGATTTCCTAAATAAGCAATTAAAACTTGTTTATGGCGCAGCTCCCCCTTTGCTGAATTTTAAAAATCCTTTGTAGGGACGCTGTAAAATCGCAGTATTTGTTGGTAGGCTAAATTATGACCTGTCGCTCTATGCCCCAGAGCTCTCGGCAGGCGATCCTGTTAAAAAAACAATTTTGCTTGCTTGCGCATTAATTATTTAAATCTCATTAAACAGCCGCGGTTCTTTCTTTATTGCCAACGCCACGGACCAGTTTTATCTAATTTCAGTGAGGGGGAAATGCTTTAATTGCCTGTAAACTTTTACTCCGAATGGATAATGAATGAACAATGAGGATCATACAAATTCTAGCTATGTATAAATAAAAAGTAGGTACATTAAGTAATATCTAGTTACTTAGTAAATATTGTTTAATGTATTTTTTTGAATATGTAAAGATACACTTGAATTTTCAGTGTATAACCACATATTCAAGATAGCGTAATAATAGAAAGTATTATTTAAAATACTTCGTGTGTTTTGGAAATTTTATTTAGGGGG